AACCTCTGAGGATGCCTGCCATATATGTGGGCAAAACGTCAGGAGAGAATGCTTCTGGAACATGACCATACAGCCCGGAAAACTCACAGCAACCCAGTGATTCTGGCCATGAAAGTCTTCATTACCACATGGAGATATTAGAGAAAAAGAAAGGAGAAGAACTCCAGCAAAAAGATTTAGAAAGAGCTTGGTGAAAAGGGAGAGAACATACTGGTGTGAATGGGTCCTTTCTGGCACAAACCCCCTTCATTGTCAATAGGCAGAAGATTTTCCTGGGGGTGGGGTGGTACTTGTTTTAAATGCAATGTGACAATAAAAGTCCTTCACCCACACAGCAAATATCAGAGTTGAGGCACATACCCTTAGGTTTGTCCTTAGATAGGGGAGCTCTGGTTGAAAACACACTGATCAGATTAACATGTTAAGGCTGCGCAGCCAAAACAAAGAAAGTTAAAGACAACAGCAGCCAGGATTTGTACAGCTCCTTTGATGCCAAAACTTTTAACAGTTACATAATAGGGTTGTTGTGAGTTTTCCAGGCTGTATGACATGTTCCAGAAGCATTCTCTCCTGACGTTTCACCCACATCTATGGCAGGCATCCTCAGAGGTTGTGAGGTCTAGAAAGAATGCTTGTCAGGAGAGAATGCTTCTGGAACATGGCCATACAGCTCGGAAAACTCACAACAATCCAGTGATCCCGGCCATGAAAGCCTTCGACAATACATTAGTTACATGATACTTTGAAAGTTATTTTGCCATATTGTTAAGAGACATGAAATGCAAAAGATCCTGGCAATTCTCTGGTTGATAATGACGAGGGTGTTGGCCCAGAAAGGTCACCTTTTCCTCCTTCCTGGAAGAGCCAAGAGACCCTTGCGCATGGACAAGCCCTGAGGAATTGTGTCTTTGTACACGGGGTCTCTTGGAAAGATGACCTGCTGGATTCTGTGGTATTAAAAACAACTTGCCCTCAAGTCTATCCTTGGCCAAGTGGATTATGTGATCCTGGGTTCAGAAACAAGCTATATTGGTTTGCATATGTTTCCACACACCTGGAATATTGTGTCCAATTCTGGGCACCACAATTGAAGAGAGATGTTGACAAGCTGGAATGTGTCCAGAGGAGGGTGACTAAAATGATCAAGGGTCTGGAGAACAAGCCCTATGAGGAGCGGCTTAAAGAGCTGGCTTACTTACTTAGGCATTATTTCCAATTTTAATCTCTACATTTGACCATCCCACTATTTTTAATTGTGTGTTGTCTTATTGATAATGTTGTATATTTTATTGTCTATTTTTTATTTTATTTTTATTGTTGTTATTATTGCTTGTATTGTTGTGTTTGGGCTCGGCCTCATGTAAGCCGCACCGAGTCCCATGGGGAGATGGTAGCGGGGTACAAATAAAGTATTATTATTATTATTATTAATAATAATAATAATAATAATAATAATAATAATAATAATATTAGGCGATCCCTCGTTGTCCGAGTAGGATAGTCTTCCAGGGTCAGTGTCCATAAGGTGACTGTGGAGCCCTATTCTTGACCTGCATCTTCTCTCACAGTAAGGAACTGGTTTCCAGGTGGAAGGCGGTCCTGGTTGGGGTTGGCTTGACGCACCTTCCTCTTGGCACGTTTCTCTTTCGCCCTCCATTCCTGCCTCTTCAAATTCTGCAGCACTGCTGGTCACAGCTCACCTCCAGCTGGAGCGCAAGGGCCAGGGCTTCCCAGTTCTCAGTGTCTATGCCAGAGTTTTTAGGGTTGGCTTTGAGCCCATCTTTCAATCTCTTTTCCTCTCCTCCATCATTCCGTTTTCCATTCTTGAGTTTGGAGTAGAGCAGTGGTTCTCAACCTGGGGTCCCCAGATGTTTTTGGCCTACAACTCCCAGAAATCCTAGCCAGGTTACAGCTGTTAGGATTTCTGGGAGTTGAAGGCCAAAACATCGGGGGACCCACAGGTTGAGAACCACTGGAGTAGAGCAACTGTTTGGGAGACGAGATGAGACAACATGGCGGAGTTGACTGGGCATGTTTACCTGAAGAAGAGAAGGCTGAGAGGAGACATGATAGCCATGGATAAATATGTGAGAGGAAGTCACAGGGAGGAGGGAGCAAGCTTGTTTTCTGCTTCCCTGGAGACTAGGACGCAATGGAGCAATGGCTTCAAACTACAAGAAAGGAGATTCCATCTGAACATTAGGAAGAACTTCCTGACTGTGAGAGCCGTTCAGCAGTGGAACTCTCTGTCCTGGAGTGTGGTGGAGGCTCCTTCTTTGGAAGCTTTTAAACAGAGGCTGGATGGCCATCTGTCATTGTGCTTTGAATGCAATTTCCCTGCTTCTTAGCAGAATGGGGTTGGACTGGATGGCCCATGAAGTCTCTTCCAACTCTATGATTCTATGAATTCAACAATATTTCTGTGTTCTGGTTTTTTCCACAAGGAGGAAAGTGGCTGCTCTCCAGGGCCACTTTTTGCTTGTTCTCTCTCTTTCTTCGTGCTCCTGGGTGTCCTTTGGCCATCCTGGGAGGGTCAGAAGTCAGTGCAACCAGAGCAGGAAATGAAGCTTCCTTCCGCCTTCCAGGGTGAGCTTCCCTTTTGGTCAATCTCTGGCCAAATGGGATCTCTCCCAGAAGTGCAGCAGTCTTCCCAGGCCAGGGCTAGATATGGACACAATGTACCCTGGCTCCTTGCTGGAAAAGAAACTCTGGGGAACATCTGCCTCCCTCCCTCCTTCCCTCACTTTGCTGCCTTTCTCTCCATTTGATGGGAAAGGCCTCCCTCCTGTGGCCAGAAAGGCGCATCGGTGGACATTATGCACAGCAAGGATTTCCCTCTCTGCCTCTAAGCCAGTTTGTCAACCCTCCGAAACAACCCCTTAATACAGCTCCACATGTTGTAGTGACCTCCAACCATAACATTATTTTCGTTGCTACTTCATAACTGTAATTTTGCTATTGTTATGAATTGTCATGTAAATATCTAATAGGCAAAATGTATTTTCATTCACTGGACCCAATTTGGCACAAACACCCAATTTGCCCAAATTTGAATATTGATAGGATTGTGGGGGATTGATGTTGTCATTTGGGAGTTGTAGTTGCTGGGATTTATATAGTTCACCTCCAATCAAAGAGCATTCTGAACTCCACCAACGATGGAATTGAACCAAACTTGGCACACAGAACTTCCATGACCAACAAAATATACTGGAAGGGTTTGGTGGGCATTGACCTTGAGTTTGGGAACTGTAGTTCACCTACATCCAGAGAGCACTGCGGACTCAAACAATGATGGATCTAGACCAAACTGGCACGAATACTCAATATGCCCAAATGTGAAGACTGGTGGAGTTTTGGGGAAATAGACCTTGACATTTGGGAGTTGTGGTTACTGGGATTTAGTTCACCTACAATCAAAGCGCATTCTGAACCCCACCAACGAGATAATTGGGGCAAACCTTCCACACAGAACCCCCAGGACCAACAGAAAATTCTTAAGGCCATCCAGTCCAACTCCCTTCACCAGGGCAAGAAAACGTAATCAAAGCCCTCCTGACAAAGAGCCATCCAGCCATAGATATAGATATGTTTCACAGATATAGCATCATCCAGAGAGCACTGTGGACTCAAAACGATGGATCTGGACCAAACTTGGCAGGAATATTCAATATGTCCAAATGTGGGGAGTTTGAGGAAAATAGACCTTGACATTTGGGAGTTGTATTTGCTGGGATTTATAGTTCGGTTACAATCAAAGAGCATTCTAACCCCCACCAATGATAGAATTGGGCCAAATCTCCCACACAGAACCAACAGAAACTACTGTGTTTTCTGATGGTTTTTGGCGACCCCTCTGACGCCCCATCACGACCCCCTAAGGGGTCCCAACCCCAATGTTGAGAAACACTGGTCTAAGGCTTGGATGGCAATGTCCTAAAACACTGGTTCTCAACCTGTGGGTCCTCAGGTGTTTTGGCCTACAATTCCCAGAAATCCCAGCCAGTTTTTGGGAGGTTTTTTTTTTTTTGGTCATGTCAGGAGCGATTTGAGAAACTGCAAGTCGCTTCTGGTGTGAGACAATTGGCTGTCTGTAAGGACGTTGCCCAGGGGTCGCCCCGATGATTTGACATTCTTATCATTATCATCCTTGCGGGAGGCTTCTTCTTTTGGGAGTTGAAGGCCAAAACACCTGGGGACCCACACACTGAGAATCACTGTCCTAAAGGCACCAGATTCCCTCTGATCTTGGAAACCAAGCGGGGTCTGCCCCAGTTTGGGTTCAGACAGGACAGCTTCGAGGTGATGCAGGTGACATTTCAGAGGAAGGAACTGGGAAAACCATCTCAGAAGGTCCTTTTTCTATTTTTGCTTTATTCTTCTGCCTTCTTTTCCAGTTCCAAATAATATCTGGCCCAGGGATCACCATTCATGGAGATGTATCACCAAGTCAGAGAGAATGGATGACCTGCTAGGCTGTCTGGTCCAATCCATGAGACCTGCTGCCATGACTTTTCCTTCTCCAAACCAAGGAGAAAATAAATAATGCATTCTTCTGTGCCATGTTCTGTTGGGCCAGATGCTCTATGCTTCCATCAGCTGAGTAAAAATCCTATCTAGGGAAACCTCTTCTGTGTTGACTCCTTCTACTTTCCCTTGCCTCCCTCCACCCACCAATACTTTGGTCTCTGCCAGCCTTTCAGTTCAGGGCATTGTCACAATCCTGTCTGTGATGTAGTCCCAGCTCAGGGGGCTCCCCCAGGTAACCATGGCTAGGGCCTGGCAGCAGTGCCCCTCCCCCAAAGCCAGGGCCATGATGACAGAAGGGTGACAGCCCCCTCCTCCGCCTCCCTGCTCCCCCCTTGCCCTCCCTCCCTCCGTCCCATCCTCTTTCCTCCCTCCCTTTCTTTGGGGCAATGGCATACAGGGAGGAGGCGGGGGGGACGGTGGGGACACCCCCGACCACAGCAGCCTGAGGCGAGTGTTACCTCCAAGACAACATGGAGAAGTATGAGACCCTCCTCAGCATTGGCCAAGGAGCCAGCGCAGAGGTCTTCCTGGTGAGGGACTCCCAAACCAAGGAGCTCTTTGCAGTGAAGAAGGTCAAGACTGTCCCGGGCAAGCGGTTGCGAGACAAGGAAGCCATCCTGCGGGAGGTGGCCATCCTGCGCCAGCTGCGGCACCCGCACGTGGTGGCCTGTCACGACCACTTCTTAGACCCGGGAGGCGCCCACGTCTTCATTGTCCAGGAGTACTGCGACGGGGGGTCCCTGGATGAACACATCCGGAGCCAGACCACTGAAGGCAGCAAAGGCGGCGGAGTGGTCCACTTCCCGGAGAGCACGGTCATGCGCTGGTTCGTTCAGCTTGCCATGGCCGTCCAGTACATCCACGCCCGGAAGATCCTCCACAGGGACATCAAGTCCTCCAATGTCTTCCTCACCAGAGACCGCATCCTGAAGCTGGGCGACTTTGGCATCTCTAAGGTAATGGATGAGACAGCAGAGATGGCCAGCACCTTCGTGGGGACACCCTACTATCTGAGCCCCGAGCTCTGTGAAGACGTCCCGTACAGCTCAAAGGCTGACGTCTGGGCCCTGGGCTGCGTCCTCTTCGAGACCTGTGCCCTCCGGCCACCCTTCCAGGCCCTCAGCCTCATCGGCCTTTTCGACAAGATCGTTCGCGGACGCCATGCCCCCGTGCCCTCCTGTTATTCGGCCCCTTTGCATGGTCTGATCGCCGCCATCCTTCAGAAGGACCCCAACAAGCGGCCTTGCACCAACACCATCCTGACCTTCCCTTACGTCCAGGAGCACCTCAGCCTCTTCCTTCTCCAGCGTGGAACAGAGCCAGGGGTCTTTAATGAGGTGCTTCCTCGGCCTCATGGCCCAAAGCCACGTGTTGACTGCCAAGTCCTGGCTCTGAGATCGGGGCCCCTGCATCCCCACCTCCTTCAGGGGAGCCACAATCAGGAGGACACCTCCAGCATCTCCAGCAGCGGATCCCATTACTCAGCCGACTTCGAAGACACAGGCACTTCCTTCAGCAGCCACAGCTCCGAAGACATCGCCTTCAACACAGCTACTGCCGCTGAGGCCCTGACTGAGACTGGTACAAGGGGGGTGGGTGGGTATATGTCTTTGAGGGAATTGGGGGTCTTCATGCCTCTATGAACAGCAAAAGGGTCGGAGAAGGGTACGAGTGACAGAGCCTACCTTCCTCTCTTGCAGCTTCTGAGAATGAGTGGGAGCTGCCCAATTATCCAGAGGACTTTGAGGAGTCAGAAGGGGACCCGGAGGAGCCCCAGCTCAATTGGGACCACACCCATGGCATTGATCGAGCCATGAATGCCACGCAGGAGGAGGCCTCCTCATCCCCTCCAGGGACCATGCAGAGAGSCAGAGGTAAGGCAAACCCACACCTGAATGCACCACATGCTTCACCATAAGACTCGGACAAAAGAAAAGTGAATTCGTGCCAGATTTAACCACCTCGTCACACTAGAATAGGAGCCCCTGGTACCACAATGGGTTAYCCTTGTGCAGGCAGGATTGCTGACCAAAAGKTCGGCGGTTAGAATCCTGGGAGAAGGGTGAGCTACAGCTTCCCATGCGGGGACATGAGAAACCTCCCACAGGATGGTAAAACATCCAGGCATCCCCTGGGCAACGTCCTTGCAGACGGACAATTCTCTCACACCAGAAGCGACTTGCAGTTTCTCAAGCCGCTCCAGACACAAAAAAACAATAGGCACAGTCTCTATCCCAGAGGCCCACCAGCTGTTTGGGGCCCCAAGTCCCAAAATTCTTGACAACTGAACAAGCGGGCTAGGGCTTCTGGGGTTGGATGCCCCAACAGACGGACGGGCGCCGTTTGAGGATGCTTGGTCTATTTCCTTTCGATCCTGTGGCCGCCTTCTGCAGAATTCTGGGGAGTGTAGTTTAGGGAGGCCAAGGCCCCCACTAGCTGAGAATTTCCAAGGCCCCTTCCTAAACTACAAACTCCAGAATTCTGCATGAGGCAGCCACAGGATTGAAAGTGCATAGACAGCTGTCCAAAGCCCTAGATGCATTGGGAGGAGCAGGACTTAGCCCCTTGGATGACTCCCTCAACGCCCAGGTTAAAACATGCAAACCACCGGGATCACTACACTCTCCTTACACAAGTCGTTCATGACCAAATACACATATGACCAATACACATATGACCAATACATGACCAATACACATATGTGTATTGCCTTTAAGAGGGCGATATGTCTTATTTGGGGTAAGTTTTTGTGATTGGGGACTCAACTTTGTATCGCATTCTATTTGGAAAGGAAGGTGGAATAAAAAAGCATTCAATTCAATACATAAATAATAAAATGTAGGAAAGAGACTACAGCCCATCCAACTTCTGTGATCTTTACAGATAGAGACACATTGTGCAGAAGGGTCAACAGCAGCTCTCTCTCCAAGGATTCGGAGCCGCCCTCAGAGCCAGGACTGAGTTCAGACTGGGAGCACCTGGAGGAGTGCTGCCCGCTCCACTGCAACCTGAACTTGGAGAGCAGCGAAGGAGAAGCAGCCGGGTACAGCACCGTAACGGTCTAGGTCTGTGGAGGAGGAAATCAAGGTGCTTCTTCCGCCATTCCTCACTCCAGCCACCTTCCCTTTGACCAGTCCCTGGGGTAAAAGAAGTGGGTCTCCCATCTAGAGGGAGAGCAAGTGGCTCACACAGCGCCCCCCCCCCCCCCCCCCCCCCTTGCTCTGAGGCACAGCCAAGAATCTTGGCTCAGGCCCTTGCCCGGCCCTGCCTCCCTTCCTTTGCTCAATGTGGAACAGACTCTGCAGTGGGGCAACCACACACACGCGTTCGGTGGCCCATATCCTGGATTGCTAATGACAAATGCTTATCGCCTCATATGTTAGTAAATGGCGGCACATACATCGCACCCCTATGATTTTGGCACATCCCCTCCATCCTTTGTCTGGCCAGAGAGCCTCGTAAGAAAACCTCCTTCACATGAACCGTTACGATTTCTTCCATGAATAAAACAGATGAGAGATTTAAACCAATGTCGGATCAGTTAAGAGTTCTGGAAATGGCTGTCAGTACCAATATAGGGCCGTGGTCTGAACATTGGCTCAGGAGCTTCAGACACCACTGAGCCCTGGAAACCCACTGGGTGGAGCCTTAAGATTGTGGGTCACAATCTCAGGGAGGCAAAGGAAATCCCCCTCTGAGCCCACCTTGCCAAGAAAATTCACAAAAGGCTTGCCATGAGCCAGCATGATGGCACATCATAGCAACAACCAAAGCAGTGATTCCCTACCTTCCCAATGCCGTGATGCCTTGATACAGTTATTTTCGCTGCTACTTCATAACTGTAATTTTGCTACTGTTCTGAATTGTAATGTAAATATCTGATATGCAGGATGCATTTTCATTCACTGGACCAAACTCGGCATGAATATTCAATAAGCCCAAATGTGAACACTGGCGGAGTTTGGGGGAAATAGATCTTGTCATTTGGGAGTTGTAGTTGCTGGGATCTATAGTTCACCTAAAATCAAAGAGAACATTTGAACCCCACCAATGATAGAATTGGGCCAAACTTCCCACACAGAATCCCATATGCCTTGAAGGGACTTGCTGGTGCAAGCCTTCCGGCCTCACATGCACTTCCTCACCTGCCCATGTGCACCACATTGCCATGTACAGAGCATGCCTGCTCTCCCTCCCCTGGTTAGGAGACTCAGAAACAGCCCTCCCCTTGGTTGAGAGGCCAGCCAATCATAGCAGAGGAGGGCTTTTGGTGGAAGAATTCGCCATCTGTTTCCAAAAAGGAAGAGAAGGACAGGCGGATAGATCTTCAGCCGTCTCTGCCAAAGAGGGTTCCTAAGACCATCAGAAATATGTTTTCTGATGGTCTTTGGTGACCCTCTGAACCCCCTCCCCCCCCCCAGGGTCCCCACCCCCAGGTTGAAAGGCATAAACCAGAGGCCCTCAAATTAAGGCCCGGGGGCCAAATACGGCCCTCCAAGGTCATTTACCCGGCCCTCATTCAGGTCAAGCTAAGTCTGAAACGACTTGAAAGCACACAAGAACAAAAACAATCTTATCTCATCAGCCAAAAGCAGGCCCACTTCCCATTGAAATACTAATATGCTTATGTTTGTTATTGTTCTTCATTTTAATTATTGTATTATTATTTTTGCACTATAAATAAGATATGTGCAGTGTGCACAGGAATTCATTCATTTTTATTTATTTTATTTTTTTGCAATTATAACCTGGCCCTCCAACAGTTTGAGGGACTGTTGCCTGGCCCTCTGTTTAAAAAAGTTTGAAGACCCCCTGGCATAAACAATGCAAATGATTATGCTCCCCAGAATGCTTGAACCTTGGCCATTTTGGCTGGGACCTCTGGTCACAAGAGTCCAAACTGTCTCCCAGATTAGAGATTAAGACTCACTGCAGTGAGGTGAAGGAGCCATGTGGGGAGACCCAGGACACAAAACATTCAAAAGCCATTAAGTGCAGGAGGCTCACTGTGGAAGGACACGTTGCCTTCATAGGTAGGATAGTGCCAAACAGAGGGTGAACTCGTGGTTTCCCACCCTCACCACTTCTGCAGGGAAAGAAGCCCAAAACCAAGTTTGGAAAAGGTTTTATTTGCCAAAGAGGAAGCTCTGGGAAGGTTCCACACCTGTGGTTGGGGGCTCAGCCGCTGCTCTGCTTGGCTGCCAGCCTCTTGTCTCTCTCTTCAGCAATGGTGAGGCGGATACCCTTTCCGCGGGGCAGGGAGATCCACGGCTTGTTGCCCTGCAGGGGTTTGAGAGGAGGGGTTACTACGAGGACACAGGAGCCTCGTTCCTACCATCGCTCCCTCGTCCACTGGCCCCCTCTTACCCAACAGAGCAACTTCCCATGCCCATTACCTTTCCAATGACAAAGATGTTGGACAACCGGGTGGCAAAGCTATTGCCGTTGGCATCCTTCACATGGACCACATCAAAGGAGCCAGGGTGCCGCTCCCGGTTGGTGATGACCCCGATGCGGCCCAAGTTAGCTCCACCGGTCACCATGCAGAGGTTGCCTGAAGGGAACAAGCAGAGGGAAGAAAAGATCAGGAAGAGCCACTCCCGGAATGTTCCTGTCCAGATAAGCCAGAGCACCCTCAGAGCACCCACTCCACTCCTGCAAATCCTTCTCAGCCGAAGCAAAATGGGGGCACTCAGATCCCAAACCACAAACTTCACACTTGTCTGTCCCCAAGAAACCCTTCAGGACACTAGCATCACTCAATCCCTGGGCGGAGGAGATGTTGAACACTTGCCTGTGTCAAACTTGATGAAGTCTGTGATCTTGCCCGTCTCCAGGTCAATCTGGATGGTGTCGTTCACCTTGATGAGAGGGTCTGGGTAGCGGATAGTCCGGGCATCGTGCGTGACCAGGTGTGGAATGCCCTTGGTTCCCACAAAGATCTTCCTGACCTTGCATAGCTTGTACTGGGAAAGCAGAGGATAGGGAAGATAAACAAAAGGGAAGAGACACACAAGAGGCCCTTCTCTGATCTGAGCCACATGGGTGAACCCTGAAGCCTTGCACCTGCCTTTAGAGCAGCATTTCTCAACCTGGGGGTCAGGACCCCCGGGGGGGTGGGGGGTCAAAAGGAGTTACAGAGGGGTCACCAAACACCATCAAAAAACATATATTTCTGATGGTCTTAGGAACCCCTTTGGCAGAGAAGGATGAAGATCTCTCCACCTGTCCTTCTCTTTCTCCTACCAAAAACCCTCCTTCATTATGATTGGCCAGCCTCTCAGCCAAGGGGAGGGCTGTTTGTGAGACTCCAAGTGAGGACGGGAGAGCAGTCGTGCCCAACACATATGAGCGTGGTGATCATGGGTGGACAAGGGGGAGCATGTGAGACTGGAGGGAGGGTCATGCCAGCGAGTCCCCTTCAAGGCATGGGGGTTCTATATGGGAAGTTTGGCCCAATTCTATCATTGATGGGGTTCAGAATGCTCTTTGATTGTAGGTGTACTATAAATCCCAGCAACTACTCCTAAATGTCAAGGTTTATTTTCCCCAAACTCTGCAAGTGTTCACATTTGGGCATATTGAGGATTCGTGCCAGGTTTGGTCCAGATCCATCATATTTTCTGTTGGTCGTGGAGGTTCTGTGTGAGAAGTTTGGCCCAATTCTGTAAATGGTGGGGTTCAGAATGCTCTTTGATTGTAGGTGAACTAAATCCCAGCAACTACAACTCCTAAATGTCACGTCTATTTTCCCCAAACTCCGCCAGTGTTCACATTTGGGCATATTGAGTATTCATGCCAAGTTGGTGGTGAACTACAACTCTGAAACTCAAGGTCAATGACTACCAAACCCTTCCAGTATTTTGTGTTGGTCATGGGAGTTCTGTGTGCCAAGTTTGGTTCCATTCCATCATTGGTGGAGTTCAGAATGCTCTTTTTATTGTAGGTGAACTATAAATCCCAGCAACCGCAACTCCCAAATGACAAAATCAATCCCAACCCCACCCGTATTCAAATCTGGTCGTATTAGGTATTTGTGCCAAATTGGGTCCAGTGAATGAAAATACACTCTGCGTATCATATATTTATATTGCAATTAATAACAGTAGCAAAATTACAGTTATGAAGTAGCAATGGTCACCATAACCTGAAGAACTGTATTAAGGGGTCATGGCATGAGGAAGGTTGAGAAACACTGCTTTAGCGCAAGTTCAAGCAAACACGTTCCCATCATAACTACATCCTCAAAACTGTCCCTAAACAGATGTAAAGTTTTTCCTATGGAAATTCATACAAATTCACCCCTCATCACTTTTTGCTTTGGGAATAAGCCCCAAATGCATATTTCTTGTGACCCCACTAACTCTGCCATTTAACGGCAACCACTAAAACCAGCCCCAGAACAAGTTCTCTCTATATGCAGATGCCAGGTGTCAGCTCCAACACATTTATAACATACCATTTCCCAGGATGCCTCCCTCTTTCTCAAAGGAGACCACGAAGCCCCCCCAAAAGGACTGACCTTGGCCTCTTCCGGCGTAATCCGGTGAACTGCAAAGCGGCCCTTGGTGTCATACACCAGGCGGAAGTGTTCGCCAGTCTTCTCAATGCTGATTACATCTGACAAGGAGAAGAATGGAGAGATTGGACTCAACCACTGCAAGGCACCCACTCCTTGCCTCTCCATTCCTGTCTTTGGAATTCTCTTCCTCCTTTGGCCGCCCCTTTAAGAGCCCAGAGAGGCACCCCTCATTCTGCTCACCCATGAAGCCGGCAGGGTAGGTGATGTCTGTGCGGACTTTGCCGTCGATTTTGATGAAGCGCTGCATGCAGATCTTCTTCACCTCGTCCCCAGTCAGGGCATACTTCAGTCTGTTCCTGAGGAAGATGATGAGCGGCAGGCATTCCCTCAGCTTGTGGGGCCCGGTGGAGGGTCGGGGAGCCTAAAAACCCAAAGATCTCTGTAAGCAAGGTTCTGGCACAATGAGCACCCACACTACCAGAAAGAAACCAGGGTAACACGAAGCAGGAGCCAATAATAATAATAATAATAATAATAATAATAATAATAATAGACAACACATCAAGCTACTCTGGGACTCCTGAATTCAGACAGACAGAGTTTTGGATTGTCGATGTTGCAATCCCAGGTGACAGCAGGACTGAAGAGAAACAACTGGAAAAGCTGACACTATATGAGGATTTAAAGATCAATCTGCAAAGACTCTGGCACAACCCCGTCAGGGTGGTCCCAGGGGTGATCGGCACACTGTGTGCAGTGCCTAAAGACCTTGGCCTGCACTTAAACACAATCGGCGCTGACAAAATTACCATCTGCGAGCTGCAGAAGGCCACCTTACTGGGATCTACACGCATTATTCGGAAGTGTCCAATGTGTGATCCAATACAACAGCAAGCAGGGTGTTTGCTGTGGACTCATCTTGTTGTGTTTCAAATAATCATCATAATCATCACCACCATCATAATAATTTATTCATATCCTGCTTTTCTCCCTAAATGGGACCTAATGCAGCTTACGTTATATAAAAGACTATACAAAACAATATGCCTATGTAAAACAATAGCCTCTAAAAACAAATTCGCAATAATAAATAAATAAACATATTTAAAAGCATTTATCTAAGCCACCCGGCCCTTTGCAGGGGTCCCATTTAAAGGCACACAGGCAACTTCCTGGCCTCCTTAACTCCAAACGAGAGTCTCTATATGCAGCAATATTATCTGTTCAAAAAGGAAGCACCAAAGCAGGTCTCTGCAACTGGCCATGCATAAACAACATGGTAGCTACATATCCCGCTACTCTCATCCTCTCCCAGCATTCTTTATATAGTGTATATACTTGTCCACAAAGAGATGGCAACAGGGTTCCACGTTTACAGAAAGGGCTACCTAGAAGTCAGCACTGCACTCGCAGTAGGAATAAAAATATGCAGCTCATGGAATCCGCAAAGGGTCTTTACAATGGGATCCACTAAGAGTCTTACTCCACTCTCCCCTTGAGAATGCAACACCCCAAGACCTTTGAAGAACAGAGTTGGAGACCACACAGGCAGCATTTAGCTTGAGAGAATCACCCCGAGGGGTCCTTGTCTACTTACAAAGACGCCTGTCAGCTTATCCAGCATCCAATGCTTTGGAGCCGCAACACGCTTCAGGTGCTTCTTAGGTCCTCGAGCCTAAAGCAGGAAAGCATGAAGTGCGTAAAGGACTACTATTGTGCTATGCTAATAATATATCGTATGTACATATAATATTGACCATAATAATACAATATACTAAAAATGATAATATAATAATTATATATTACATATTACATGTAATATTACTAATAATATTGCAGTATAGTGGTATAGTTAAATATAGTAATATGTAAAACTATTATTGTGCTACGCCAATAATATAATATATTGTACTAGCCATCCGCTCCACGTGTTGCTGTGGCCCAGTCTGTGTATATCTGTTTTGTGTGTGTGTGTGTATATGTGTATTTATGTGGTTATGCGCATACGTTGTAATATAATGTATTTTTAATGTTATGTTTTGGCTTTTTAAGTATCTTCCGCTGTGTTTTCTATGAGTGAAGGACATACATTGGGTTGTTAGGTGTATTGTGTTCAAATTTGGAGTCAATTTGTCCAGTGGTTTTTGAGTTATGTTAATCCCATAAACAAACATTACATTTTTATTTATATAGATGTACGAATATTGATCATAACAGAGTTCATGATCATAATACTGTAATACAATATAATACTAACAATACAATATAATAATTATTATATATTTTCACATTACGTGTACTATTACTAATACTATTGCAGTATAGTAGTATAGCCATGCAGGGACATGAGAGAAGCCTCCCACAAGGATGATAAAAACATCAAATCATCCGGGCGTCCCCTGGGCAACATCCTTGCAGACGGCCAATTCTCTCACACCAGAAGCGACTTGTAGTTTCTCAAGTCACTCCTGACACGACAAAAAAGTACAATATAGTAATATATAATATATGTACATATAACTTGTAAGCCTCTCTGAGTTCCTTCGAGGTGAGAGGGGGCGGGGTACAAAAACAGTAAATAAATAAAATGAGTTGCCATTCAAAGAAAGCACGGGACATTGTGGCTACAATAATGGCCCAAGAGCAGCTCCTTTTTTTTCTTTTTAGGAAAAACTTACACAAACCAGAGGCAGCAGCCACTCTATTGCTGGCCCCTTCCTTGATGGAGTGTGTGGTGCCCCTCCTACAACCTTTCCTGGCCCCCTGAACACAAGACCTGCCTCTCCTCCCTTCCAGGGCTCCTCTGTTTGCCCAAGAACCACCTGAAATAAATGCAGCAGATGCAATGTTCCTTCAATGAGGTGACAAACTCCAGAGGGTGCCTCCTGCTCTTTGTGACCCACAGGGGCTGCGAAACCCCTCTACCCATCCTGCCCAAAGTGACTGTTTCTAGTGGGGAGAGGCACCTCTTCTATCCACAACAGGAGGCACGTTCTAAACTTGGTTTCTGTTGAAAATTTTCACTATTTTTTGTTTGTACGTCCTAAATACAATATACAGATGAAATACAGGAATTCCATTTTTTTTTCAGAGTGTTTTCAATGGCAAAGGTTTTATATGTTATACCAACTGCTGCTCTGGGCCAGAGTGAAGAGAGAGGGGACCAAGGGACAGTTCCACCGTGTCTCCTGTGCTATTCTAATAATATAATGTATCAATGTATTGTCGAAGGCTTTCATGGCTGGAATCACTCAGTTCTTGTGGGTTTTTTCGGGCTATATGGCCATGTTCTAGAGGCATTTCTCCTGACGTTTCGCCTGCATCTATGGCAAGCATCCTCAGAGGGGAGGTCTCACCTCTGAGGATGCTTGCCCTAGATGCAGGCGAAACGTCAGGAGAAATGCCTCTAGAACATGGCTATATAGCCCGAAAAAACCCACAAGAACTGAACAATAATCCTATCTAATATATACATATAATATTTATAATATTATAATGTAATGCAATATAATACTAATAATATGATATTATAATTATATATTTATATTACATGTAATATTACTAATAATATTACAATATAATGGTATAGTACAATATAGTAATATTTAATACTGATATTGTACTATGCTAATAATATAATATATTGTATGTATATATATCTTGTAAGCCGCTCTGAATCCCCTTTGGATTGAGAAGGGCGGCATATAAATGTTGTAAATAAATAAATAAAATTCTGTATCTTCCAAACAACTCTGATTGTGAGACTGCAGAACATTTTATTCTTGAGTTAAGTAACTCTTTGTTTTTATCTGCAATTTCCTCTTGTTGTATAAGCCTGTGTGACGATTTTGTTGTTGTATGCCAATAAAGGCTTTGTGAGTACAGTTGGAGCCCTCATTATCTCCTTAGCTTGTGTGAGACCCATGGAGCAAGGCAGCCCAGGCAAACTCCCATTCCTTGCAATGGCTTCCTCTATGAACTCTCTTATTGTTGTTGTTGTTTCTTTATACCCCTCTTTTTCTCTTCACAAGGAGACTCAAAGCGGCTTACATTAAAAGCATTAAAATATGGTGTAAAATCTAAAAATATATGAATATCAAAACAGAATTAATTATCATTGGTATTAAAAAAAATCAGTTAAAATCTGTTGTTGAAGGCTGGGTTGTTGTAAGTTTTTCAGACTGTATGGCCATGTTCCAGAAACATTTTTTCCTGACGTTTCATCCACATCTATGGCAGGCATCCTCAGAGATTGTGAAGTCTGTTGGAAACTAAGCAAGTGGGGTTTATATACCTGTGGAATAATGTCCAGGGTGACAGAAAGAACTCTTGTCTGTTTGAGGCAAGTGTGAATGTTCCAATTGGCCACTTTGTTTAGCACTAAATAGCCTTGCAGCTTGAAAGCCTGGCTGCTTCCTCCTTGGGGGAATGAAGGCTTAACACAATTGTTCCTTCTTTTTGGGCTCTTCCCTCTCAAAGGCACTTTTTCTATTCCTATCTCATCCAGGGTTTTAATATTCTATCTTGTGTATTCAGCCTGCCCTATTTGTTTGACTTTTATTATGTTATTATGCACTGTTTATTTTATTTTGTTCGTTTATGTATTTTGTTCTGATGTAATTTTTTTTCTGTTGTTTTGTATTTTATTGTATTGTATTTTTGGCCTTGGCCTCATGTGAGCCGCCCCGAGTCCCCTTTGGGGAGATGGTGGCAGGGTATAAATAAAGTTTATTTATTGTATTGTCGAAAGCTTTCATGGCTGGAATCACTGGGTTGTTGTAGGTTTTTTCGGGCTATATGGCCATGTTCTAGAGGCATTTCTCCTGACGTTTCGCCTGCATCTATGGCAAGCATCCTCAGAGGTAGTGAGGTCTGTTGGAAATAGGAAAAATGGGTTTATATATCTGTGGAATGACTGGGGTGGGGCAAAGAGCTCTCTGCTGAAGCTAAGTGTGAATGTTTCAGCTGACCACCTTCATCTAACCATTTTCCTATTTCCAACAGACCTCACTACCTCTGAGGATGCTTGCCATAGATGCAGGCGAAACGTCAGGAGAAATGCCTCTAGAACATGGCCCTATAGCCCGAAAAAACCTACAAGAACCTAAAGTTTATTATTATTATTATTATTGGGAAATCCTTTGTTGGGAGGTGTTATAATTGTGTTGTATTTTTTATCTTATGTTTTTAATTGGTTAAGGTGTTTTACTTGTGTGTTTCAATTGTTGTTGTTATTATTATTAGAAACACAAGATGAGTCCACAGCAGACAAGATCACTCTGCTGGCATAAATAAAGATTATTATTATTATTATTAGCAGCTGACCCTAATTGTTTCCTGTCTGGAATTCCCTTGTTGTTGTTTTTTGTGTTGTCCTTTATTTGCTATCCTGATTTTGGAGTTTTAAAATACTGATAGCCAAATTTTGTTCAATTCCATGGTTTCCTCCTTTCTGTTGACATTGTCCACATGCTTGTGGATTTCAATGGCTTCTCTGTGTCGTCTGACACAGTGGTTATTATTCTGGCCTAGCATTTCTGTGTTCTCAAATAATATGCTGTGTCTATATTGGTTCATCAAGTGCTCTGCTATAGCTGACTTCTCTGGACTGAATTAAGTCTGCAGTGCCTTTCATGTTCCTTGATTCCCCCAGGCAGGAAGCAGCCAGTCTTTGAAGCTGCAAGGCTATTCAATGCTAATCAAGCTGGCCAATTGCAGCATTCAGATTTGCCTCCAACAGACAACAGTTCTTTCTCCCACCCTGGACATTCCACAGATATATAAACCTCACTTGCCTAGATCCCAACAGACCTCACAACTGCCAGTCTTCGAAGCTGCAAGGCTATTCAATGCTAATCAAGCTGGCCAATTGCAACATTCAGATTTGCCTCCAACAGGCAAGAGTTCTTTCTCCCACCCTGGACATTCCACAGATATATCAACCTCCCTTGCCTAGTTTCCAACAGACCTCACAACTTCTGCTGATGCCTGCCATAGATGTGGGCGAAACGTCAGGAGAGAATGCTTCTGGAACATTGCCATACAGCCCGGAAACTCAAAGCAACTCAATTAAAATCCATAAAAACATATTCAATATTCAAAACCACAGCAGGCCCTCGTGGCAAGGCCCCCTCGGCTCGTCCACTTCTACATCCGGGCACTCAACAGGGCCCTCTCCTCCGAGAGCGCCCAATCGGGGTAGGGAGGGGGGAGACGGGGATCCGACGCTGGGAACTGCTCAGGAGGAGCTCCCCTCTCGCCCACGGCGGCGCCCCTGGTCGGGCAAAGCCCTCCGCTTCCTCCCAGCCGGGAACGGAGCGCCTCGGCCAAAACGTTCCCACGGATGGCAAAGGATTCCCGGGAGGAGAGCCCAGAGCAGCGTACTCACCATGGCTGCGCTCCGCCGAGAAAGGACCACCGCTTCCGCTCCTGAACGGATATCCGGTGCTACGGTCTGGAATGGCTATACAGAGCTTCTCGGCTGTCTCTGGTGGCACTCAACAGCGGCACCTACTGGCCGGTGGTGGTGCAGACCAGAGAAAATGTGGATTTCTTGGCAGCAAGACCCAAGTTATTGTCGAAGTTCATGGCTGGAATCACTAGGTTCTTGTGGGTTTTTTCGGGCTATAGGGCCATGTTCTAGAGGCATTTCTCCTGACGTTTCGCCTGCATCTATGGCAAGCATCCTCAGAGGTAGTGAGGTCGGCTGGAATTAGGACAATGGGTTTATATATCTGTGGAATGGCTGGGGTGGGGCACAGAGCTTTTCTCTGCTGGAGCTAGGTGTGAATGTTTCAACTGACCACCTTCATTAGCATTTGAACAGAAAGGAATTTCAATTTCAACAGAATGGAAGAGACCATGAAAATGAACAAAATCTGGCTACCAGTATTAAAAAAACTCTAAAATTACAACAGCAAAACAGCAGAGAGGAAACAACCAGGCACATCTTAACACCTCTCAACAAAAGATTTTCCCAGGCTCAGCCAGGCCTTCAAATGCTAATGAAGGTGGTCAGTTGAAACATTCACACCTAGCTCCAGCAGAGAATTTATTTATTTATTATTTATTATTTACTTCTTTTGTATACCGCCTATATCAGCCGAAGCGACTCTAAGCGGTTTAGAGCTCCTTGCCCCACCCCAGCCATTCCACAGATATATAAACCCATTTCCTAATTCCAACAGACCTCACTACCTCTGAGGATGCTTGCCATACATGCAGGCAAAACGTCAGGAGAAAATGCCTCTAGAACATGGCCATATAGCCCGGAAAACCTACAACAACCCAAGACCTAAGTTATTTATCTATTACTAGCCGTCCCCTGCCACGCGTTACTGTGGCCCACTCTGGTGGTCATTGGGGTTCTGTGTGGGAGGTTTGGCCCAATTCTATCGTTGTGGGGTTCAGAATGCTCTGTGATTGTAGGTGAACTATAAATCCCAGCAACTACAACTCCCAAATGTCAAGATTCTGTTTTCCCCAAACTCCACCAGTGTTCACATTTGGGCATATTGAGTATTCGTGTAGAGTTTGGTCCAGATCAATCATTGTTTGGGTCCACAGTGATCTCTGGATGTAGGTGAACTACAATTCCAAAATCAAAGGACACTGCCCACCAAACCCTTCCATTATTTTCTGTTGGTCATGGGAGTTCTGTGTGCCAAGATTGGTTCAATTCCAACGTTGTTGGAGTTCAGAATGCTCTTTGATTGTAGGTGAACTATAAATCCCAGCAACTACAACTCCCAAATGTCAAGGTCTATTTTCCCCAAACTCAACCAGTGTTCACATTTGGGCATATTGAGTATTTGTGCCAAGTTTGGTCCAGATCCATCATTGTTTGAGTCCACAGTGCTCTCTGGATGTAGGTGAACTACAGCTCCAAAACTCAAGGTCAATGTCCACCAAACTCTTTCAGTATTCTCTGTTTGTCATGGGAGTTCTGTGTGCCAAGATTGGTTCAGTTCCATCATTGGTGGAGTTCAGAATGCTCTTTGATTGTAGGTGAACTATAAATCCCAGCAACTACAACTCCTAAATGACAAAATCAATTCTTTTGAGTAAAGGACATACATTGGGTTGTTAGGTGTCTTGCGTCCAAATTTGGTGTCAATTCGTTCAGTGGTTTTTGAATTCTGTTAATCCCACAAACAAACATTACATTTTTATTTATATAGACTAGCCGTCCCCTGTCATGTGTTGCTGTGGCCCACATGGGGGTTCTATGTGGGAGGTTTGGCCCAATTCTATCGTCGGTGGGGTTCAGAATGCTCTGTGGTTGTAGGTGAACTATAAATCCCAGCAACTACAACTCCCAAATGTCAAGATTCTATTTTCCCCAAACTCCACCAGTGTTCCCATTTGGGCATATTGAGTATTCCTGTAGAGTTTGGTCCAGATCCATCATTGTTTGAGTCCACAGTGATCTTTGGATGTAGGTAAACTACAACTCCAAAATTAAAGGAAACCACGCAAGGAAGGGAGCAGAGTGGCACCAGAATGAGCCCAAAACAGAGGGCAGGAAAGATCTGAGTGGTGGTAAGTGGCTGGGAACAACAGATAAAGCAGGCAGCAATTATATCAAAAAAAGTTTTATTTTCAAGGCAAAACAACTTTTAAAATCAGCTTTCTTCCTGGGAGCGGACAAAGGCAATAAAAGAGGAAAGGAGGTTCCCCCAGACTCACTTTCTCCACTTCCTCCTGCTGTTCAGTTGCCCTCAACAGTGACCGATTTACCATGAGCCCTTCATATTTCCAGTATAGCAGTGATTCTCAACCTGTGGGTCCCCAGATGTTTTGGCATTCAACTCCCAGAATTTCTGGGATTTCTGGGAGTTGTAGGCCAAAACACCTGGGGACCCACAGGTTGAGAACCACTGCAGCATAAACTGTGGAGATCTGATTATTTGCAGATTTGAGTACAATGGTCTCTCTAGGTCAGTGGTTCTCAACTTATGGGTCCTCAGATGGTTTGACCATCAACTCCCAGCTGGTAAACTAGCTGGGATTTCTGGGAGTCCAAGGCCAAAACACCTGGGGACCCCACAGGTTGAGAATCACTGCTATAGGTCCTCCAGTACGATTCTATGGTCAACATTTGAGGGAAGTTGCCCACAGAGTTGTGATGGAGGATCTAGAGATTCCTAGATAAGTTTTTCAACTTTTGTGGGGCCCCCGAACCCCTAACTGGAGGGTAGACTGTCACCCCAAAGACCCAGACTCTGGTGATGTCAGTCACAAGCAGCATCTCCCAGCTCAGGTACATCACAGCCTCCTCCAGAGAAACAGCTCTATCAGAAAAGCAGGTACCAAACGGCAACGGTAGCAGCTGCAACGGGTGAGTGGGCCCCAATGAGCCCGGGGATGATGATGACTCCAGGAGCCTCATCAGAGACAATTTCCAGAATCCTCCATCTGCTGCTGACTACTTCCAAGCTGCACTCTGTTCCAGGAGACATTTGTCATAGAGGAAGCAGGCACTGCTACGCCACATGTTTCAGGTTCCCTGTAAACAGAGCAACGCTCAAAGAGGCATCCTTTTCTAACGTGGGGGCCCTCTGCCCACCCCCTCCATCCCCAAGGAGCAGCTGCACCAATCAGGGTGTCCAAAGGGTGCACAGCACAAACCCAAAAAGGGACAGCAGGCCATTTAGGGGAAATGGCCCTGAGTTTTCAAACAGCTCACCTTTTATACAGCTGAGTATTTCCTGGATTTTCTTCGGTTCGTTGCGGTCAGGTCTGCAACTTGGCGTGATCTCCAAGACGTAGTCTGGGCCATATTCTGTGAAGAACTACAAAAGAGGAAGTGGGAAGGCTCAAGAGGCTATGGGACCAAGCGTTCGGCCACTGAACGGCAAGCAAATGAAAGAAGACTTAAGCAACTTGTGACAATGAATTGACCCAGACTTGGATTTTTAATAGGCGTGTTTTAATCTATTTAAAAAGATATTTTAATGTATTGTTGAATGTTTTATGATGCTGGCATCGTATGGTGCTTCTGTGAGGCCGCCCTGAGCGCCCCCGCTCCCCCGCCCCCCGGGGGTGAGAAGGGTCGGATATAAATATAGGAAATAAATAAATAATTCTTATTTATATACCACTCCATCTCCCCGAGGGGACTCAGAACGGTTCCCAGGTAACATCACAGAAAATACAAAGTAAAAAAACAACATAACCATAAAATTAACAAAACAAAATATAAGCACAAAAATTGTCGCCATAACACATATATTAAAAGTAATTCTGTCTGTTCAAGGCAATTTAAAAATTTAAAAGGCCGGGCCAAGATTCGTGCAAGCCCAAAAATTCTAGGGAATTAAGTGCAATGCTATGGCAGGCAACAATAATATTAGGTGCGGGTCTGTGGCTGTTCATAAAATAAATAAAAGCAGTGGTTCTCAACCTGTGGGTCCCCAGGTCTTTTGGCCTACAACTTCCAGAAATACCAACCAGTTTATTAGCTGTTAGAATTTCTGGGAGTTGAAGGCCAAAACATCTGGAGACCCACAGGTTGAGAAATAGGAGGGGAGGCATTTCTGGAGGCTCTAGAGAAGGAGAGGGGAAGGGAGGGGTGGATCCTGGCCTCTCAAGTCCCACCTAAGTTTCCCACTGAGTTGGTGAAGAAGGGACCATTACCTCATGATCCGGGATCTCTGAGGATAACGTTCTCCCTAGAATGACTGCAGTCAAGTAAGTCCAGCACCGGACTGTGTTGGCAAGATGGTAGCCCCCTGTCTCCAGGAGCAAATGGTCATCAAGTCCAGAAGAAGAAGAAGAGAAAGAGAGGGAGAGAAAGAATGGGAGGTGAACTCAAGGAGCACATTGTGAGACCAGCAGATGGCCTTTTGCATCACTCAAAGACTGCAACACTCAAATAATTTCCAGCTGCAGAAAAGAAGATCCAGGGGCATATAGCAGAACTGGGCAAAGAACCAGAGTGATGGCACCAGGAAGCCAAGGCTGCTCAAAGAAACCGTCTGGACAAAAGCGCACCCTCCACACCCACATTCCACTCCCCATCGCTCTGTGCTTCAGCCACCCAAAGTCAAGAGCTCTGGGTGTCCATGAGGAAAAAGGAATCAAACAGCTGGTGCTGGCAAATCCCCCACTGGACCGCAAGGGCCTCCCAAGCAACACCCCTTCCTCCTTTGCCACTCACCTCCTCCCAGGACGAGGGTTGGCCGCTGCCATTGCAAGACGTATCGCAGGCACTTGCCAATCCCTTCAGGGGTCAGGTTGAAGGAGCACATGGGGTCCCCAGCAATGGTGTCTGCCCCCAACTGCAGGACCACAGCTTCAGGACTAAATGCCGCATAGACTTCTTTCAGCACCCTACAAGGGTATCCAGAGGTGGGAAGGAGAGAGGGGTAGGGAGCAACCTGTAACCATGAGATATGTCCATGAGGAGGGCACTTCCAATGAAGTCTGGACAAAAGTGCACCCTCCACACCCACATTCCACTCCCCCATCGCTCTGTGCTCCAAACCAAATTTCCTGCTATAGTTAATGACGCCCCAGAAGGAAGATCTTTACCCCCAAAGACCCATTACCCCTCAGGGGCTGCTGGATGGAAAGGCTTACGTCTCGCAGATCTGGTAGTATCGCTCATCCTGGATGCCATCTTGGAGGGGCACGTTGACGCTGTAGTAGCGCCCCTTCCCCAGGCCCACATCCGTCACGTCTCCTGTTCCTATGCAAAATGTACACAGGAGGCCATGAAGGGAGTGTGTTGGGAAGGGTGGCCTTTGTCAGAAATATTAAAAAACTATTAATATTAAAAAAAACTAACTAAAATTCCTGAACGAAGTCTGTAAACTGAATGGGTAGCAAATGTGAAGTTCCCTTCTCTACGGCTTGTACTGTATTTTATACTTTTTTTTGCTATAATAATAATAAACTTTATTTGTACCCCGCCACCATCTCCCCAATGGGGACTCGGTGCGGCTTACATGAGGCCAAGCCCAAACAACAATTACAAAAAATAAAACTAAAAATGCAAATAATAAACAATAATGACATAAAACAAATGAAAACATAGCAATATAAAATTACAATAAGCACAATCACAATAATAATGAGCAAGCTACATGTAATGAATAAAAGAAAGGCTGATTAAAAGCAGATTAAAAACTCAGGCGAGATAAAACAAAAACATTATTTGCAGAGGAGAGATCATTACAGTGAAGGTCATGGAACCAAGCTTTCCCACAAGCGGGGAATGTACTCCAATGACAAAAACAGCTATGAGGATGTAAATCTATTCATCAAATGCGCAGCAGAAGAGCCAAGTTTTGAAGTTCTTTTTAAAGGTTTCTAGGGTAAGGGCTTTCCTAATCTCTCCAGGTAGTGAGTTCCAGAGTCGGGGAGCCACAGAGGAAAAAGCTCTCTCCCTTGTACTCACCAGGTGAGACTGGCAGGGGCAAAAGAAGGGCCTCCCCAGAAGAACGGGCTATGCATATGTCAATAAAGGCTTATTGGATTAAATAAAAATAATAAAAAACTAACTAGGTATTTTAAATTACAAAAATGTGAGTCAAACACTGAAAGGGTTAAATGAATGCAATGAATCAGCAAAAGCTGCAGTTCAATATAAGCAGGTGTGCCTGTAGCTTGGTACACCTCAATGTTAGTTGCCCTCGGTATGGGGGAAGCCTCAGTATGAGAGAAGCCTCAGTGTGATAAGGCTCCAATGTTAAGTGGCCTCTGTATGAGAGTGCCTCAGTGTTGGTAGGTCTCGGTGTGACATGGGCCTCAGTATGTGAGAGGCCTGGTGTGAGAAGGCTTTGATGAGAGAAGCCCCAGGTTGAAGGCCTCGTGTGTAAAGCTCCAGTGTAAAGGCTGCTGTGTGTAAAAGGCTACTATTTGAAGCTCCTGTGTAAGTTTGGTGTAAGAGGCTCTGTGAGAGTAAAGCTGTTTATCTGCATGAGAAAGAAGCCCAGCGTGGAAGCAAAGAAGGAAGTGTAAACAACTTTGTGTTGTTCTTGTAAATAATGCAACCATATTATTTTGCTATAAAGAAAAGCCTCCTAAGGAAAAGATACCATTGGTCTGTGTGTTTTTGTTCTTTTTATCACTTTTGGCTGCTGGTGCTGTGTCACGCTGCTGCTAATAAGTTACTCTGCTGTACAAAGATGAGGAGGGTCTTTTGTTAATAAGCTCACTCGCCCAACAACCTTGTGTCGGGAAGGGTGGTCTTGTGCCATGAAGCACAGCACCATGGTTTGCTCTGTAAGTCCCTCAAGGAGCAAAGGTGGAGCACAAAAGCAGGGCAAGGGCTTCCCAGTACTCTTATGAAACTGCATCCAGAGACCTTCAGCAAGAGCTGTTGCGTCTCCACTCGACCTCCAAGAGATCCCTCAAGGGTTTTGGGATCTTGCACAGAGCAGAGACAGTCAAGAGAAAATGAAGATGGATATTTTGGTTGGCAATGCAAAGAGAAACCATAGGAAGTTAGAGCTAATCAACGAAGCAGATGGTTTTGACACTCTGTACCTTTGAATCAACTGCAGTTTATGGTGACCCCATGCTAGATTTTCCCTGGCCAGATTTCTTCAGGGGATTTGTTACTATACTGGCCTTCCTTTGAGGCTGAAAGAGGGACCTTCCCAAGTGGGTCCTCATGTCCAAGTGGGGATTTGAACCTCGGTCTCCCAGAATCCTGGTCCAAGGCATTTGCTTAGAGCTGATTGCTTACCTGGGAAAAAACCAGGTGAAAATTTGTGCAGAGACACGGTCATGACCTTGGAGGTGAAGCTGAAAGCATCTTCTACACCTGTTTTGGGGATGATGGAAAAAAACCCTCAGTACGTGAGAGGAAAGGCAGAAGAGACTCAGTAGGTGACCAGCGTATGAATCCTCACCGTCCCCATGATGCAAGTCAAGGTCGACGTACAGGACACGCTCAAACTTCCGCCGCAGTTGCAAGATGCCCAGGACAGCATCGTTCAGGTAACAGAAGCCGGAAGCTTCATCTCTGGAAACAAAGGGTGAAGGTGGAGAAGGACTTCTTAGCCAAAATATGGACAACCACAAACTCCACCAAAGCATCCCAAGCAGCAAAAAGGCAGATTTGACAGAGGAAGGAGAAACATATGGACAGAATTGTTCGAATTCAACTCCACACTGCCTAAGTCTCTAGTCCTCAATGAGGAACAGTTTAGTTAGCTTAGTAGAGACTAAGGATTTCCCTTCCTCCATGTCTCCTGTATGGCAGTTGGGAATGTACCTATTTTTTCTCTCTTTCTGCTCTCGTTCTGATTGGTTGTTTAAAATGAATACTTTTCTACTGCAAGCCTTTCTTAATCTGTCTTCTGCCTTCTTACACTTTAGTACGGAGAGTATGTGCTGTGTGCTTTGAGAGCTCTCTCTGTTTATGTGTCTGGAGAGATGTAGTGACTGGGTTTTTCCCTCTCTTGAAACTTTAGAAGAGATGGGTGTTAGAGTAGCTCAGACCCAGGTCTTGATTAAGAAATGCGGTTATTTTTTATTATTGTAAATAAACCTTTTGTGATTTTTTAAGATAGGACTCTGCATGTTTGCTTCCTATGCTCTGAATTCTTTACAGCCACATCACACAGCACTTCACACACTGCACGCTAATGACTTGATGCTCAACTTTTTGTATCCTGTTTGATTTTTTGATGCTTTGCTAATTTTAGAGTATCCAAAAGTGCAAAAATGAGGCCAGGATGAAAATAATAATAATAATAATAATAATAATAATAATAATAATAATAATGTTGCAATCCCAGGTGACAGCAGGATTGCAGAGAAACAACTGGAAAAGCTGACACGATATGAGGATTTAAAGATCAAACTGCAAGGACTCTGCCACAAGTCAGTCAAGGTGGTCCCAGTGGTGATTGGCACACTGGGTACAGTGCCTAAAGACCTTGGCCTGCACTTAAACACAATCGGCATGGACAAAATTACCATCTGCCAGTTGCAGACTCTGGCACAAGCCAGTCAAGGTGGTCCCAATGGTGATCAGCACGCTGGGTGCAGTGCCTAAAGACCTTGGCCTGCACTTAAACACAATCGGCGCTGACAAAATTACCATCTGCCAGTTGCAGATGGCCACCTTACTGGGATCTGCACGCATTATTCGCCGATACATCACACAGTCCTAGACACGTGGGAAGTTTCCGACATGTGATCCAATATAACAGCCAGCAGAGTGTCTACTGTGGGCTTATCTTGTTATTTCAAATAATAATAATAATAATAATAATAATAATAATAATAATAATAATCTTTATTTATACCCCGCCACCATCTCCCCAAAGGGGACTCAGGGCGGCTTACATGAGGCCAAGCCCGGTAATACATAACAGTAAAATAAATACAGAACAACAAAACAAATCATCACAGTAAAATAAAAACATAATAGTAAAATAAAACAGTGCAAAATAACAAGGTGAAAAATCAAACACAAAGGGGGGGGGGGCAGCAAATGTACAACATAAAATGATAACACTGGATGAGATAAAAATGAAAAAGGTATATATGAAAGGGGGAATGCCATCTTGTGCAAGCTGATGGATTAACCAGCCAAAGTGTATCATACAGAGATAAGGGGGGGGGGGTATATCCTGCCCCGACATAAATTAGAAAAACACAAGCACATTCCTTACTTTTTAGCATGATGCCAGCCTCCTTGCCAGTTGATGGCCACCTGGCACTTGCCGTCCACTAAACACTGGGCAGCTGTGATAGTGGCCCCTCCCACGGCCGCTGCATAGTCAAAGATCCCTTCGCTGGTCGGACAGTCATAACCTGGAGAGATCGGAGCGAAAAGGGGACACCGTGGGTGGAAGAGGAGGCCCTGCTCTCAGTCCACCCCCTTTGCAGGTGCAGTTGGTGGAGATGAAAGACAGGGTCTTCTCAGTGGTGGCCCCTACAACACTGGAGAAATTGTTTAGCCGATATTGCACCACCTGACATCCGCCGGGAAGTATCAGCCAATAGTGAAAGTACCAAAGCAGTGACATCTCCAGCTCATCCCGTTTGGGTATAAGCCAGCACATCAACAACTTAAATCAATACATAGTTTTCTAAGATCTACAGAGACACTTGCTGGAACACTTCAGCAAGCGAGAGTCCAAAAGTGGCAGGTTCAAACCCAGAACCTCAATCAATGGCTGATACCAAGTGAGAGACTCCCCCCTGGGCACACAGAAGACTGGGCGACTTGGAAGGCGCTGAACAGACTGCGCTCTGGCACCACGAGATGCAGAGCCAACCTTAGGAAAAGGGGCTACAAAGTGGAATCCACGACATGCGAGTGTGGAGAAGAGCAAACTATAGACCACTTGCTGCAATGCAGCCTGAGCCCTGCTACATGCACAATGGAGGACCTTCTTAAGAGTAACACCAGAGGCACTCCAAGTGGCCAGATACTGGTCAAAAGACATCTAATCAACTACCAAACTTGCAAACTTTGTGTTTTGTTTGTTTGTTAAAAATGCAATACAATTGTTTGGTTTGCTCCTGACACAATAAATAAATAAATAGTGGAGGCCCTGTGGCTGTGGAACTCCTTTCCCAGCGATATTAGATTGGCTACCTCCCTCCTGTCCTTTAGAAAGACAGTGAGGACTTGGCTATGGAGCCAAGTGTTTGTAGAGTAGTTACAGTGCAATATACAGCTACAAAGTCAAGATGATTGGAACTGCTTTTGGACTATGATTTCAGGACTGTGCTATGTTTTAACTGCTTATTTAAATGTATTTATATATTTCCGTTTAATGATTTTAATGCATAATGTATTTTGTATGTTTTATTGTTTTAATGCGGCATTGAATTATTATAATAAAGTAATCCTTTTTTTTAGAGCCCCCCCCCCCCCCCAGTGGTGCATGGGTTAAACCACTGAGCTGCTTAATTTGCTGACAGAAAGGTCGGTAGTTCAAATCCAGGTAGTGGGATGAGCTCCCACTGTTAGCCCAGTTCCTGCCAACCTAGCAGTTCAAAAACATACAGGTGTGAGAAGATCAATTGGTACCACTTCTGCGGGAAGGTAATGGTGCTCCATGCATAACCTTAGAGGTGTCTATGGACAACACCAGCTCTTCAGCTTAGAAATTGAGATGAGCACCACCCGCCAGACTCAGCCACGACTAGACTTAATGTCAAGGGAAACCTTTACCTTTTTATAAATATTTTTATTTATTGTGCCAGAAGCACATTAAGGGTATATTTAAAATCTATTTAAAACACAAAGAAAGTTTCCCCATTTCAGGAGCAACCTGAGAAACTGCAAGTCGCTTCTAATGTGAGAGAATTGGCAGTCTTCAAGGCCGTTGCCTAGTCGCTTCTAATGTGAGAGAATTGGCAGTCTTCAAGGCCGTTGCCTAGGGGATGCTCGGATGTTTTGATGTTTTACCATCATTGTGGGAGGCTTCTCTTGTGTCCCTGCAAGGGGAGCTGGAGCTGACAGGGGGAGCCCCGACCTGTTGGTCTTCAGTCCTGCCGGTACAAGGCTTTAACCCATTGTGCCACCGGGGGCTCACAAAGATATTAAAAACTTGGCATTATGCTAAATGAATTTTGACCAGTAGCTGGCCACTTGGAGTGCAAATAATAATAATAATAATAATAATAATAATAATAATAATAATAATCTGCCAGCTGCAAAAGGCCATCTTACTGGGATTGGCACACATTATTCGCTGATACATCACACAATAGGATTTAAAGATCGAACTGCAAAGACTCTGGCACAAACCAGTCAAGGTGGTCCCAGTGGTGATCGGCACACTGGGTGCAGTGCCTAAAGACCTTGGCCTGCACTTAAACACAATCGATGCTGACAAAATTACCATCTGCTAATTGCAGAAGGCCACCTTACTGCAAGCATTATTCGCCAAATACATCACATAGTCCTAGACACTTGGGAAATGTCCGATGTGTGATCCAATTCAACAGCCAGCAGAGTGTCTGCTGTGAACTCATCTTGTTGTGTTTCAAATAATAATAATAATCATAATCATAATCATCATCATCTTTATTTATAGGCTGCCCTATCTCCCCGGAGGGACTCAGAGTGGTTTCCAACACATATGGCAAACTTTGAGTGCCAACAAGAAGTCATATAACAAATTACATCAAAATATGACACATCACAGAAAATAGAAAGTAATTTGAAAGCTGCTCTGAGTCCCTTTCAGGGTTGAGACAGAGCAGGATGAAAATACAGTAAATAAATAAATAAGGTGAATGTCAAAAGGTGCCCCCTCCCCCCCCCGCAAAAGACCCATATCCAAGCAGTTCTCCTAGCGGCACCTGGAGCAGAGATTCTCCCGCCAAAGGTCGGTCTCCTTACCTAGTCCATATTCCACAGACTCCGGGTCGTCGTCGTCGCCTTCTTCGCTGACCTTCTGCAGGTGCTGCAAGTAGGCATCTGTGTGGAAGGCAGCCATCTCTTCCATAGAGGCCACTTTGGGCTGGACGATCCTGGGGAAAGCAAGTGGCTAAGCCAGGCCCAGTGCTCAGGGGCCCAAGGACCATCCAGTCCAACCCCCTTCAGCCAGACAAGAAGACACCATCCAATCACTCCCAACAAATGGCCATTCAGCCATAGGTAAATGACCATAGATGTGATTGAAAGAGAGAGAGATTAGATACACACACACACATACGTATAATAATAATAATAATAATAATAATAATAATAATAATAATCTTTATTTATACCCCGCCACTATTTCCCCAATGGGGACTCGGGGCGGCCTACATGAGTCCAAGCCCAAGCAACAAATTACAACAGAGTAAAATCGAAAACGCAAACAATAAACAACATCATACTTACATAAAACATGTACTAGGCGCTCCCTGCCACATGTTGCTTTGGTCCAGTCTGTGTATTTGTGTTTTGTGTGTGTATATGTATATATTTGTGTATATGTGTGTTTGTGTATATATGTGGTTTTGCACATGCGTTGTTATGGTTTGGGGTGGGTTTTTTTTTTTTTGCTGTTTAAGTCTCTTCTGCTGTGTTTTTCAGTGTTTTTATGAGTGATGGTCACTTGTTGGCCTGAGAGGTGTATTGTGTCCAAATTTGGTGTCCATTCATCCAGTGGTTTTTGAGTTATGTTAATCCCACAAACGAACATCACATACACACACACACACACACACACACACATACACTAGCCGCCCCCTGCCAGGCATTGCTGTGGCCCAGTCTGTGTATCTATGTGTATGTGTGTGTGTGTATATATAGTTTTGCATGTGTGTTGTAATGTATTTTTTAATTTTTGGCTTTTCAAATCTCTTCAGCTGTGTTTTTCAGTGTTTTTATTAGTGATAGTCACTAATTGGCCTGAGAGGTGTATTGTGTTCAAATTTGGTGTCAATTCGTCCAGTGGTTTTTGAGCTATGTTAATCCCACAAACAAACATTACATTTTTATTTATATAGATATGTGTACGTATGTATCCTAGAGTTGGATGGGATTCCCAAAGGCCATCCAGTCCAATCCCTTTAGCCAGGCAGGAAGACACCATCTAATCACTCCCAATAGATGGCCATCCAGCCATAAATGACCATAGATGTGATTAAAAGAGAGAGATTACACACAAACACACATATCCTAGAGTTGGAAGGGATTCTCAAAGGCCATCCAGTCCAACCCCCTTCAGCCAGAAAAAGATGATACCATCCAATCACTCCCGACAAATGGCCATTCAGCCATATATAAACCACCATAGATGTAATTGAAAGAGAGATTATATATCTCTCCTAAAGCTGGAAGGGATTTCAAATGCCATTCAGTCCAATCCCGTCAGCCAGGCAAAAAAGTACCATTCAATCACTCTCAATAGATGGCTATCCAGTCATAGATAAATGATAGATATCATTGAAAGAGAGATTATATTTCTCTCCTAGAGTTGGAAGGGATTTCCAAAGCCATCCTGTCCAATCCCTTCAACCAAGCTGAAAGTTACCATCCAATCATTCCCAACAGATGGCCATCCAGCCATAGATAAACAACCATAGATGTGATTGAAAGAGAGAGATTACACACAAACATGCATATCCTAGAGTTGGAAGGGATTCCCAAAACCCATCCAGTCCAACCCCCTTCAGCCAGAAAAAGAAGACACCCATTAAAAAAACTCCCGATAAATGACCATCCAGCCATAGATAAATGACCATAGATGCGATTGAAAGATATATGTGTGTGTGTGTGTGTGTGTATATATATATATATATATATATATCTCCTAGAGTTGGATGGGATTCCCAAAGGCCATCCAGTCCAATCCTTTTAGTCAGGCAGGAAGACACCATCCAATCACTCCCAATAGATGGTCATCCAGCCAAAGATATATGACCATAGATGTCATTGATTGATTGATTGATTGATTGATTGAAAGAGAGAGATTACACACAAACACACATATCCTAGAGTTGGAAGAGATTCCCAAAAGCCATCCAGTCCAACCTCCTTCAGCCAGAAAAAGAAGACACCATCCAATAACTCCCAACAGATGGCCATCCAGCCGTAGATAAACAACCATAGATGTTGTTTTCGGGTTTTTTTACTATATGGCCATGTTCTAGAAGCATTTTCTCCTGACGTTTCGCTTGTATCTATGGCAAGCATCCTCAGAGGTTGTGAGGATGCTTGCCATAGATGCAGGCGAAACGTCAGGAGAGAATGCTTCTAGAACATGACCATATAGCCTGAAAAACCTATGACAACCCAGTGATTCCAACCATGAAAGCCTTCAACAACCATAGATGTAATTGAAAGAGAGATTATATCTCTCTCCTAGAGTTGGAAAGGATTCCCAAAGCCATCCTGTCCAATACCTTRAGTCAGGCAGGAAGACACCATCCAATCACTCCCAACAGATGGCCATCCAGCCATTAAAAAAAACCATAGATGTAACTGAAAGAGAGATTATACTGTATATTTCTCCTAGAATTGGAAGGGATTTCCAAAGCCATCCTGTCCAATACCTTCAGTCAGGCAGGAAGACACCATCCAATCACTCCCAACAGATGGCCATCCAGTCATAGATAAACGACCATAGATGTGATTGAAAGAGAGAGGGATCACATACACACACACACACACACTTATCCTACCCACCCACCCTGTTSCCTGCCTGTCTGCCTACCTCATGTGATCCAGCAGCGAGTAGGCCTTGATCAAGGAGTGAACCATGCTGGCCTAAAAAGAAAGGGACAACAGGGGAGAGAAGTGGTCACAAAGGCATCCAAAGAAACAAGACACACAAAAAGTGGTCACAAAGACACTCTCCACATCAGGCCATAACAGGGATATTAGAGTTGGAAGAGACCCCCAGAGGTCATCCAGTCCAACCCCCTTCTGCCACAAAGGAAGGTGCCAGCAGATCCCAACTCAAAGAAAGCACTCTGGGAAAGTCTAGAGTCGTAAGGGACCCCCCAAAGACGATGGCAGGAGGACACAATCCGATCCCTCCCGACAGATGGCCATCTCCAGCCTCTCAAAAACCTCACTGGACTGCAAAGGAGATGCCACATAAGCACTAGGAAGTACTTGCTAGTGTTTAGATTAGTTCTAAGCAAACTTGGGCCTTCCAGGTGTTTTGGACTGCAACTCCCACCATTCCTAACAGCCTCAGGCCCTTTCCTTTTCCCCCTCAGCCGCTTAAGCTGTTAGGAATGGTGGGAGTTGCAGTCCAAAACACCTGGAAGGCCCAAGTTTGCCCATCCCTGTTTTAGACTCTTCCTGGCCTTTGACTCCATTGCCATCCCTCCCTCTGACCCACCCTCTGGGGCACTTTGCAGAGAGCATCGCATCGCGCCACATATTCGGCGCTATAAACATAGCAGGGAGGCGGCGGCGGAGCGGCGGCCATAAGAGACCCGGACTCTCCTTCCTCTTTCCTTCCTTCCTTCTTTGATTCCTTCTTTCCTCTCCCCGGGCCGTCCACACGGGGGCGCGCGTTGCAACCCGGCCACTTCCGGCAGACGGACGCAGCCACTTGGGAACTTCCGGCGCGACATTCTAGGAAGCGTGGTTCTTCTTTCCTGCTTTGCTCAGGGGGAGGAGACCTTTCAATGGCGGGGAAAGCAGAGGCTAGGGCGGGAAGGCCGAAAATGGTAGTAAAAGGGCTCTACCCATTGAGGGCAAGCGGGGGAGAGTGAAAGAGTGCCTTTGAGTATGTATAAAGGAGGCCCTGCTTGGCTCGTCTGGGCCACCAAGGCATTTGCTGCTGTAATACAAATATGTGATGTGCTGAGAAATATCTTATTTCACGTGGTGAGCCCGAGCGCAGCGGGGAGCCCCGCCTTCACATTGGTGTGAACTGCAGCGGAGAGTTCCGCAGTTCCTGGACCAAGCTTTTGGGACCAACGGATGAAATGTGCCCCAGCAGCCAGCTCAAAACCAGGAATGCTTGCAGTTTCACCTTGCTTTCCCCTTCGCTTTACTTTGTATCCTTTCCCTAATAAAAGTACTTGAAACCTGCAACTTTTTATCTTTCCGCATGCTACTTTTGTATCCTTTCTTGACTCAAACAAAATAACATTGCAATAGACCTTTTTTTGGGCTCCGGAGAGCCGTGAGCCCGCGGGAGGCGCCTCCGGGCGCCCCCCGGACCCCGAATCTGCGTTCGCCTAGACCGCGGATACGGAAACCGCCATTTCAGACCCCCTTATCCACGAAAATACTTAAGATGGCGGATCGCCGCCGTTCCAATTTTATATTTTTCTACAACTAATTCTAAGACTAACTGCCATTTCCCTTTTCTCGTTTTGGGCTCCTTCACCCGGGGAAAAATTAGTTTTGTTTTAAGTATTTTATCTTGCAGAGAAACAGCTGATTGTCAAACTGGCCAGGCTCTTCGCTTCTTCTTGGCGGCACTCGCTCCCGCTTGGATCCAACAGCCAGGGACCCACTGCGGCCACCCGCAGGAGTCCCGGAAAGGCGGCCAGGCATGGGCCCCGGCCCCTGATCAGGGAAATGTAGTTTCCCAAAGGACATTGCTCCACAATCACAACCCGGAAACCTTCCTTGGACTCTCTTATTTGCCCTCTCCTATTGACTTTCTGCTCCACATCCTGGACTGTTTTCTGCCACATTTTTGGACGCAAACCCTCAGATCAGGCTTGCTCCGAGTCGCAAGCAGCCTCCGCTTCCGTGTGCCTTCACCAGGAAACCATGAACTTCTCTCAATAATAAAGTGACTGAATACTTTATTAATAAACTTTCGCTGGGGATGGGGATGGGATTGCCTTATGAAATGTATAGAATATATGAAATGTATGTAATGGAATGAAATGTACGTCCAGGTGCGTCACCCGTGTTGGTCACAGTGGCCTGTGAAAGTGGCAGCCAATCAGAAAGCTGCCACATACCCCTCCCACCGCATACATACATACCTACATACATACAAACACTCTCTTTTATTATATATGTAGATTTATGGAACTGCTTGATAATGCAATAGAATAACGATTTGACATGGAGACGCTCACAATAATGTTTTAAGGCTTTGTACGGTTTTTATATATTTTTTTATATCATATGCTACTGTTTTGGACAGAATTTCTTGATTGTTTTTACTTGTTATAATTGTTGAGGCATCGAATTGTTGCCAATTTGTGAACCGCTCCGAGTCGTCTCTGGGCTGAGAGGGGTGGTATATAAATATAATAAATAAATAATATATAAATATCTGTTTGTTTACTGCATTTATATACTGCTTTTCTCACCCCTGGGGGGGGGGGGGCACAACTCAAAGTGGTATACAACAAGTAATGGCAAAATTCAATGTCAACATATATACAAACCAAAGAATAATAACTAAAATGATAACATGTAACTATAAATTAAACCTTAAAATCATATTAAACATAGAACATAAATAGACGTCCCCGTGATTCACTCTTTCAGGAGTGAATTTCCCTTCTTAGGGGTAGATTTGTTTTCATTTCTGGTTGTCTCACTCATGTTTTTCACGATGAGTCATTTGTAGGTCAGACATTGTCACTCGGAGATTGCCTTTAATTTGCTTTTGCCTGAGCCTATGGAGAAGGGCACGGTTTTGCCTCCTTCACTCCTTGGAAATCGTCCTTTGAAGCGTTGTCAGAAAAAGGAACTTTTCCAAACTCTCTCCATAGAGAGCTGTCTTAAAATTGCAAAGTGTCTCTTTGTTGCCAAGGAAGAGCACTGGGTGGGGAAGAAACTGGGTGGCCAAGCCAGGCCAATGCCAGATGTTGTGGTTTCTATAATGATGGGAAATTACTCTGCCCCTGTCAACAGCTGACAATCTATTTGCATGGCGTTCCAATTAGTTTTCTGGGATGCGAAAGAAACCTGTCGTATTTGGCAACACACACACATCTGTCTATTCAAATGCTCTGGGGGATTGTCAGGGAAAGACTTCTTGTCCCAGCCCCAGAGCACGCTAGGGGTCACACGATGCTCCGCAAGTGAAAGAGAATCCAAAAAGGCATTTATTTTGAAAAATCAATTACCATATACACTCATATATCAGTCAACCTCATGTATTAAATTGAGGGAGGATTTGGGGGGTCGAAATTATGGATTCTGATGAGACCTGTGGATAAGTTGTGGGCCATTCTGCAGAGAGGAGAAGCCCGAAAGACGATTCCAAGAGTTAGAGGGGTTTGGTGCTTCTTTTAGGTTCTCCGAGGCCCCATCTGCATTGCCATATAATCCACATTGAACTACATTATAACCGTCAGTGTGGACTCATTATGTAGATTGAATTAGTGGATGATCTCCGGAGAGCTCGACAGGGGGAGTGTGTCTCTGTTGGTTCTCCTGGACCTCTCAGCGGCCTTCGATACCGTAGACCAGTGTTTCCCAACCTGGGGGTCGGGACCCCTGGGAGGTTCCCGAGGGGGTGTCAGAGGGGTCACCAAAGACGATCAGAGAACACAGTATTTTCTGTTGGTCATGGGGGTTCTGTGTGGGAGGTTTGGCCCAATTCTATCATTGGTGGGTTCAGAATGCTCTTTGATTGTAGGTGAACTATAAATCCCAGCAACTACAACTCCGAAATGTCAAGGTCTATTTTCCCCAAACTCTACCAGTGTTGTTCATATTTGGGCATATTGAGTATTCATGCCAAGTTTGGTCCAGTTCCATCATTGTTTGAATCCACAGTGCTCTCTGGACGTAGGTGAACCATAATTACAAAACTCAAGGTCAATGCCCACCAAACCCTTCCAGTATTTTCTGTTCATCATGGGGGTTCTGTGTGGGAAGTTGGGCCCAATTCTATCATTGGTGGAGTTCAGAATACTCTTTGATTGTAGGTGAACTATAAATCCTGCAACTACAACTCCCAAATGACAAAATCAACACCCCCCAACCCCACCAGTATTCAAATTTGGGTGCATCGGATATTTGTGCCAAATTTGGTCCAGTGCATGAAAATACACCCTGCATATCAGATATTTACATGACGATTCGTAACAGGAGCAAAATTCCAGTTATGAAGTAGTAACGAAAATAATGTTATGGTTGGGGGTCACCACAACATGAAGGACCTTATTAAGGGGTCGTGGCATTAGGAAGGTTGAGAACCACTGCTTTAGACCATGGTATCCTTCTGGGTCGCCTTGCAAAGATGGAGTTTGGGGGTGCTGTTCTGCAGTGGCTCCAGTCCTTCCTTGAGGATTGTACCAAGAAGGTGTTGTTGGGGAGTCCTGCTCAGTCCCACAGCCATTGTCCTGTGGTGTCCCATAGAGCTCAGTATTGTCTCCAATGTTGTTTAACATCTACATGAAGCTGTTGGGTGAGATTATCCGAAGTTTTGGAGTTCGATGCCATCTGTACGCAGATGATATCCAACTCTATTGCTCCTTTCCACCAGATGCTAAGGAGGCTGTCCAGGTCATTAACTGGTGTCTGGCTGCTGTGACGGTTTGAATGATATTGATATTGACAAGCTGGAATGTGTCCAGAGGAGAGCGACTGATATTGACAAGCTGGAATGTGTCCAGAGGAGAGCGACTAAAATGATCAAGGGTCTGGAGAACAAGCCCTATGAGGAGCGGCTTAAGGAGCTGGGCATGTTTAGCCTGAAGAAGAGAAGGCTGAGAGGGGATATGATAGCCATGTATAAATACGTGAGAGGAAGCCACAGGGAGGAGGGAGCAAGCTTGTTTTCTGCTTCCCTGGAGACTAGGACGCGGAACAATGGCTTCAAACTACAAGAGAGGAGATTCCATCTGAACATGAGGAAGAACTTCCTGACTGTGAGAGCCGTTCAGCAGTGGAACTCTCTGCCCCGGAGTGTGGTGGAGGCTCCTTCTTTGTAAGCTTTTAAACAGAGGCTGGATGGCCATCTGTCAGGGGTGATTTGAATGCAATATTCCTGCTTCTTGGCAGGGGGTTGGACTGGATGGCCCATGAGGTCTCTTCCAACTCTTTGATTCTATGATTCTATGAGGGCGATCAAGCTGAAGTTGAATCCTGACAAGATAGAGGTCTTCCCGGTCAGTCACAAGGCAGAACAGGGTATAGGGTTACAGCCTGTGCTAGATGGGGTTACACTCTCCTTGAACTATATGGGCATCTACACTATAGAATCAATGCAATTTGACTCCACTTTGACTCAATGCAATGGAATCCTGGAACTTGTAGTTTGGGGAGGCACCTGCACTCTTTGGCAGAGGAGGTGGAAAACCTTGTGAAACTACAACTCCAAACTACCACTGAACGAATCCTGTGTGGGCGTTGACTTGAAGGCGCACACACTAATAATGGCTCTACTCTAATCAGGAGCAGCTCTTATGTCAAAGTTTGCTGGCGCTGTGTTTTTAAAAGCCTCATTCCTCAGTTTCTGTGGACAGGGCAGGTCCAAATTCTAAAACTAACAAAGAAAAGTGCTGAAAAAGCCCCATGTGAATATAGCCTCAGCTGTGGCTGATGATAAGCAAAGCTAGCTATTAAAGCCACTTCCCAGTTGGGCAAGTCAGCGATGACTCGGTTTCGTGAATCAGGGCCTGTCATCTTCCTTCCCCTCTTAAAAGGCCATCCACCCTTTTCTTGCACACCCCAAAAACAATTGGAAAAAGATGATGTTGATTTGGAAACCAGCAAGCAAACACAGCAATAAAGCAAAGGAGTCAAGTGATGCTTTTCAGAGTATGATTTGTAATACGATTACTATAACCTGTTTGTGTCACATTTCATGACTCACAGAGAAAACTGACCCAGTGTGCATCTACACTGTAGATTTAATGCAGTTTGGTACCACTTGAACAGACTTGACTAAATGCTATGGAATCCTGGGAGTTGTAGTTTCACAAGGTCTTTAGCCTTCTCTGCCAAAGAGTGTTGAGGCCTCACCAAATTCTAACTCCCAGGATTTCATAGCACTAATGCAGGGCAGTCCAAGTATGTAGATCAGTGTTTCTCAACCTGGGGGTCGGGACCCCTGAGGGGGACTCCCCTCCCCTCAACTCTCGGACCGACAGGGAGCTCTGGCGTGGACTGGTCCATGAAGTCACGAAGAGTTGGAAATGACTGAACAAATGAACAACAAACAAATTTCAACTGAACAGGAATAACATTTATTTGGAGATTTCTCAGGTTCACATATGCTTGGCGGTTACATATTATCTTCTTATTGTCGCTATACTTTACTCGATTCTTCTTAAAACATGTAACTTTTACTATTAAACCTTTAACACTGGGTTATCTTCTATCACTGGTATCCTTGAAGTGACTGGATTGACCTTGAAGGAGCTGGGGGTGGTGACGGCTGACAGGGAGCTCTGGCGTGGGCTGGTTCATGAGGTCACAAAGAGTCGGAAACGACTGAACGAATCAACAACAACAACATATCTTTTATTTGAAACTTAGTTTCCTTTCTCAGTCCCTCTTTTTTATTGCTTCAGATTTGACACTGAAGTCACAATAAAACGCTTGGGAATCCCCGGCTAGATTTTACTTCAGACTTAAATATTTCTACTTTTAATTAATCAAAGTTGAAGATTAAACACCTGGCTCACTACCTGGAGCCACCTTTTCTTTCTGATTACCTGTCAGAGGCTTAAACTACTTGGTCTAGCTCCACATAACTAGAACCAACCATCCTTTGGCTCATCCAGCCACCAACTCACAACTTTTAAAACTGTGTTCTTTCTTTCAGTGGCAGTTGCCTCCGCTCCTTTCTCTTCTGCCTGGAGGCTATGTTGCTATGCCAATGACCCAGCTCAGGCTACCCATAAGATAGCCAACACTTATATCACAACATTAATAAACATACTTACATTTTAATTAGGCCTTTCGTTACAGCTGCCTTTGAAAAGAAAGCCAGAGCTTGTCATCAAAACCAGAGCCAGCCCTCTCCCACCTCCCATCAGCCCAGCTTTTCTTCAGTCCTTTATATTTAGGAACAATGAGAAACCTCATTTAGGCACCTCTCCTCCCAAAGGAGGATGTATTTCACGCATAGAATCATAGAATTGGAAGAGATCTCGTGGGCCATCCAGTCCAACCCCATTCTGCCAAGAAGCAGGAATATTGCATTCAAAGCACCCCCGACAGATGGCCATCCAGCCTCTGCTTAAAAGCCTCCAAAGAAGGAGCCTCCACCACACTCCAGGGCAGAACAACTGCTGAACAGCTCTCTCTCAGAGTGAGGAAATTCTTCCTGATGTTCAGGTGGGATTTCCTTTCCTGTAGTTTGAAGCTATTTTTCCATGTCCTAGTCTCCAGGGCAGCAGAAAACAAGCTTGTTCCCTCCTCCCTGTGACTTCCCCTCACTTCTTGATCTATGGCCCTTATCATGTCTCATCTCAGCCTTTTCTTCTTCAGACTAAACAGGCCCAGCTCTTTAAACCGCTCCTCATAGAGATTGTTCTCCAGAACTTTGATCATTTTAGTCGCCCTCCTCTGGACACATTCCAGCTTGTCAATATTTCCCTTCAATTGCGGTGCCCAGAACTGGACACAGTGCGATTCCAGGTGTGGTCTGACTACGGCAGAGTAGAGGGGTATCATGACTTCCCTGGATCTAGGCACTAGACTCCAATTGATGCAAGCCAAAATCCCATTGATGCAGGCCAAAATCAGAGACCCCTTCAGGGTGAGAAGGGTGGCATATAAATTTCGTAAATAAATAAATAGGCTTCTTTAGCCATTGCATGACATTATTGGTTCATGTCCACCTTCCTGTTCATGAGGACTCCAAGATATTTTTCACATGTCCTGCTCTCAAGCCAGGCATTGTCCCCCATTCTGTATCTTTGCATTTCATTTTTTCTGCCTAAACGGAGTATCTTGCATTTGTCCTTGTTCAATTTCATTGTGTTAGTTTTGGCCAATCATCTCTCTAATCTGTTAAGATCATTTTGAATTCTGCTCCTATTTTCTGGGGCATTGGCTCTCCCTCCCAATTTGGTGTCATCTGCAAACTTGATGATCATGCCTTCTAACCCTTCATCTAAGCCATTAATTATGCCCATTTGATTCTAGGGATCCAAACTCCAAAAACCAGCAGTGAATGGAAAAGAATCCAAAGAGTGCGATGAAATGGAGATGTTTTTATTATAGGCTTTTAAAGTCTTCCAAACTGATTCCAAATGGCACAGCTAGTTGTATTAGAGGTCAAAACCAAAACCCAAGAGTGGTTTGCAGCTCAATGGCACACGCTCAGGGGTAGAATGAAATGGCAAGCAAAACAGACGTTCAAAATATTAGGATTTCCAAAAGCTGTCTAGCTCTTGAACCAAAAACAGTGCAATGGGTTAAGATGGTAAACAATCCTGAAAGTGCATTGAGAAGGAAAAGAAACAGCCCCAGAATCACTGGGACACAAGGCATTGCTCCAAGGGAGCCCTCCAGGTTGAGATTGGATGGCCACCCCCCCCGCCCCCTAGCTCTCTGATATAAATATATTGGCACTTTAGGGAAACAAACACATTTATCAGAGTGCAGCTCAGTTGCCTCGAAGCATGAAAAATGAAAGGGAGCAGCTCCTTTTTAGGTATTCCCATTCCTGGCTTTTAGGAACCCCTTTCTCCCAGGAGTCTCAAAGGCGTGAGGCCAAAAATGCATTCTAAAGCTTCAACTGGCAACTCTCCTGGGGTTTCAAAGGTGCCTTGTGTTCAGTGAACTCTTTCCTCCCAGAAAAGGATCAGATTTGGCATGAAAGACTTCTCACACTCACACACGCACATCAATCCCCTCCTCCCACCCTTTTCACACATATAATCCTACTGGCACATATATTTCCCCTGTTTGCCAAGCGCTTTCCAGTTCTTCCAAAGCTTTGGGCTGCCTTTTGTCAAGCTGGCACACAAGATGAAGCATCCACAGTCCTTGAAACGAATGGCTGAGGAATGCTCCCACATCCTGAAAGCCAACTAATTCGGATCTTGCTTTCGGTCTCAGGAAACTCAGGAAGGAAAGCATATTAAAGTCCTCCAATAAAGAAAAAAAGGAAATCCCATCCCACTTGAGGAGCTCTTGCTTTCTATGGAGTGCATCAGACGTGGCTTTTGTTTTGCCGTGGAGAAAAGACTTTGTTCCTGAAGCTTCTTGTATGAAGAGGTTTGTAGCCTCCTCATCTAGTCCAGACATACAAGCAGCCTTCTTCCTTTCTGAGGCTTGGGCATTTCTCTTTCAGAGCAAGCGGTGAGATGTCACCTATACTAGGACTGGTGTTTATACTGCAAATGCAAGTTTACATTCACTGAAAGGCACTTGAGAAGAGACCTGGGGAAAGGTTTCAAGATCAATCAGCAGCAACAGAAGCAGCTCTGCTCTTTCATTCAAGTCACACTGCCAACAGGCAAAGTCTCACAGAGAGAAAACCCCAAAGTCTGCAGCTTCCTTTGAGAAGGAGCTAAACCTTCTCAGGCAGCAGCTGAACGCAGCAGCTGAACGCAGCAGCTGAACGCAGGCTTACACACAAAAAAAAGGCTAACAAATACAGCACTACTATTGCCTCTGTGTGCTTGTTGTTAACATCTTATTTGTGGGTCTGTCACCCCTACAAAAGCAGATCTGTGGGAGCAGGAGGCAGAACCGCACAGCCCTTTGCCTTCTAAATTCCCCTCTCAGCCATCCAAAGCAGTGCTCAAGAGTCTGGTTGGATCCAAGCCAAAAGCCTCCCTGGCTGAGAAGTGGAGCGCAATGGCATGTGCAGAACTGGCATCCAAGCAAAGTTTCCACTTGCCCCAGAGGCTGGAGCAGCAAAAGAACTTGCACCCAGGTCTGAGAGAGAGTCCTGTCCCAGGTGAGAGGATGGGACCTGTCGAACTGGAGTTCACTGCAGAAGGCTGGCCCTCGCTCTTGCCACAGTCCTGGTGACTTGTGCTGAGAAGCCCCACCAGGACGACTCACTGCATGGTGCAGCCACTGCTGGGGAGAAAGTCCTGGACATAGGTGACCACGGCTCTGGAGAGGTAGGTCATGGTGCCATAGCGACCGCTTGGAGCGCTGTCATAGAGCAAAGTGCAGATGCCTGTGGCTGGATTCCTCTCCAGCATGTTGTCCTCCGCACCCAGGATTTTCTGCCAAAAAAGTCAAAAGTCACTTGATGAACCAACCTGGACACAGTATATTATTTGAGAACACAGAAATGCTGGACCACTTTAACAACCACCATGTCAGACTACACAGAGGAGCCACTGAAATCCACAAGCATGTGGACAATTTCAACAGAAAGGAGGAAACCATGAAAATGAACACAATCTGGCTAGCAATATTTAAAAAACTCTAAAATCAGGGCAGTAAATAAAGAACAACACTCAGAAAACTAGGGAATCTAGACAAGAATAAATCAGGGCCAGCTAACACCTCCCAACAAGTATTCCCCCAGGCAGGAAGTAGCCAGGCTTTGAAGCTGCAAGGATATTCAGTGCTAATCAAGGCAGCCAACTGCAACATTCACACTTGACTCATACAGACAAGAGTTCTTTCTCCCCCTGGACTTCATTCCACAGATAGATAAACCCCACTTGCCTAGCTTCCAACGGACCTCACAACCTCTGAGAATGGCTGCCATAGATGTGGGCGAAACATCAGGAGAGAATGCTTCTGGAACATGACCATGCAGCCCGGAAAACTCACAACAACCCGAAGTCAAGAACGGCTACTTCTTACCCCACCTCCCACCCCCGGCCCGAAAACAGCCATCAAACCCACATTTCTGAACAGAGAAATTTCTAGCACAAGCTTCTGCGAACATCATGTAGTGCAGTAGACAGTAGTCTAGCCTCAAAGGTGGAGATGTCTTTTTAAGCTTACTGTTCTGTTTATTCTGGAATTTGCTCTTGCAGAGTTTGAACATAAAGAATAAACAAAGGCAGGCACATAAAACATTTCTATCCAGGGAGACCTGGCGGATGTGACATAATAAGGCCAACATAGCTCTTGCTGCAGATGACATCAGGTCCCCACCCTCTACTCCATTCACACACACACACACACACACACACACACACATATATATGAGACACTGCGTCAATCTGTTTCTTTCACAGCTGCGCAAACCCATCAACATTCTGCCCACCTGTTCCTCATAGAACAAGTCACTGGCGATGTGGACGACCTTGTCCACAGCGATGAGGCCGCCAATGCTGTGGACGTCCACTTCGGCCAGGAGGGTCAGGACCAGAATGGCTTCCACCAAGAGCTGCCTGTACTCTGGCTGAGGGACCCGGTTGAGGAAGGACTCCACATGGACGGCAAACTTGATCTCTCCCGGAGTCATCTGTTACGTCAGAGGAAAGCAAAGGGTCTATCAAAATGCCTTGTGTCTAACAACATATATTATGAATAGCTGAGTGTAACTCATTCCTAATGAAACATGGGATTTCATTTTTTTGTCAGGGGCAGAGTAGTTGCACAATGTTTCTGGAGGCAATGGAGATACATGCCAGAGTAGAAGTAGGAGTGCATTCCCACACAGAAAGAGGAGGAGGAGGAGGAGGAGGAGGAGGAGGAGGAGGAGGAGGAGGAGGAGGAGGAGGAGGAGGAACTTTTCTACCCCACCTCCCCGAAGGGACTCGGGGCGGCTTACATGAGGCCCAAGCCCAAGGCAGAATACAATTCAAAACAAAACAATAACAATTAAGACAGCATAAAACAGCGTAAAACAACATAACAATAATAGCTAGCAACAACAATAACAGCAGACTAATTTTGGAGGGGGGAGGAAAACCACCACGTGAACTGGTTAAAGGATAAGGTGGTTTAGTAAGGTGGATAACAATGTATAACGGCATAGGAAATATCATGGAAACAGAGCAAGTTAACAGGATCAGTTAATATAATATAGGACATCAGATTGAATGACAATTCAAGTCATGATACAGGCCATTTGTCATAGGAGTCGTCAATCGAAAGCACGACGAAACATCCATGTCTTTAATTCCTTACGGAATGTGGCTAGAGAGGGTGCCAGCCTAATCTCCCTGGGGAGGAAGTTCCAGAGACAGGGGGTCACCACCGAGAATGCCCTCTCTCTTGTCCCCACCAACCGTGCCTGACACGGGGGTGGGAGCGAGAGAAGAGCATCCCCGGAAGATCTTAAGGACCGCGTGGGCTCGTAAGGGAGGAGGCAGTCACGCAGATAGGCAGGTCCTGAACCATTTAGAGATTTATAGGTGATAACCTGTACCTTGTATTGGGACCAGAAACTTATCGGCAGCCAGTGGAGCTGTTTAAACAGGAGGGTTGACCGCTCTCTGTAACTTGCTCCAGTTAACAATCTGGCCGCCGACCTTTGCACCAGCTGTAGTTTCTGAACCGTCTTCAAGAGCAGCCCTATGTAGAGTGCATTACAGTAGTCTAATCTTGAGGTAACTAAGGCATGGACCATCATGGTCAGATCAGACTTCTCGAGGTACGGTTGCAGCTGGCGCACAAGTCTTAACTGTGCAAAGGCCCTCCCAGCCACCATCAACACCTGAGCATCAAGCATCAGCACTGAATCCAGAAGGACCCCCAGACTGTGGACCTGTGTCTTCAGGGGGAGTGTAACTTCATCAAACACAGGTTGCCACCCTATACCCCTCTTTGGAGAAAGATCTCCAAAATCACCCAGCTAGGGTTGTGTCCCACTGGCTCAACTGTCTGAATATTTTTTATTTTATTTAAGGCATTTATAGATCACTTCTCAGCCTACCAGAGTTCCTGGGGTAGTGCAAGCTCTTTTAAAGCGATACGCAGATAAAACATTGAAAAGCAAACTGAAAATTCTCTTTCAAAATATCTTCCCACAAAATGCGGAAACTAGACAAGAAATCCCTTTTGCCAGTATTTCAAAGCCAACTCATCCTTTACCTCTTTGATTGTGGAAGAAGGAAGAATGAAACCTTCAATGGAGAGTCCGTGGCACTGAAAGAGGAAGAAGACCAATTAAAGTAGTTGTACTGGTATTTATTTTTATTTTAGCAGTGGGACTCTGGCGCAGCCGTCTGGGTGTCAGCTGCATTAAGATCACTTCTGACCACAGGGTCATGAGTTCGAAACCAGCCTAGGTCGGAGTGAGCTTCCGACCAATTGTGTAGCTTGTTGTCGACCTTTGCAACCCAAAAGACAGTTGCATCTGTCAAGTAGGAAATATTAGGTACCACCTATGTGTGGGGAGGCTAATTTAAAAAAAATTATGAGGCCATAAAAAAGACCAGCAAAAAGCATGCGGGGAATGTGGAAGTACTTCATCAGTGTCGCAGATGTATGATGAAAGCGACAGCTCCCCTGGCGGCCAGAAACAGTTAAATAGCCTCTGACTGTTTGTCTCTATCTGTTGTATGTCTTGGCATTGAATGTTTGCCATATATGTGTACATTGTAATCTGCCCTGAGTCCCTTGCGGGGTGAGAAGGGCGGAATATAAATACTGTAAATAATAAATAAATAAACATTTTCCAATTTACTAGTAGCTGCTGCATTTCCCACCCTCGGCTTATACTCGAGTCAATCTGTTTTCCCAGGTATTTTTGTGGTAAAATTAGGTGCCTCAGTTTATATTTGGGTTGTTTTATACTCGAGTTTATACAGTAGTCTTTCTTTATCCATGTGGAGAAACTCCAGCAGCTTATGAAGCAAGAGTACATTCCAAACTGTCTCTCTGCTTCTCTCTTCTGCTCTCTATATACCTGCATAGCTCAAGCCTGAACAAAAATGTAACTGTAACCAAAAGTCCCAGGCTCAGCTTGTTCCCTGGGCATTGCCTGACCAATCAGCTCAATGCATCTTATTTTACAGTTGACACATACACACTCATTGATTTCTTACATGCTCCAACAATTCTGACTCTTGCTATGAAGGGATTCTGGAATGTGCCAGTTCAAGGGCTGTGGTGTTTTCTCTGGTCGTAGCTTATTATTCCACCCATTTATTGTCCATAAAGCTAACCTCAGAGCTGTTGTGACTCAGCTGGAATCACAGACTGTCTCTGATGAGGATGATGGGACTCAGGTTCACAGTTTGGTTCAAGATGTCCCTGTTATAGACGTCCCCATTATAGACAATGAAGAAATGCAGTTTCCCACAGCAAGGCATGAGAGTATTGATTCTAAAAACAGCCAGGTGCAGGTGCAGATTGACTCAGAGAAGGAGGATAGTTCTCAGCCTGATAATGAGCAAACAGGGAAACAGGCTGACACTAACGAACAGACTGACCTTGACGAAATGGGAACCTTAGATTGGGCTGACCGTTTAGAATTCCAAGTTTGAAGGAGTGAAAGGATAGCTAACAAGAAGGAGGCCAGAGGCCAAAGAAACGCCTTCATGTTTTGCAAAGAGTATTAAGCTATGTGTGTGAGACCAAACTTTTGTCATAGCAACTTTGCATTCAACTAAGAAACTTGCCTTTGCTTGTCTGGATTTTTCTTGCAGTTATTGTGTTCATGGTTTCAGGACTTTGTCATGTTCTCTTGGGTTTTTGCTTTGCTGATGCCTTTTTAGATTAAGCTTCAAGTGCTATATGATCTTGATCTGTTGGAACATTAACCTTTCCCTTTAGGAACTTTTCACCTTTTATTTTCAATAAACTATAAAGACTTCTGGCTATATACAGTTTGGTGTCTTCAGCAAGGTGAATCTACTTTGAGGTGAAACAAGAGCAGTGAGACGGGTCAGTTTTTGAAACCAATCTCAGTGTTCTGTTGCGCGCTGGGCCTGTAAAGAATTTCCTTTAAAACAGGACGTGCAACCTTTGCCCAGCAGGAAGCCAGTGGGCCCTAAAGAGAAGTTCTCATGGATTTTCCAGAAGTGATGGTCTTTAGAGTGTTTGATAATGCAACAAAGTCTTTATTATGGAACAAACAACAAATCTTCAATGGTTCAAACAACACTTCAAGGTTTTCTCAGTCTAGTCCTCAATGGACTGGCACCTGACTTTGATTAATTTAACTTTCTCTGTAGGAAAAACCCTTTTTAACTTCTCCCAGGCTGACTGTAATCTAAGTCTTACTGATGTGAGCTCCGCTACCGGGTCAAACTGCATCTCAAGCGCCGAGTGGACCTACCAGTAAGGGCAGTAGATCATCCAGCTGGAGTTCTTAGGTCTTCCAAAACTGTTTCCCCTCCGAAATTCCTCAAAGCTTTAGGACTGCTTCCCTGGAAATCTTTGGAGATCTTTGGATGCTCTTAAGACTGTTCTTAAGAAGACGCTTACTTCTTGGGAGGAGAGCAATGTCCAGTCTCGATAAAATAGTAAAGAGTAGAGACACCACACTGGCAACAAAGATCCGCCTAGTCAAAGCCATGGTATTCCCTGTAGTAACCTACGGATGTGAGAGCTGGACCTTAGGGAAGGCTGAGCGAAGGAAGATGGTTTTGAACTGTAGTGTTGGAGGAAAGTTCTGAGAGTGCCTTGGACTGCGAGAAGATCCAACCAGTCCATCCTCCAGGAAATAAAGCCCAGCTGCTCATTGGAGGGAAGGATACTAGAGACAAAGTTGAAGTACTTTGGCCACATCATGAGGAGACAGCAAAGCTAGAGAAGACAATTATGCTGGGGAAAGTGGAAGGTAAAAGGAAGAGGGGCCGACCAAGGGCAAGATGGATGGATGGCATCCTTGAAGTGACTGGACTGACCTTGAAGGAGCTGGGGGGGGTGACGGCCGACAGGGAGCTCTGGCGTGGGCTGGTCCATGAGGTCACGAAGAGTCGGAGACGACTGAACGAATGAACAACAACAACAATGTTTCCAGCAGTAAAGTCTTAAGGGTTGAAGCTTTTGTACAGGAGAAGCTTGCACACATCCTGTACATTAGCTTTCCTTGCTGAGACTAACTAAAAAATGGCTCCCTTCCCTTCCCAATTGCCCTGAGCAAGGGGCGGAACCAAAACTTAACGATGATGGACAGGTGACTTGCCCTATGACTGCAACCAAAGGAAGCCACCTTCCTGCAGAATCCCTGACTGCAAGCAAACATTTAATACAAAGCAAATAAAGTGGGAGCTCCTGGTACAGCCGTACCAGCACACTCAGTCTTGGAGAGACTTAACATGGTGAGCAGTTCTCGGCCAGAAGCAGAGGCCTTGCTGGCTCTTACCTTCTGTAGGATCCTCCAGACCTTCTGATAAAACCCCACAGGAACCCGGTTGAGAGACCCATCCAGCCTCCGTCGCCGTTGCCACTGTCCCTGGCGTGTGTCCTTGGCGTAGCCTTCCTCCAGCATTCCTGAGAGAGTCCTTTCCCTTGGAGGGAACTGAGGAGAGAAGGGACAGATACCATGGTCAGAGAGCTACTGTTCCCTCCCCTGAAAAGGGACAGGAGGGGGCCACCCCAGGAGACCTGCGTACAGGTGTCTTTTTACCTGGGAAGGTTCTGTGCCGGCTTCCAAGAAATGCAAGCTAGTTGACTAAGAGGGAAAAGAGACACACTAATTAGACCCTGCAGGATGGATCGTGACTTGCGGAGGCAATGGCAAAGCAGAAGGGCCTGACGGCAGGCCATCCAAAACAGGGAGATTAAGAGCCAGCTGAGACCACAGAAGCCACACTTTTATCTTCTGTTAAAAGCAAGCTGTGAGGAAGATTAAGGGATGCTCCTGTTAAGAAGCTAGCAATTATGCAGAGGACGATGAGTTGGAAATATGAGGGTCGAATCAAAAGTAATGCCTCCACCTTCGTTCCTTGGGTTTGGATGGGAATATTTTAATAAATCAAATAAAGAAATAATCTTTAGAATGTGCTCTTTAATTAGCACTATTCACTCTTCCACATAATCACCAGACAATTGGATATATTTCTGCCAATGATGAACAAGTTTTCTGAAGCTGTCACGGAAGAAGTCGACACTCTATTTCCGCAACCAACGTCTCACAGTTCTCTCAACGTCTTCATCAGAGGCATAATGATGTCTCCGCTGATCTTCTTTCATTATCGGGAACAGATGGAAGTCAGATGGTGCTAAATCTGGACTGTATGGAGGATGTCATACGGTGGTGAGATCCAGTCTTTGAAGTTTCAAGTCTGTGCACTTTCATTTCAGGCGTTAGCATCCTGGGTACCCATTGTGCACAGATCTTCCGATAGCCAAGCAAAGTAATAATGTGATGTTCTTGTGAAATGCCGATTATGCTTGAAATTTCTCTCTGAGTGATACGACGATCGTCCTGACTCAATCTGTCAACCTTTGCTTGTGAAACTTGGTAGTTGCTGTCACAGGATGTCCAACTCTTTGTTTCTTACGCAAGTCAGATGTTCCCACCTCAACATCTTTAAACTTTCTCGCCCAACAATGCACAGTACTCACATCAACACAATCACCATAAACAGCTTGCATTCTCTGATGAATCTCCTTTGGGGTGACACCTTCTGCTGTCAATAATTCAATGACTGCACATTGCTTAAGTTGCATTGACCGACTGTCTGTGCAGGGTTCCATACTTCGCACTTTACCAACACAACCGTTCAATGCTAAGGTTTCCCGCCAAAATGGAACTGTAGAGGAGAGTCTACTGAACAAGCCAGTACCTGCCAAATACCAGTACTGCCATCTGTTGAGGAGTTACGAAGGTGGAGGCATTACTTTTAATTCAACCCTCGTAGCAACCTTCTACAAACCTGCACTAGCTATTCATTATGTCTGTAATTCAGATTGCTTACTGTATTGTATATGTGTTATGGTTCAGCCAGATAAAGATGAGGGGATTAGTGTGGTTCAGCCAGATGAAGAGATTGGGGTTTCAGGGCCTGGGGGTTCTATAGATGGGGTTTTAGAGGGGGAGGGGTTTTTAGAGCAAGATGCTGTTGCTGAGACAGAGTGTGAAAGTGGAACTGTTTTGGAATTCAACAGGCGGGGAGAGGAGAATAACATCAGTTCATCTGAGGGTGCAGCTGGCTTAAACAGAGATACCAGGCTGCTTCTGAGTGGGCTTCGCAAATGCGGCTGGAGGGGACGAGGGACAGGGCCTTCTCGGTGGTGACCCCACACTTGTGGAATTCGCTCCCCAGCAAAATTAGATCAGTGTCATCCCTCCTTTCTTTCAGAAGAAAATTGAAGACATGATTGTGGAACCAGGCTTTTGGCTAATGGATATAACGGCACCTGAACAGTGAATTGGACCAGATGGTTGTTATATTAGAAATGCATTTATGATTGGATAACTAATGTTGTTTTAATGTATTGTATTGTATGATTTTATTTTGCTTTTATAATTGTAATTATTGCGGCATCATTGCCATTGTTAGCCACTCCGAGTCCCCCTGCAGAGGTGAGAAGAGCGGGGTAGAAATTCTGTAAATAAAATAATAATAATAATAATAATAATAATAATAATAATAGATTCAGGTGCAGGAATTGGAAAAATAATCCGTGAGAAAGAGAGGCAGAAGCAGGTCCTCAAGGTCAAAGGAATGCATTCATGTTTTGCAGTCCTTAAATTAGAGAGAGAGAGAGGTTGGGATTTTCGATCAAGCAACATCGCTACTGAAGTCAGGACTCCTGCCTCGTTCCTAGCCCAGGCCTTACTTCAAGACCCAAGATTCATGCTCATGTTTGGCTCCTTGGTCTATGGATATACCTTTGGATTCATACTTATGTTTTGCTCCTTGTTTTCTGGACTTCTTTTGGGATTCATGCTCATGTTTTAATCTTTGACTCCTGGATTTACCTGTTGCCTTTTTGACTTGCTTCCTGCATTAACTCTTGGATTTTTACCCCTCCGTTGCTTATGGTGTTTATATGTATTTTTATCAATAAACTGGTTATTACCATGTTTGGATTCTTGGTGAGTGCAGTGAGCAAGGTATGCAGTTTTCCATAACTCCATGTTGTGGGAGAGGCGGCAGACCATGTGACTACATCTGGGACTATTCAGGACTCAGACTCCATTTTAGAAAGGCAGAAGGCATTAAACTTTCAATGTCAAGACTTCAGTAGAAACAGTATGCTTTTAGAAGTCAGCTGAAACAGAATGCTTCAGAGAACAGAAACTCTATTAGACTCTCAGAAGAGAGAGATGCTTTACACTATGGACTGTTATGATCATAAGAAAGATGCCCTGTGTTATCTGCAAGCTCGCTGTTGCTGTGCCAGTTCATTCACCCAATGGCTCATGCGGACTGGTGGGAGGCCACAACGAAGGGAGCAGAGCCAGCTGATGGCATTTGAAATGGAGGGGAAAGGGGAGGACATTTCACCTGAACATCAGGCACAGACTGCCTGCGTCTGTCCAGTTGCTGAAAGAGAAACGGAGCAGTGGCTGTGGTTGTGTACCTTCTAGTCATTGAAGCCGGAATGCCCTCAACCCACCAACCATAAAGAGAAACACACCACCAGCCCAAGGAGAAAAACTGGGGCAGAACCGGCCCTACCAGTTGGATCTCGCTCTTGAGTCGGTCAATGCCGGCCCTCTCGGTTTTTGTGGCTCCAACGGGACCAACTTCACGGATGGAAACCGCGGGGGCCATTGTTGAATCTGTGGCTCGCACTGCAGGAGAATGGGAGAAAGTCAATGTGAGAAGTCTTAATGCCTCTCATCCTGCAAAAGATCCTTCTGCTCACTTGATCTCCCAAGAGGGAACACATAATAATAATAACTAGCTGTACCTGCCACGCATTGCTGTGGCCAACCTTCCCTCCTTCTTTCTCTCCTTCTTTCTTTCTCTCATTCCTTCCTTCCCTCCCTTTCCTTCCTTCCTTCCCTCCCCCTCTTTCCTTCCTTCCTTCCTTCTTTTTTCTTTCCCTTCCTTCCTTCTTCTTTCTTTCTTTCCCCTTCCTTTGCTCTTTGTTCCTTCCTTCCTCCCTCCCTCCCTCCCTTCCTTCCTTCCTCTTTTTCTTTCCCTTCTTCTTTCTTCCTTCTCTACCTGTTTCTTTTCTCCTTCCTTTGCTCTTTTCTTCCTTCCTTCCCTCCCTCTCCCTCCTCCCTCCCTCCTTCCTTCTTCTTTTTCTTTCCCTTCTTCTTTCTTCCTTCTCTGTTTCTTTTCTCACTTCCTTTGCTCTTTGGTTCCTTCCTTCCTCCTCTTCCTCCCTCCCTCTCCCTCCCTCCCTCCTTCCTTCCTTCTCTCCTTCCTTCCTTCTTTCCTTCCTTCCTTCTCCTCTTTCTTTCTTTCCCTTCTCTTTCTTCCTTCTCTATCTTTTCTTTTTCGTTTCCTTTGCTCTTTGGTTCCATCCTTTCCTTGTTCTCTTCCTTCTGCTTTGGTTCCATCCTTCTTGTCTCTTTCCTTCCTTCCTTCCTTCCTTCTTTTCTTTCTTCCTTCCTTCCTTCCTTCCCCTTTCGTGTATGTGTTTTGTGAGTATATACACGTATATACACAATAATAATAAATATATGTGGTTTTGCGCATGAGTTGTAATGTATTTTTGTGGGGTTTTTTTTTTTTGCTTTTTAGGTCCCTTCTGCTGTGTTTTTCAGTGTTTTTTATGAGTAATGATCACTCGTTGGCCTGACAAGCGTCTTGTGTCCAAAATTGGCGGCAATTCGCCCAGTAGTTTTTGAGTTATGGTAATCCCACAAACGAACATTACATTTTTATTTATGTAGATAATAGTAATAATAATAATAATAATAATAATATCCAGCATATAGATCTCGTTTGCTGTGACATTCTGTGCTTTTGTGTCAGTAAAATAATAATAATAATAATAATAATAATATCCAGCATATAGATCTCGTTTGCTGTGACATTCTGTGCTTTTGTGTCAGTAAAATAATAATAATAATAATAATAATAATAATAATAATAATAATAATAATAAATCTTTATTTGTACCCCGCCACTGTCTCCCCAGAGGGACTCGGGGCGGCTCACAGAAGCACCCCAACTGCTGCATGCAGACAACAATACATAAGTATAAATACAATGACAGAAGTATAATCAACAGCGCATAAAAATCTCACTGATAAAATTACAGAAGTATGAAAGTTATAAAATTCCTAAAACACAGTGGAACCTGTGAGTAAGCTGCCTATCTGTTGTAACAATCAATGAAAGTGCAGGCCAGTACTATCAATGATTCCTCACATTGGCCATGGATTACTCAGGATCAAAGGCCTGTCTGAAGAGCCATGATTTAAGACATAGCTACCTGCCATCCTTTCCTGTAGACTCCTCCAGCCCAGCAATAAAACGAATCAGTTTAAAAAAATCTGATTTTGGTTGTGAGTTTCTATTTTTTGCACATTTGGTGGTGCAGTCAGAATCATAGAATCATAGAGTTGGAAGAGACCTCATGGGCCATCCAGTCCAAACCCCTGCCAAGAAGCAGGAATATTGCATTCAAATAACCCCTGACAGATGGCCATTCTGCCTCTGTTTAAAAGCTTCCAAAGAGGGAGCCTCCACCACACTCCGGGGCAGAGAGTTCCACTGCTGAACGGCTCTCACAGTCAGGAAGTTCTTCCTCATGTTCAGATGGAATCTCCTTTCTTGTAGATTGAAGTCATTGTTCCATTGCGTCCTAGTCTCCAGGGAAGAAGAAAACAAGCTTGCTCCCTCCTCCTTGTGGCTTCCTTTCACATATTTAAACATGGCTATCATATCTCCTCTCATCTTTCTCTTCTTCAGGCTAAACATGCCCAGCTCCTTAAGCCGCTCCTCACAGGGCTTGTTCTCCAGACCCTTGATCATTTTAGTCGCCCTCCTCTGGACACATTCCAGCTTGTCAATATCTCTCTTGAATTGTGGTGCCCAGAATTGGACAAAATATTCCAGGTGTGGTCTAACCAAAGTGGAATAGAGCATGGGTAGCATGACTTCCCTAAATCTAGACACTATGCTCCTATTGATGCAGGCCAAAATCCCATTGGCTTTTTTTGCCGCCACATCACATTGTTGGCTCATGTTTAACTTGTTGTCCACGAGGACTCCAAGACCGTTTTCACACGTACTGCTCTCGAGTCAGGCATTGTCCCCTGGCAGACTTACCGCTCCTTTCCACTCCAAATTCTTTGCCGCTGAGGATGTGATGCAGGAGTCTCTTCAGGTGGGAAGGGCTGAGATTCATCAAACTCTCAGTAGCTTCCTCCGCTGGAAAAGGAGAAAAGGAATGCCAGTGGTTTCCCCCTGACCTTTCCCATACAATGTATTGTTGAAGGATTTCATGGTTGGGATCACTGGGTTGTTGTGAGTTTTCCCAGCTGTATGGCCATGTTCCAGAAGCATTCTCTTCTGATGTTTTGACTGAATCTATTGCAGGCATCCTCAGCAAAGGACAAGATGGATCCTATCACCTCTGCAAGTGTTTACCGTATACAATGCAGCTGTGGACAAGTCTACATAGGGACCACCAAACACAGCAGCATTGCCCAAGCACGAATCAAGGAACATGAAAGGCACTGCAGACGACTTCAACCAGAGAAGTCAGCCATAGCAGAGCACCTCATGAACCAACCTGGACACAGCATATTATTTGAGAACACAGAAATGCTGTATCACTTTAACAACCACCATGTCAGACTACACAGAGAAGCCACTGAAATCCACAAGCATGTGTACAATTTCGACAGAAAGGAAAAAACCATGAAAACGAATAAAATTTGGCTACCAGTATTTTAAAAACCCTCTTAAATCAGGACAGTAAATAAAGAGCAACACTCAAAAAGCAGGGGGATTCCAGACATGAATCAATCAGGGCCAGCTAACACCTCCCAACAAAGAACTCCCCCAGGCAGTAAGCAGCCAGTCTTTGAAGCTGCAAGGCCATTCAATGCTAATCAAGGTGGCCAATTCAAACATTCACACCTTCCTCAAACAGACAATGGTTATTTCTCCCACCTGGACATTTCACAGGTATATAAACCCAAATTTCCTAGTTTCCAACAGACCTCACAACTTCTGAGGATGACTGCCATAGATGCAAGTGAAACGTCAGGAGAGAATGCTTCTGGAACATGGCGATACAGCCCAGAAAACTCACAACAACCCACTTTCTCAAAGCCGTAGTGTTCAGAGAAGGAAGCCCTCTGGGCAATTTTGCAGAGAGGGTTTCTGGAGGGCAGAGAATAATAATAATAATAATAATAATAATAATAATAATAATAATAAACCTTTATTTGTACCCCGCTATCATCTCCCGAAGGACTCGATGCGGCTTACAAGAGGCCGAGCCCAAATACAATAGTAAAAACAACAGCAACAACAAACAGCAAAATAACTCAGAAAACAAGTGACCACCGCCTGCCTTTCATGGCTCTACCCGCAGCTAAGAGCCATTCTTAGCCCCAAGGCATCCTGCCAGGAGGCCTTCCTTGGCCACTTTTGCTGGACAGGTCATTCTGGGCTTGGCTGAACCAAGGAGAGGGAAACAGAGGCAGGTGGGCTGAGCAGACAGGGTATCTGGGGTGGTCTCTCGGCTGCCGTCCCTCCTACCTGAGCAGCTGAGCGACTGGGCCAGCTCTGTGGCCATCACCTGGATGATGAGCCCAATGCGCAGACGGAACATCTCAGCAAAGAGGGCTGGCTGCGTCCGGATGTACATGGCCAGGTAGACCATAATCTCCTGCATGGAGAAAGAGGATGGGAGGGTTGCCACCAGGCAGCATACCTGAGCCGGGACAAGGAGCAGGAGGAGGGCTCACCTGCGTCAAGACGGAGACTGTGATGTTCTTCTCACTGGCTTCGTCAATCAGGGAAGTGAGCCTGTCATACGGCAATGGCCTGCGGAGGAAGCGGCGCCATGAATGAAGGAGCCCGGTTTCCCCAGATGTGCCAGGCAAGCTTGCAGATGTGGTGCTCCTTTCCCACCCCTTGGAAGTTACAGCTTTTTGGTCCCACTTCAGTTCCCATGGCCACACCCTAAAGACCCCTAGAAGCCGTGGTTTGTTGAAGAATACATTTACAAATGCCAGGAATCCTTAACCACAGAAAATTCTTTGGGACTTTTGGTTTCAGAACAAAATTACACAGAGTTTACTTGTACGTAAAGATAAAGTTTCCCCTGACATTAAGTCTAGTCATGTCTCCATTTCCATTTCTAAGCCAAAGAGCTGGCATTGTCCATAGACACCTCCAAGGTCATGTGGCCAGCATGACTGCATGGGGCGCCATTACCTCCTGATAAGGCGGTACCTATTGATCTACTCACATTTGCATGTTTTCGATCTGCTAGTTTGGCAGAAGCTGGGGCTAACAGTGGGCGCTCACCCCACTCCCAGGATTCGAACCGCCAACCTTTCGGTCAGCAAGTTCAGCAGCTCAGCAGTTTAATCCACTGCACCAGCAGGGGGCCCAGAGCTTACATACAACTTAACTAGTCCAATACAGGATGTAATTCTAGAATAGCCCCATTATGCCAATTTTCTTGCTGCTTCTGAGAAAGGCAAAGAGTTTGGCTCTTGATGGAGGCATCTCCTCTGCATTAAGGACATCTCCTTTGCTTTCACAGACCAGACCCACCCAGCTGCTTTGCTGCACTGGAGTTGGTACAGACCCCCAGAGAAAACCCTTCCAGCAAAGTGGACTCACGCAGAGATGGTCTTCTCCCTTGGCTCTGGGGGCAGCCCCACGGTCAAGTGTTTCTGGTGAGAGAGCAGACTGGTGCAGGCCTATGGGGAAAATCATAAGAGTTGGAACAGACGTCGTGGGCCATCCAGTCCAGCCCCATTCCACCAAGAAGCAGGAAAATTGCATTTAAAGCACCCCCAACAGATGGCCATCCAGAAGATGACCATCCTTCAGGCACAGAAAGCCAGGGAGGAGGCAGCCGTGCCCCTCCATCACCTCATCGAGAGCCTCCACTTTCTTCTTCAAGATCCCAGAGATGTAGCGGATCAGAGCCCACTGCCGGGTCGCACTGACTTTGCCATACAACTCCAAGAGAAGATCGTTGACGGTGGAACCCGGTTCACCATAGACCTGGGTGTCCCAGTCTGGACCCCTGAAAGCAAGAGAGAGCCACTGATGTGCTGGCACTCAGCTGCATCCTCCATCAATCTCACTCTGGGCAAATGGCAATGGCCAGTGCTTGCTCTGTCAGAGCTGGCCACTTTAGGTTCCAGACCACCACTTCAGGAGGGCAACCAAGATCCTTGTGATCTCAGTTCACCAGACTGTGAAGAACTAGGAGGAGGAGAATGAAACTTCCAGCACAAGTCAAGATGACTCCAGCCAGGAGTAAATGGCCTTGGAAAGTGGTCTTTCTTTTCTGCTTGGGAACCCATTCTACATTTATAGAGGGGATGGGAATGAGGCGTCTTTCCAAATCTACTGAACTGCAGCTCCTATCAGCTAGTGTATGTGTGTGTGTGTGTGTGTGTGTGTATACATATATATATATATGAACCCATAAAAGCATGCTGGGGATTATAAAAGGATGCTGGGCCAGAGTAAAGAAAGAGGGCAGCAGAAGACAATTCCACCTTGTCTCCTGTGCTATGCTAATAATATAATATAATGTAATATAATATATTGTATATACATATAATATTATAATATTACTAGCTGTCCCCTGTATGGCCCAGTCTGAGTGTGTATGTGTCTATATGTGTGTTTGCATATATGCGCATATATATATGTGTGTGTGTGTGTGGTTTTAAGCATGCATTGTAATGTATTTCTTGTTTTTTGGCTTTTTAAGTCTCTTCTGCTGTGTTTTTCAGTGTGTTTATGAGTGATGGTCACTTGTTGGCCTGATATGTGTATTGTGTCCAAATTTGGTGTCAATTCGTCCAGTGGTTTTTGAGTTATGTTAATCCCACAAATGAACATTAAATTTTTATTTATATAGATTTCTAGCCCGTCCTCATTTTTGTGGCTGTATATGTGTTTTTGTGTGTATATATGTGTATATGTATGTGTATATATTTGCGTATATGTGTATATATGTGGTTTGGCACATGCATTGTAATGTATTTTTTATTTTTGGGCTTTTTACGTCTCTTCTGTTGTGTTTTTCAGTGTTTTTATGAGTGATGGTCACTTGTTAGCCTGATAGGTGTATTGTGTCCAAATTTGGTGTCAATTCGCCCAGTGGTTTTTGAGTTATGTTAATCCCATAAACGAACATTACATTTTTATTTATATAGACTAGCCACTCCTGCCATGCATTGCTGTGGCCCAGTCTGTGTATATGTGTTTTGTGTGTGTGTATATTTGTGTATATATGTGTGTGTGTATATATATATATGTGTGTGTGTGTGTATATATATTTGTGTATTTATAGGTGTACATACATATTGTGTATATGTGTGTGCTTGGCTATATACATATTTGTGTGTATATATGTATGTATGTATCTTGTATTTGTGTGTATATATGTATGTATGTAACATATATACGCATGCACACATACATATGTATATATGTATGTGTGCATGCGTATATATGTGTATGTCTCTGTATGTGTGTATATGTGTATATTTGTGTGTGTTTGTGCATATAGATACGAATGTGTGCATGTGTATATGTATAAGAGTGTATGTGTATTTTTTAGGTTTTTAAGTCTGTTCCGCTGGGGTTTTGTGTGTGAGTTTTTTTTAGGAGTGATGGACACTCATTGGACTGTTAGTTGTATTGTGTCCAAATTTGGTGTCAATTCGTCCAGTGGTTTTTGAGTTCTGTTAATCCCATAAATGAACATTACATTTTTATTTATATAGATAATATAATGCAATAGAATACTAATAATAAGATATTATAGTTATATATTTATATTACATGTAATATTACTAATAATATTACAATATAATGATATAGTACAATATCGTAACATTTAATACCGATATTGTACTATGCTAATAATATAATATAATATATTGTGTGTGTGTGTGTGTGTGTATATATATATATATATAAAGTCGCTCTGAGTCCCCTTTGGGTGAGAAGGGTGGCATATAAATGTTTAAATAAATAAATAAATAGTTCTTCAGGACCTGGAGGGCTCTGTGATTCCCAGTCCTGACTTAAAAGGAGCTGCAGACAGCAAGCGGAGACATCAGCAACCCCAGCTCCTTCCATTACAATTATACTCCCAAATCCATAGGAGCAATGTAGATATTTCTTTGGCCACTCTTGGAAGATATACAATTAGCACTGCACCTCTCCTCCTGGAAGGCAGTGGGGGGACTGGGAGGACAGCAACCCAACTGGGACTGTGTTTTGGAAATGCCCAATAAGCAGGGGAGGCTCCTCAGCAAACAAGGAGTAGGAATCCAGATCCCTCCCACCCGGCGCTCCTACTTGAGAGTGTAGAGCACATAGAGGCAGTTGGCCTGATCCTGTAGAGTTTGGCAGGCACGCAGCTGCTCCACGATTGCCTGGCCGTCCACGTTCCCCTCTGCGTCCTTCGGGAGGTCAAGCTCCATTGGAGAGAATGGCTAGGGAGGAAAGGAGACCAGAGAGGCCTCAGAAGGGCTGCCAGGGAGTGGATGTCTTCCATGAACTCAGCAGCAGGAGGAAGAGGGCGGAATCTTGCTCTTGCCAGTTGGCTCAGGCAAAAGCAAACTGCTGCAGCTTCTCCTAATTTGTCTATACTTCCTTATTAATACTCTTGACCTCACTCTGATGTTGCATGGTCAGTGTTCAACTCTGAAATGCTAGAGGGTATCCCCCTTTGCTTTACAGAGAAAGGAAGTGTTGGGTTTCATCCCTGGTCTCTTGTGTCATCAAGTCTCCAGACCTCAATGAGTAGCGAGACTAGAGTTAGGATTAGAGTGAGGGATTCCTCCCCCTCCCCCATCCCCACATTCCTATGCATGTTTACCAAAAGGTCTTTGTCTTTACTCCTCCTGCTATCCACTGTCTCCTCCCCTTTTGAAGATATAGCAATGGAATGTCTTTGAGGGAACTTCCTTTTTACGGTTCCGACCCAGTTTACCTGTCGGAACATATTCTCCCCTATGAACCATCAAGGCTGCTAAGATCTTCTGGAGGGGCCCTGCTCTCGGTCCCACCACTCTCGTAGTCACATCTGGCGGGAATGAGAGACAGGGCCTTCTCTGTGGTGGCCCCCCAGCTATGGAACTCTCTCTTGAATGAAATTAGATCTGCTCCCTCCCTCCTGACCTTTAAGAAGCTAGTGAAATCATGGCTATGGAACGAGGCATTCCCAGAATGATGGCTGAGACCGGCAATTGACCAAAGTTATTGACCACAAGATGCAGACTGAGTTGGATATGATTTTATCTTGGTGAATTGGTTTATATGTATTTTATCCTTTATGTATTTTAATTCACTGTTGATGTTTGTTGTTAGATTGTTTTGATGTTTTAGACTGTACTGTTAACACTGAATCCTTGCTGTTAGCCAGTCTGAGTCCCTCCACAGAGGTAGAAAAGATCGGGATATAAAAGTTTCAAATAAATATTGCCCTGGGCTACACCATGTGGCCTTTTGCCATTTTCCATCTCTCTGCCTTTTTCGTCCACCTAGTAAGGACGCATTTTGCCTCTCTCTCTAGGCAAAATGTAGCTGCATAAACCTTTTGATATTTTTACCTTCTTAGAATATGGGATTTAGTAAACTAATCAGCTCCAAGATTTCTTCTATCTAGAATGTATTTATTTTACTTCAATAAATATTTTTGGACCTAAAGTTCTGACTCTGCAATCCTGTGCTATCCTAAGAATAGAAACTTATCCCAGCTTCACCACATGTAGTTTTCTGCTGGTTATGAAGTTTGCTTTTGGTACTCTGCTATATTTATGTTGGAATTACCCTAACTGAGGGTTATTTTTTAGCCTAACAGCTCAGATTCCCCAAGAGGAAGAACCAAAGCATGATACTTTGATAAAGAGATGAACAAGTACACAGACCCAGGAACCGCACCTTTGTTTCCTGCTGCTGGGTTGAACCAAGCAAATTAAGGGATGCGTGGGACTCCTGGAAGATCTTGGAGGGGATGTACATGCCGACATCTGCAAAGACAGGAAGAAGACTGGGTTCAGGAATATTTTATTTATTTATTTACTATATTTATATACTGTCCCTCTCAGCCCGCAGGCAACTTGGGGCCGTTCACAATTGGTGCCAAGACTATAAAATACAATTTCAATACAATAAAAACAATCGGATAATAAAACCATAACAAAATCAATAAAAACATGAACATTAGGGTCTCCTATTAAAAACATTGTCCAATCACATCACTCAACCATTCCATTTTCCTATGTCTATTACACTGTTTTTGGAAATGCCTGCTCAAAGAGCCAATTCTTAACTCTCTTTCGAAATTTTAAAAGGGAGGGGGCTGATATATCCTTGGCGAGGCTGTTCCATAGCTGAGGGGCCACCACTGAGAAGGCCCTGTCTCTTGTCCCCGCCAGCCGTACTTGTGACAAGGCCGGGACCAAGAGCAGGGCCTCCCCAGACGATATTAAAGTCCTGGAGGGTTCATAAGGGGATAGCCAGAGCTTTTGGTAAGAAGTAGCAGCAGGAGCCTTCCTTGGGGCTTGAGAGGGAGAGAAAAAAAGGCTTTGGAGGGAGCAAAAGAAGGACCATGTATAAATATGTGAGAGGAAGCCACAGGGAGGAGGGAGCAAGCTTGTTTTCTGCTTCCTTGGAGACTAGGACGCGGAACAATGGCTTCAAACTACAAGAGAGGAGATTCCATCTGAACATGAGGAATAACTTCCTGACTGTGAGAGCCGTTCAGCAGTGGAACTCTCTGCCCCGGAGTGTGGTGGAGGCTCCTTCTTTGGAAGCTTTTAAACAGAGGCTGGATGGCCATCTGTCAGGGGTGCTTTGAATGCAATATTCCTGCTTCTTGGCAGTTGGGGTTGGACTGGATGGCCCATGAGGTCTCTTCCAACTCTTTGATTCTATGATTCTATGACTTTTACATTTGGGAGAAGCACAGGATCACAGAGCTGAAAGTATTGGAAATTCCATAACCTATTGGAAATAAATGCACCATAACCTTATTGAAAAGGTAAAAATGATGTTATACCTGTTTGGCAAATGTGAACATGTGGAGACCACCTTTTGAAAACCACTACTCAAGAAAAGCATGACCTTGTTAGAAGACAACCCTTTGATCAAGTGATATTCATAAGCATTGTCGAAGGCTTTCATGGCTGGAATCACTGGGTTGTTGTAGGTTTTTTCAGGCTATATGGCCATGTTCTAGAGGCATTCTCTCCTGATGTTTTGCCTGCATCTATAAGCATCCTCAGGCGAAATGTCAGGAGAGAATGCCTCTAGAACATGGCCCTATAGCCAGAAAAAAACCTACAACAACCCAGATATTCATAAGCATTCATGTAATGGCACACAGGTAACTCAGCTGTTAAACTGAAGAACCATGTCTTTAAACTGCCAAGGATAAAGACATGCCACTACAAAAATGTATTTCATTAGCAGAGGATGGTTGTTTCTTTGAGGTAGAATTTGCAGTTGTAATTGCCCAAAAGATATACACTCCCTTAAAACCTCTTATTAAAACTATGCACTCAGAAATAAAACAGAGTCTAATGTATTGTCGAAGGCTTTCATGGCCGAAATCACTGAGTTGTTGTAGGTTTTTCGGGCTTTATGGCCATGGTCTAGAGGCATTCTCTCCTGACGTTTCGCCTGCATCTATGGCAAGCATCCTCAGAGGTAGTGAGGTCTGTTGGAACTAGGAAAGGGTTTATATATCTGTGGAATGACCAGGGTGAGACAAAGGACTCTTGTCTGCTGGAGCTAGGTGTGAATGTTTCAACTGATCACCTTGATTAGCATATAATGGCCTGACAGTGCCTGGAGCAAACTTTTGTTGAGAGGTGATTAGATGTCCTTGTTTGTTTCCTCTCTGTTGTTGTGCTGTTGCAATTTTAGAGGTTTTTTTTAATACTGGTAGCCAGATTTTGTTCATTTTCATGGTTTCCTCCTTTCTGTTGAAATTGTCCACATGCTTGTGGATTTCAATGGCTTCTCTGTGTAGTCTGACATGGTGGTTGTGAAAGTGGTCCAGCATTTCTGTGTTCTCAAATAAAATGCTGTGTCCAGGTTGGTTCATCAGGTGCTCTGCTATGGCTGATTTCTCTGGTTGAAGTAGTCTGCAGTGCCTTTCATGTTCCTTGTCTGCTCCAGCAGACAAGAGTCCTTTGTCCCACCCTGGTCATTCCACAGATATATAAACCCTTTTTCCTAGTTCCAACAGACCTCACTACCTCTGAGGATGCTTGCCATAGATGCAGGCGAAACGTCAGGAGAGAATGCCTCTAGACCATGGAAATATAGCCCGAAAAAACCTACAACAACCCAAAACAGAGTCTTCATTGAAAAATAACATATCAGGTTTACTAACATACTTCTTGGATATATTTAGCGTATCAGTCCACTGTCCAATGTCTTTAAGTATAGCTGTATTCACTGAAGTCCATAAGTCATACTTTTCTACCAAAGTCCGAACAGCAACATGCATCCACCTCCACTGAGGTTTGATGCAAACACATCCATCCACCTCCAATGAGGTGGTAAACAGACCGAATACAAAATTGAGTCCTGTGTCTGAAGCCCCTCCCACACCAAAGAGGTAGTCAAATTGGCAAACCAAAATGTACATACAATATAGGTTAACAAGTATACACATTTACAAACAGTAGAGGCTTGGAAGGTTGCTATTTCCAACAGAAAGAGACCCCAGTAGCCACCCAGGCCAAAAGGACACCAAGAAGCAGGCACTCACTCTCTACATGCAGTTCCTTGGCCTTGGAGACCAGAGACATGATGTCACGGGTGGTGTGGACAGCGGCCCGGAAGCGGTGCAGGCCCACTTTCTGAGTGGCTGCTGGAGCCTTGGGGGTCTTGGGGGCTGTCTGCTGCAGGAGGTGGTCCAGGTACTGGGCGACTTCATCACAAATGTCATCTGGAAGAGGGGAGGAGGGAAACATGCAGAGAAAGGGATGAGGGTTTGTATTACTTTGTGCTTCCAGACCCACCCAGGAAAGGCCATCCTGGAGAGCCCCCACTATCTGTTCTACACCTCATTCAGTTCTTCTGGGCAGGAGACCTCAAAAGGCCAAGGGCACTGTCAGATGGCACCCTTCGCCTTGCCATCTTTATGCCAAAAGCAGTCTCCATACACAACCACTTGTTTCTGTTGGCCAGGTAGTGCAGAAGGATTCGCTCACCTGCATTACAACTGCCTCTCCCTCCTGCACATCAGCCGATAGGAAAAGTGTACTCTATGTGATGCCAAGGCTATTTCAACCTCATGTGGGAACATGCAAAGAGGAGGAATAAACACACACCACACTGTCTTCTCAAAACCTGTCATTGGGAATCCTCTACAGCAGTGTTTCTCAACGTGGAGGTCGGGACCCCCCTGGGGGGGGGGTGTCACAAGGGGGTTTCAGAGGGGTTGCCAAAGACCATGAAAAAACATATATTTCTGATGGTCTTAGGAACTGTTCTGAATTGCCTTTCAAAAACAGCCGAAAGGAGACAGAGCACAAACGATGTTCTGCTGGAATAGTTGCTAAAGACGCTGAGCTAATTGGAAGATGCCCTAGCACCTCCTGCGTGGGGAATTCATAGCTATAAATCAGAAGCAGAAGCAGTCCGCTTTCGCTGGTAACAACGATCTGTAAAAATTTAGGGCTGGTACCAATCTGTCCTGAGTTGCCCTTTAAAAAACAGCCTTTAGACAATGTCGAAAGTAAAAGAAAAATGCTTTACTTCAGAGAATAAGTAAATGCAGTTGAAAAATGCAAAAGAAAGCAAGGAAGCCTTAATACAGACACAAATTAAAGTCTCTTACAAAGTCCCAAAAAGAAACAGCAGTCTTCCATCAGACAACGGGCAATGATCACTAAGTCCTTAGCAGCAAACACAAAGCAGGTTCAATTGGAGTGAAAATATCGGCATCAGAGTCGTTACCAGCAAAAGCTGACTGCTCCTACTTCTGATTTATAGCCCTGAATTCCCCACGCAGGAGGTGCTAGGGTGTCTCCCAATTAGCTCAGCGTTTCTAGCAGCTATTCTAGCTGAACACCGTTTGTGCTCTGTCTCCTTTTGTCTCTCTAGAAATGTCAGCACTTGTAAAACCTCATCATCTGATTCTTCTTCTCTCTCCAATTCCTGGGCACTTCCCTGCTCCCCCTCCTCCTCTGTAGATGATGAATCCCTAACAGGAACCCCTTTGGCAGAGAAGGCTGAAGATCTCCCTGCCTGTCTTTCTCTTCCTTCCCTCCCTTTCTCCTCCTTCCTGCCCCCTTCTCCCTTCCCCTTCTCCTCCTTCTCCCTCCTTCTCCCCTTCCCTCCCTCCCTTCCCCTCCTTCTCCCTTCCCCTTCTCCCCTTCCCTTTCTCCCGTCCCCTCCTTCTCCCTTCCCCTTCTCCCCCTTCCCTTCCACCCTTCCCCTCCTTCTCCCTTCCCCTTCTTCCCCTTCCATTTCCCCCTTCCCCTCCTTCTCCCTTCCCCTTCTTCCCCTTCCCTTTCCCCCTTCCCCTCCTTCTCCATTCCCTCCTTTTGTCTCTCTAGAAATGTCAGCACTTGTAAAACCTCATCATCTGATTCTTCTTCTCTCTCCAATTCCTGGGCACTTCCCTGCTCCCCCTCCTCCTCTGTAGATGATGAATCCCTAACAGGAACCCCTTTGGCAGAGAAGGCTGAAGATCTCCCTGCCTGTCTTTCTCTTCCTTTTTGGAAACACACGCCAAATCCTTCCACCAAAAGTCCTCCTCTGCTGTGATTGGCCTCTCAGCCAGCTTCTCAGCCAAGGGGAGGGTGGCTGTTTCTGAGACTCCAATGGGGAGGAGAGAGCAGTCGTGCTCGATGCATAGCAGCATGGTGCGCATAGGTGGGTGAGGGAGAGTGTGCAAGGCTGGAGGGAGGCAGGGCGGTTATGTGTGGGAAGTTTGGCCCAATTCTATCGTTGGTGGGGTTTGGAATGCTCTTTGATTTTAAGTGAACTATAAATCCTAGCAATTAGAACTCCCAAATGTCAAGGTCTATTTCCCCCAAACTCCACCAGTGTTCACATTTGGGCATATTGAGTATTCGTGCCAAGTTTGGTCCAGTGAATGAAAATACATCCTGCATATCAGATATTTACATTACAATTCATAACAGTAGCAAAATTACAGTTATGAAATAGCAACACAAATAATTTTATCGTTGGAGGTCATAAGCAGACTGGCGGAACCTGGGGATCACAACCAGACACAGTGAAGACATCTGCCCTTGCGCTATGCTACTCTACTGCTGAGTATCGCATGCCCAGTGTGGAACACATCTCACCACACTAAAACAGTGGATGTGGCTCTTAATGAGACATGCCGCATTATCACGGGGTGTCTGCGCCCTACACCACTGGAGAAATTACACTGTCTAGCCGGTATTGCACCACCTGACATCCGCCGGGAAGTAGCAGTCAATAGTGAAAGGACCAAGGCAGTGACATCTCCAGCTCATCCCTTGTTTGGGTATCAGCCAGCACGTCAATGACTTAAATCAAGAAATAGTTTTCTAAGATCTACAGAGACACTCTCTGGAACACCTCAGCAAGCGAGAGTACAAAAGTGGCAGGCTCAAACCCAGAACCTCAACCAATACCAAATGAGAGACTCCCCCCTGGGCACACAGAAAACTGGGCGACTTGGAAGGCGCTGAACAGACTGCACTCTGGCACCACGAGATGCAGAGCCAACCTTAAGAAATGGGGCTACAAAGTGGAATCCACGACATGCGAGTGTGGAGAAGAGCAAACCACAGACCACCTGCTGCAATGCAACCTGAGCCCTGCTACATGCACAATGGAGGACCTTCTTGCAGCAACACCAGAGGCACTCCAAGTGGCCAGATACTGGTCAAAGGACATTTAATCAACTACCAAGCTTGCAAACTTTGTGTTTTGTTTGTCTGTTGTTTGTTTGTTTGTTAAAAATGCAATACAACTGTCTGATTTGCTCCTGACATGATAAATAAATAGCACAACATGAGACAGTGTATTAAGGAGTAGCAGCATTAGGAAGGTTGAGAAACACTGCTCTACAGTCCCCTGAGCCTTTGGCTCCTTTTCCTCAGACCTTTGGCAGAGAGGATTGCCAGGATGGCTTGGACAGGCGAAGCAGCTACAAGCCATGGATTCCACGCTGTTGGCAGAGGCAGAAGGCAGGCACAGGCCTGCGAGGAGTAAAGCCACAAGCAAATCTCACACTACTGGCTAAAACTCCCTTGGAGATTTTGCTCATCTTGAGGAGGAATGGTTCCTCCCTACAGAGCGAGACCTCTGCACCAGCCAGGAAGCGCCTCCCCATTTCCCTAAAGCAAGCCCCAGCAAAGCAAGGATCAGCAGAGCCCAGAGATGTTGCTAGTGCAATAACCCTCGTGGCTTTGGTGAGGCCACTAGGCAGGAAGTGGGCCACTGAGCCTTCAGGATCAGCCCTGCAACACACATAAACACACCAGCAGACGTACACACACTGCAAAGGCACAGCACCCATGCCAGCGTTCTGAGGTGGAAGGGAGTGTGGGATCACAACTTGGTTATGGACGCTGTTAATGGGATGAAGGAGGGAGAATTCAAGGAGATGTTTTACAAAGGGAGGGGGGCAGAGGGACCCCTCAGCAATACTGGGGTGTCTGGCAATAGTCAGGGCCCCCAAGGATAGCTCCGGACGGGAGACAGAGTGGCTGAGGGGGAAGGAGGGGCACACAGGGATACACATCAGATAAAGTAATGAAAGATCCATTTTCCTGGTTCAAGAAGAAGAAAAGTTACACTTCTTCAGCAGGAAAAGGGGCGTGCTTTCTCCGTCAATGTTCAACATTTACACAAATGACGAGCCATTGCCAGAAGGGACAGAGAGTTTCATCTATGCTGATGATCGTGCCATTACCGCTCAAGCAGGGAGCTTTGAGATGGTTGAACAGAAGCTCTCCGAAGCTCTAGGTGCTCTTACTGCCTATTACAGGGAAAACCAGCTGATCCCTAATCCATCTAAAACACAGACATGTGCTTTTCACCTTAAGAACAGACAAGCATCCCAAGCTCTGAGGATTACCTGGGAAGGAATACCACTGGAGCATTGCAGCACACCCAAATACCTGGGAGTTACTCTTGACTGTGCTCTGACCTACAAAAAGCACTGCCTGAATATCAAGCAAAAAGTGGTGCTAGAAACAATATCATACGAAAGCTGACTGGCACAACCTGGGGATCACAACCAGACACAGTGAAGACATCTGCCCTTGCGCTATGCTACTCTGCTGCTGAGTATGCATGCCCAGTGTGGAACACATCTCACCATGCTAAAACAGTGGATGTGGCTCTTAATGAGACATGCCGCATTATCACGGGGTGTCTGCGCCCTACACCACTGGAGAAATTACACTGTCTAGCCGGTATTGCACCACCTGACATCCACCGGGAAGTAGCAGCCAATAGTGAAAGGACCAAGGCAGTGACATCTCCAGCTCATCCCTTGTTTGGGTATCAGCCAGCACACCAACAACTTAAATCAAGAAATAGTTTTCTAAGATCTACAGAGACACTCGCTGGAACACCTCAGCAAGCAAAAGTCCAAAAGTGGCAGGCTAAAACCCAGAACCTTAATCAATGGCTGATACCAAATGACACAATAAATAAATAAGCAGGAAAGGGGAGTACTGGGGGAAGGGCTCCATATCCCAGACCTGTTCTGACCCCAAGGCCCTTCTAAGGATGATGGGGTATCCCATATCCATTTCTCCACCCTATCTGTACACATGGCTCACACTACAGAAGAATTTCAGACAAAGCAAAAAACTATGCTCTCTTCAGTCCCATCCCAGAAAGAGATCCTTTATCTATCTTTGCAGGAGCCCCCGGTGGCACAATGTGCTGGCAAGACTGAAGACCGAAAGGTTAGAGCTTCAAATCCGGGGAGAGTGTGGATGAGCTCCCTCTGTCAGCTCCAGCTCCCCATGCAGGGACATGAGAGAAGCCTCCCACAAGGATGGTGAAACATCCAGGCATCCCCTGGCCAACATCCTTATAGAGAGCCAATTCTCTCACACCAGAAGCGACTTGCAGTTTCTCAAGTAGCTCCTGACACACACATACAAAAATCTATCTTTGCAATCAATACAGCAACTATTGTCCTTCCCATATCTTCCAGTGGCTGATTTAAGTTCGGCTCAAGTCCAGGACTCATTTCCATCCCTACACTGGAGCAGGACGACTATACCTGAGACCAAAGGACAAATTGTGAGGGGTTGATTGCCAGCCTTGTGATGAAGTCTCTAATTGGGCTTTAGAAGTGTCACTCTCCACTGTCCTCCCTGGCAATGCTCTTTTTTTACTTTGAGAAAAGCTCAATAAATTATTAGAAACAACACAGAGAAAGGGGCCTTTCTTCGTCTATGAAGAAAAACCAACACATCCACTGAACTGTGAGCCCTTTCCCAGCACCCTGTATTTCCTGCCTTCCTGAGATTGCAGGGAGAACTGGAAAAAAGAAAGAGAGGATGGAGGACTGAAAAGGAGGTGCGTATTAAATGAAGTGAGTGGGGCACAGCTTCAAGGGCTGTGGTGTTACGGCTGGACGATGGAGGGAACCGTTAGTTCCAAACCACGGCACACTCCGAGTGCAGCATGGGGCCACCTCCGTCCCATCTCCTTACCATCTTCCGCCAACCGAAAGCCATGCAGCCAGTCCTCGGGGCCTAAATCTTGGAAGCTGTCACGGCTGAGCCCATAGTCATCAGCAAAGAGCTTACCCGCCGGGCCGGCATCCATGAAGCTGAGGTGGGTGCGACACGAAGTCGTGAGGAACTCGGACAACCTACCCGCCTGGATCCTGAAAGAAGCAGGAGTGACAACGTCAACCACAGCTGCATGAAGCAGGCTGTTTAAATAAAGTGGACTAAGCCTAACAAATAGGCAGGCCGCTTTCAAGGCGGCGCTCTCACCTGAGATTCTTCCCCTGACACTGAGGGAAGGAGAGCAAGATCCTAGCAACTGGATCTTATTAAAAACACTGCCAGGAGGCATCTCCATTATGGGGAGGATGGGTAGTTTTTGTCTTAGGAGTAGCCCAGTTGATTGTTGTTGCTTGGCCTAAAGTGGCCAAGAGCTGGCCTAAAACATGGCAAAGTATACACATATATACACAAAACACAAAAGGTTCTGACCTTGCCCCTCCAAAGTATCCATCCTGTAGCTTCCTCAGCGTGGCCAGGACAGCTGGGTGGATGCTGGTACCTGATTCATCTTCATGAATAAACAAAGAGGAAAGAGAACACCACAATGAATGGCAATGGGTCAAAGGATAGGAAAAAAACCATGTCCAGCCTGGATCTGCTGCAAAGGCATCCACCGTCATACTCCAGAACAGGAACACCTCTGACCTTAAACACTACACCAGCTTGGTAAAATCAGTAAGCAGTTTGTTGTAGAATATATGTGGGCAAAGCAGTAAAAAAAAAAATAGCAAAACAGTAAAAGTCCAAAATCCAAGATAAACCATAAACTTCAAAGGGAAACCAGGTCCATTAGTACGTAGAAATCCATGAAGCAAGGAATTAAACCATGAGACAAAACAGCAGGAAATTCCCATAAGCTTGGTGTTAGGGATTCCTCATCTTCGGAGGAGGAAGGGGAGCAGGGAAGTGCTCAGGAATTGGAGGGAGAAGAAGAATCAGACGATGAGGGTTTGAAAGTGCCTACATTTCTAGAGAGACGAAAAGAGACAAAGCACAGATGACGTTCAGCTAGGATAGCTGCTAAAAATGATGAGCTAATTGGGAGATGCCCTAGCACCTCCTGCATGGGGAATTCAGGGCTATAAATCAGAAGCAGGAGCAGTCAGCTTTCGCTGGTAACAACGATCTGTAAAAATTTAGGGCTGGTGACAATCTGTCCTGAGTTGCCCTTCAAAAACAGCCTTTAGACAATGTTGAAAGTAAAAGAAAAATGCTTTACTTCAGCAAACACAGAGGATAAGCAAATGCAATTGAAAAGTGCAAAAGAAAGCAAGGAAGTCTTAACCCAGACACAAATTAAAGTCTCTCACAAAGTCCCAAAAGAAACACCAGTCTTCCATCAGACAACGGGCAATGAACTAAGTCCTTAGCAGCAGACACAAAGCAGATTTAATTGGAGTGAAAACATCATTATGAGGGTCGTTGTTACCAGCGAAAGCTGACTACTCCTGCTACTGATTTATAGCCCTGAATTCCCCACACAAGAGGTGCTAGGGCGTCTCCCAATTAGCTAAGCATTTTTAGCAGCTATCCTAGCTGAATGTCGTCTCTCTAGAAATGTGGGCACTTTCAAACTCTCATCATCTGATTCATCTTCTCCCTCCAATTCCTGAGCACTTCCCTGCTCCCTTTCCTCCTCTGAAGATGAGGAATTTCTAATACTTGGCAAAAACTTGGTACGTGAAATGAACCACTTGAAAGCAAAATCATGATAAAATAAAAACATTGACTTGACTGAGGCAACCGTCTCCCATGAATCATTATAAACCTTTTCCAGAACCCAAAACTGAAAGGAAAGCATGATTCTGGACTTTCCCACCAGATAATGGTGTGTTATCTTTCTTTTGCTGTAGACGAATTGAATGCTTCAGTATCCGAAAGTTCTGCCTGTTTACTAAAACATTGCTTTCTTTCCAAAGTTTCACTATCTTCTCCCTCATTAACTCCTACACCTGGCAAATCAATCTCAGCATCATTTTCAGACATTTGTTCTGAGCAAAGAGGTGAAAGGTCTCTCTCAGGAATGTGTCCTTGCTCAGGTCTCTCTTCTGAACTTAACTATGGCCCAAGCAAACCTTCATCCCCATTCCCATCATGCACATGAACATCATTCTCAACATGAACATCATTTCCATCATGAGCATCAGCATAAACATCAGACACAACCACAGGCTGAACAGGCTGACATATAACACCCACCAAGCATCGTCTGAGAGATGGGGAAGGTGACGATGGGGCGCCCCGTCATCCTCCAGCGGCTGCACAAGTAGGATAGGTCCGTCCGGAGCATCTCCACAATCATCTTGTTGTCAAGAGCCAGGTAGAACTGCTGCAGGTCCATGAACTGAAGACAAAGCAGAGGGGGAAGAAGAGGAGGATGGGCAAGATGCTAGCAGAGGGGTGGGAGAAGGTGGAGGGGATAAAATGGCTAGTGTTTCTGAATGGCTATCTATATGCCACCTCAACCCCATCCGCTCACCTGTGGGGTGAAGATGAAGATATTGTCCCTAATGTCGTAGAACCGGGAGGTCCCCAGGACACCCATCTGACGAAAGGGACGCCCACTCAAGTTCATCCGCTTGTTGCGGCCTGCAAAGGATCAGAGTCATGCCCGCTGTCACTGCAAAGTACCCAAGGAGGGATGCTTTGACTGGCCATGCCATTGCCTCCCTGACAGCCCCTTGCCCCCTTTCCCTTGCTCACCCAGCCGGGCATAGATGTGGCTGAGGATCCTTGCTGGCTGTACACGGATGGGATGGACATCCATCACTGTCTGCACCTCGATGCCTTCCTTCCGCAAGATGGCCTTGATAGCATCTGTCTCAGCCAGGATGCAAACTAAGTGGGCAAGAAAAAATGTCAGGTCAGGGCACCTCTGAAGGAGTGACTATTTCCCTAACCATTCCTTTCCAAACTCCCCAGTCATTCCTCAGTGTGTTTGGATGCTTTGAACAATGTCCCAGGTGGCATTTTGGGAAAGGAAAGGGCCTTTCTGGCTTTGGAGTGTCGAAAATGGAGGGGTCTCAGAGAAGACCACAGGAAGCCCCAATGCCACCTCCTGGAAGGTGCCATAAGTCACTGGCACTGAATGAGCACCTGGTGAGCCTGGCATTCCTGGCTGGGTCCAAAAAAGGCAGGCGTGCAAACCTCCAGAGCAGCCTGGAGAACCCTCTGCCCAAATGGTGACAGGCATCGAACTATATTCCCCACGGAGGAGGCTAAATCCATTCCAAGGCCAAGCCTAGCCTTACCCTGAACCACCACATCAGGCTTGGGGACTGTTGCCAACCGACGGTTGAGAGGGTCAATTTCCCCTGGAGCCAGAAACCCCTGCAAAAGGTAGGGAAGGGGTCAAGCCAAAGGGAGGCAGCCTCAATCTAGTTTCTACACACCCTGTTTCCACAAAGGCCCTCCCTCCATTCCCAAGGAGACCCCAAGAGCCGGGCTTCACCTCTGCCATGAGGCAGCCCAGGATGTAGAGGGACTGGCCCCACATCAGAGGCAGCTTGCCCTGCGGAGCTCGGTCAGCAGTGTGTGGGTTGCAGTATTCTTCCTCCACCTGGAAGAGGAAGAGACCCAAACATTCAGAAGGCCAACAGGGCCTGGAAAGGGCCACCCAAAGGAAGGGAGTTTGTGAGTGGCCAGGAGTGGACAGGAGGCCATGGTTTTGTCTTGTAATTAATCCCATTTTACCAAATGTACTATTTAATCAAGTTTTATTGTGTTTTAATTTAGCTTAGTTAACTATTAGCGGTGTTTTAAGATAGTGATTAATGTGTATTTGTCTGTATTTTTGTCTTTTATTGTTGACTAGCTGTCCCCTGCCACACATTGTTGTGGCCCAGTTTGTGTATTTGTGTTTTGTGTGTGTATATATGTATATATGTGTATGTGTGTATTTGTGTGTATATATGTTTGTTTGTGTATATATGTGGTTTTGCACATGCGTTGTTATGGTGAGGTTTTTTGCTTTTTAAGTATTTTCTGCTGTGTTTTTTAGTGTTTTTATGAGTGATGGTCACTCATTGGCCTGATAGGTATATTGTGTCCAAATTTGGTGTCAATTCGTCCAGTGGTTTTTGAGTTATGTTAATCCCACAAATGAACATTACATTTTTATTTATATAGACTAGCCGTCCCCTGCCACACGTTGCTGTGGCCCACATGGGGGTTCTGTGTGGGAGGTGTGGCCCAATTCTATCATTGGTGGGATTCAGAATGCTCTGATTGTAGGTGAACTATAAATCCCAGCAACTACAACTCCCAAATGTCAAGATTCTATTTTCCCCCAAACTCTACCAGTGTTCACATTTGGGCATATTGAGTATTTGTGTAGAGTTTGGTCCAGATCCATCATTGTTTGAGTCCACAGTGATCTCTGGATGTAGGTGAACTACAACTCCAAAACCAAAGGACACTGCCCACCAAACCCTTCCAGTATTTTCTGTTGGTCATGGGAGAACTGTGTGCCAAGTTTGGTTCAATTCCATCGCTGGTGGGGTTCAGAATACTCTTTGATTGTAGGTGAACTATAAATCCCAGCAACTACAACTCCCAAATGACAAAATCAATTTTTTGAGTGAAGAACATACATTGGGTTGTTAGGTGTCTTGTGTCCAAATTTCGTGTCAATTCGTCCAGTGGTTTTTGAGTTCAAACGAACACTACATTTTTATTTATATAGATGGTCAGTTGACTAATCAATGAACAATCAATCTATCTATAATGCATTTTGCCCATTGCCAACAGGCGTTTGTTTCAGTCATATCAACCCAGGCAATAGTATGTAAATGTCTGTGCAAATATTAGGACAGCATTAAATGCATTTGGAGGCAGAAGGGGTGACAAAAAGGAAGGCTAATTCCCAGAATTCTTTGTGCCAGCCATTGGTTCACACAAACAGGAACTCTGCTCAGCTGGTTTTGCTGCTTTGTGGATTAGGTCGAGGGTTACATGCTGTACTGACTTGACTCAAGGATAGCCAGGTGCAGGCCACTGATAAAACTATGGAAACCAGTACAAGCCCAGCCTGGGCAAGAAGGAGCCAGGAGGAAGCAGGCATTATGGCTTCGGAGAACAAGTGCCAACTTGTCTTGGTTCTGGAAAAGCCCCAGAAGCAAAGGAAGGCCTTTTAACTGTTTCAGCGCTTTCAAATCAACCTCACCACTGCTTTTAGCAGCACCTCAAACATCAATTTCTCCAAGATGTGCAATTTGAAATCTTATTATGGAAGGTAGATTTCTCCTGGATTTCCCTGGCAATTGTTTTATTATGAGAAGGGAATAAATAAGTCCAAGGAGTCAAGGTGACCCTGAAGGGCCTTTGGCTGCAGGCCTGGAGGTCAACAGTGATGCTCTCACACATCAATTATACTGAAATGAGGGCATCTCTTCTGCATTTTAAGCCAACCTCTGGGGGGCAGAGATGGCTCATCTCACCTTCTCCAAAGGGACGCTGTAGAGTTCTGGAACCAGCCGAAGCCCATTCTTCCCTTTGACCAGGACCCCCTCCAGGGCTTCTCGGTATTCCTGAACCTGGAGGAAAAGGAAGACAGAGGCTCCAGAAGGAGGCAGCAAGGTTGGAGGCTTGGTCCAAAAGCCATAGGACTGGAGCAGTTGCTGTCCCTGAAAATTGGGACCTAGAACTATATGTGATGAGGGTGGGAAGTGTCCAAGGTCCAGGCAGTCCCAGCTCCACCATAAAGGCCACTGCTGGACCTGCATTCATTTTAGATTTTATGCAGATGTGGGGAGGAGCAGCACAGTGGGACACATGTCCAAAGGGCCATTCTTCTCTTGGGCTGACCCCAAGGGGGCTCTCTTGGCTTCTTTCCCAGCAGAGGTCCTTCCTTCTTTCCCCTGGAAAAGTCACCCTGACCCCATCTGGTTTGGACCACAGGTGTCCTCACCTGTTCCAGGTTGCCATTGAAGATGCCATCGATGATGAAATAGGTCCAGAAAAGAGGCCACTCACATTCAATGTTCTCAAAGAGAGCCAGTTCAGCTGGCTCATAGTAGAGGCGGTTGGGATCCTGTGGATAAACACTGTAAGACATTGGACTGAGGAGAGGAGGGGTTTTCTTTTGTGTCAGGAATGACTTGAGAAACTGCAAGTCATTTCTAGTGTGAAAGAATTGGTCGTCTGCAAGGATGTTGCCCAGGGGACGCTCTGGATGTTTTTTCCATCTTATGGGAGGCTTCTTTCATGTCCCCACATGAGAAGCTGGAGCTGACAGATGGGAACTCACCCCACTTCCTGGATTCAAACCGCTGACCTTTCGGTCAGCAGTCCTGCTGACACAAGGGGTTCCAAGGAGGGGGGGTGTATGGGATCCATGCAACATGCAGCATGGTCCATCAGGCAGAGTGGATGTGGCACTTGGGCCCTTTGTGCAAAAAGCGGGAGAACACTGCTCAAAGCTGGCACAAACTCTGCAAATGTCTCATCATGCCTTTGCCCTGAGGTGGATGAAAGAGTGCTCTCTCTCCATCCCAAATGACTTGGAGACAGCAGTGAGAGGAAGCCAGCACTCACCTCTTTGGGAGTCCTGTATCCATCCCGGAGGAACCGGCAGCAACCGTAACGGCCCTGAGAAAGAGATGCCTGTGAGATGAAGGGCTGTCCTTTGCCCTTGGAGATCGGAAGGGCCCCGTCTCCCCAAAATCCCCCCACTGCGACAGCAAGGCCGAATCCAGCCCCTCATGCTTTGCAGAGGGCCAGCGCCTTGCCTGAAGCTTGGTGATGATCTCCTCCTTCGTCTTCTCCACAATCTCACGATCTTCCACTGCAAACGCCGGGAAAGAGATGACTGAGAGAAGGCTGGCATCGATCTCCTTGGAGGTGGAAGCCCTTGGCAGCATGGAGTGCAAAATGGACTGGCAGGAATGAGAGAGGAATTGGCAAAGTGGGAGACAAGGCTATATGTGCCCCCCTCCAAAGAGGGACAATTCAAAAAGTTGCCCCATTACTTTTCAGTGGCCTCAGTAGGGCAAGACCTCTTTATTTGAGCAGCCCTTTGGCTCTTACCTCACCAAAGCTGAAGAATATTTGGAAGGAGGAGATTTATGCTTTCGTCCTTTTTGCTACATTTTAAAATTTTATTTTGAAACAGTTTTAATTTATTGCTTTTAGTTGATATAAATATTTAATGCGTTGTCACTTTTGTATCAAATGCGGTTTAAACTGTGCTTTGCTACAATATGTTGCAAGCCAAATTTGTTTCAATGTGTCGCAAGCCAAATTGCATCTGATATTAGATTTCAATCAATCCACCAATCACATGTTTGGTAGCAAGTGTCAGGCTTGACCCCCCACCCCCATCTTCTTCCGCTTCTGCAGTCCACATCCCTCTTGGACTCCCATCCTCCTGTAACTCTTAACTTCCTGAAAAAAAGAGTGGGGGTCTCCCCTGATCTTCCCTCCCATTTACCTGGCAATGCTGGACTTCATCAGTCAGCACATGGATCACCGACTGGGGCCCTCCCTTGACCCCAAAGAGGTTGAGGTCATCCAAGGCCTCAAGGGCTGCCTGCAAGAGAGGAGGAAGAGGCAAACATAGTGCCATCGGAAGGAAACACCCACCCAACCTATCCATATATATGCACACACGAGGAATGCCCACCTTTGCCATGCCCACGGAGCTGGCGTTCAGCTCCGTGATTCCTTGATTTGTCTTGTCACCACGCTCCCATATCCCAAAGTCCTGCCAAAAACAAACAGAGAAGTGATTTGGGGCAAGGAGCTGGATGCAGACATGGATGACGATTCTGCATGGTGCATGGGCTTATGGGCAGGGCACAGCTACACTGCGATGGCTCTGCCAAGGGAGCATTGAAAAGCAGGGACTGTCTTCCAGCTCCATAGTAGCTCTCCAAAGGAAGGAACAGGAACAAGGCCATGTCTCCTCTCCCCCTCAAATGCCAGGAACCACGGCACATGGGCTGCCTGCTCGAACTTCCAATATGATAAGTGTCTCTTCCAAACAGCCCAGGCATAGTTTTGGACACCAGATCTGGACCACAACAGCCTTTGGCTGCCTTTTGCAAAGAAAGTTGGAAGGTTCTTGTGGGTTTTTTCGGGCTGTATGGCCATGTTCTAGAGGCATTTTTTCCTGACGTTTCGCCTGCATCTATGGCAAGCATCCTCAGAGGTAGTGAGATGAAGTTGGAAGGTTTCTCACATCCATAGGAAGTGTCTATCTGGCTCAGGGGCATAAACCATACTATACACCTCTACATCTAAAATCCAGCTTTCCTCTACCAGAGAATGATGTTCTCCAGATTTGGTATGGCTGATATGAGATGGTTTTAAACAATTGATTTTAAAGTTGAGATAATTGATTTTAGTGTTTATGTATAGGTAAAGGTAAAGGTTTTCCCCTGACATGAAGTCTAGTCGTGCCCGACTCTGGGGTGTGGTGCTCATCTCCATTTCAAAGTCGAAGACCCAGCGTTGTCCATAGACACCTCCAAGGTCATGTGGCAGGCATGACTTCATGGAGCGTCATTACCTTCCCGCCGGATCTACGCACATTTGCATGTTTTTGAACTTCTAGGTTGGCAGAAGCTGGGGCTGACAGCGGAAACTCATGCCTCTCCCCGGATTCGAACCTGCGACCTTTCAGTCAACAAGCTCAGCAGCTCAGTGTTTTAACCCACTGCACCACCGGGGACTACTGTGTTTATGTATATTTACAGTTTATATTATGTTCAGGCATTGAATGTTTGCCGTATATATGTTGTGCTTCATCCTGAGTCCCCTTTGGGGTGAGAAGGGCAGAATATAAAATTTTTAAATTAATTAATTAATTACATTACATTATGCAACAAAATTTGAAAAAAAAATCTGTTCCTGGTTTGAAAGTGTTATTTCCTGTTTAATTGTGCGGTTCTTATTTTGAAAGTAGTTGTTATAACCCAGAAATTTCATTTTTGTGTGTGACTGCCACAAATTAGGTTGAATTGATGGAGACTCTCTGAGATATTCATTGAAAAACTAGAACAAAGTGGGCTGCAGGATGTCCCTCCTTTAGTTTAATAAACTTTTCCCTTGTTTTTTATGATAGAACCGATTAGGAAATGACATTTATAACCAGGAGGAAAATTCATGTCACATAGTATTATGGGAGGAGAAAAAGGGGGAAAGAGCCAAATAACTTTGAACACATATGTATATACCAGCATAACTTTGAGCTACTTTGAGCCTCCTTGTGGAGAGAAAATATGGGGTATAAATAAACATAACAACAACAACAATATGCCTGGGTACACAACACTCTTTGTCACCTACTGACCAAGCTCTTTCTATTTTTCATAACTGGGGTGGAGTGTATGATTGGCAACATTGGATGTATCTTTGAGCGAGAGACCCAAGCTCAGCCCTGAAGTGCTGCAAGGAGATGTTTCGAAAGATGTGAAAGGTGTAGCCATGGCTCCCAAAGTGTGCCCCTCACAGGCCCCCACTGCTTCCCACTCTCTTCTGAATGCCATTGCAGGGCCTTACACCTCCCCTTTCTTGCCCAGAAGGCGACTCACAGCGGTCTTGTAGGCTGCTTCGATGTAGAAGACAAGGTTCTGGATGAAAGTCACTTCGTCCAAGCTGTGGATAATGTGAAGTCCTGAAAAGGAAGGAAGGAGAGTGTGCACAGGGAACCCAACGGCCCCTTTGACCTGAACACCTCAAAGGCACTAGAGCTATGGGTTCCACACTCTGGGTGGCCAGAGGCCCTTACCGGAGGCTATCATTTGTGCCAGCATCAGCAAGAAGAGGGAGGTGGCGTCCAGCTGCAGGTGGCCCCACTGGGCATCCCCCACTACGGTGGCGCAGGTGCCAGTGTTGTACTTGGCATGCAAGGCATCCGCTGTGCTCTGGCTGTACTTGAAGGCCTCCACTTTGTCCACCTGGAAGAGTCCCAGCAACAAAGAGGAAGCAAAGAAAACCACCTCCCCAGACTCCCCTCCCAAGGGCAGTCTTGGCCCAGCAAGGTTTCCAAGCTGTATGGCTGTGTTCTAGCAGCATTTTCTCCTGATGTTTTGCCAGGCTTTAGCACACCAGCTGCAATAAATCTTGTCAATTGAAAGGTTGGCAGTTCAAAGCCTGGGTCAGGGGTGAGTGGCCGACTTTCAGCCAACTCACTGCCCACCGAGCAGACAGAAAACAGCTATGAGTGAATAAATAAATACCGCTTAGGGAGGAGGTACTTTAATGGTATCATACAAGGAAATGCTGGCGATTCAATCAAAAGGAGGAAGCTCGATGATTTTATGACTAACTTGCAAGAATAGACAAAGTATCAGACATTGGTAATTTAAAAAGAAGAAGACTGCAGGATGAAATAAAAGAGAGAAGAAGGGAGAAGCCATAAGGAGAGAATTATATCAATGACAAAAATCATACAATGTGGAGAAGGAGATTCGGGAGTCAACAACAACCCCCCATCCTCCCCCAACCTTATACCCCCTTACCTAAAGCCATTCCTGCATGTTCCCAATTTGTCCTGATAGATACATACCATAGTTTCTCCCAACCACACTCAAAGTCTTTCCCTTGGACCCTACCTATCCCCCTACACACCCTTTCCCCAAGTTTTTATTTCTGTAAACACTGAAATGCATTCAATAAAAATTATATTTTAAAAAAGGAGGAAGCCTGTAAACAGGGCTCTTTGGCGTGGAGGATGGAGCGACAGAACCTGCTCCTCCCCATGGCCGGAATACAGCACAACCTCCAAAACACCGAAAGATGGGGAAAGCCTATATACCTCTATCTGTACTGTTGTCTGTCTTGTCAGTGTATAATGGCATTGAATGTTTGCCATATATGTGTTCTGTGATCCGCCCTGAATCCCCTTCGGAGTGAGAAGGGCAGAATATAAATAATGTAAATAAATAAATACTAAGTGGCTGGCATCTTCAAAGGATCTGGTGGGAGTCAAGCAAGTGTAGTGTGGAATGTCCAAGGTGGGAGAAAGAACCACAGGTGCATATACTCCACTTACTTGGTTACCAACAGATCCTCTGAAGATGCCAGTCACAGATGCTGGCGAAACATCAGGATATGGTCATACAGCCCAGAAACCACACAACAACCCAGGGATTCGAGCCACAAAAGCCTTTGACAATGCACCCCTCAAGTGTTTGTTTGTCACCAAAGACAAGATCAGCAAACTGGCTGACCTATACATCTGGTGGCCTTTTAAAATACACACACATCCCAGTGCCTACCTGGCGCATCATGCACTGGAGGAGGCCCCGCATCAGCTTCACCACACTCTGCAGAGAGAGAGGGAGGAAAGGGCATTGCAGGCATTCCAGCTGATGGCAGCTGGACTCTTCCAAGCTCAGCAGAGCCAGGCAGTCCATGACCTTTCGCGGCCTGTAACCAGATCCCAGGCTGCCCACCACCCCTCCCCACCCTCCCCCTGGCATTTACTTGCTGCCTCCAATGGCCACACACAGGACAGAAAAGAACCACGCACTTGGCATCCTATAACCCATAGAGCCCATACTCTGCACCCTGATGTTCAGGCTTTCGCAAGGGAAGACCCCATATTCTCTCCATGTCACTGAATGCAGGGATAGTGCCAACCAATGGAAGCTGAGCATCCCTTATCCAAGGGATAAATCCAAATTATTCTAAAATGGGCCTCATCTACACTGCCATACAATGCAGTTTGAACTGTATTATAACTCCTAGTGGTATTTATTTGTCGTGTCAGATCAACCAGTCAATTATATTACATTTCTAACAGAACAAAGCAAACAAACAGATAAAATATAACATTTGTGAGTTTGGTAGTTGGTTAAATGTCCTTTGACCAGTATCTGGCCACTTGGAGTGCCTCTGGTGTTGCTGCAAGAAGGTCCTCCATTGTGCATGTGGCAGGGCTCAGGTTGCATTGCAGCAGGTGGTCAGTGGTTTGCTCTTCTCCACACTCGCATGTCGAGGATTCCACTTTGCAGCCCCATTTCTGAAGGTTGGCTCTGCATCTTGTGGTGCCAGAGCGCAGTCTGTTCAGCGCCTTCCAAGTCGCCCAGTTCTGTGTGCCCAGGGGGGAGTCTCTCATTTGGTATCAGCCATTGATTGAGGTTCTGGGTTTGAGCCTGCCACTTTTGGACTCTCGCTTGCTGAGGTGTTCCAGCGAGTGTCTCTGTAGATCTTAGAAAACTATTTCTAGATTTAAGTCGTTGACGTGCTGGCTGATACCCAAACAGGGATGAGCTGGAGATGTCTCTGCCTTGGTCCTTTCACTATTGGCTGCTATTTCCCGGCGGATGTCAGGTGGTGCAATACCGGCTAAGCAGTGTAATTTCTCCAGTGGTGTAGGGCGCAGACACCCCGTGATAATGCGGCATGTCTCATTAAGAGCCACATCTACTGTTTTAGTGTGGTGAGATGTGTTGCACACTGGGCATGCATACTCCTAGTGGTGCAATGGGTTAAACCCTTGTGCCGGCAGGACTGCTGACCAACAGGTCAGTGGTTCAAATCTGGAGAGAACAGGTTGAGCTTCCTCTGTCAGCTCCAGCTCCCCATGCGGGGACTTGAGAGAAGCCTCCCACAAAGGATGGTAAAACATCAAAACAGTGTAACATGCACAGATATCTATAACAACAATAACAAAAACTGTAGATTGCAAATCACAATTTCTATGTTCCAACAATGTCTCCCGGGTTGTTTCCCTTGTTTCGCAATATCTTCTTCAGGTGTTATGATGTTTTAATTCAATTCTAATTGGCAGCTATTGGTTCTGTTTTGATTTCCTATCAGCATTTATAGTCTTTGGATTCAATTCATGTAAACAGCCTAGGCTCTGAGTGAGGAGTTCTGAATTGAGCCACAATCAAAACAAAACCAATAGCTACCAATTAGAATTGAATTAAAACATCATAACACCTGAAGAAGATATTGCGAAACAAGGGAAACAACCCGGGAGACCTTGTTGGAACATAAAACCATCAAAACAACCGGGTGTCCCCTGGACAACATCCTTGCAGACAGCAAATTCTCTCACATCAGAAGCGACTTGCAATTTCTCAAGTTACTCCTGACATAAAAAAAAACTGTATTATGTAGTCAGTGTAGACTCATATAACGCAAACTGAATATCATAGAACTGGATTGTATGAGTCTACACTGCTATGTAATCCAGCACAATCTGCATTGTAATTGCAGTGTGGATGGGGCCATCGTCCACATGGATAACTGAGATAGTGCTACTCTCTCCTATTTATAAGGCTCGAGGGAATAAAATGAAACATAATAATCCTACATGTTAAGGAGCAACTAAAGGTTCAGCAACTGTTAGGGAGGAGTTTTGGTCAAGTAATTAATTTCTGGCCAGAGAGAGAGAGAGAGTGAGAGAGAGAGAGAGACCAAAAGGTGATCCTCCAGCACAGATCGGATTACAAGCCTGAGGGGAGCTCAGCCCTTGTATATCTGCTGCAGCCGGCTCTTCCATTTCACGGCCTGACCCTTGCAAATGGGCCTGGGAGATCAGGTGACCGGGGTCACTCCAGGGCAGCTCTGATCCAAGGAAGCAAATACAGGGGAAGCCCTGATTCCCCCGGCCTTCCAAGCAGAGGAGCTAGATGGGCATCTTGCAACAGAGGACTTTGGAAACTTCACCAGAAACTTCTCCAGCAGCCTCTCATTGTTCTTTCCCACTTGACACAATTATAGGGCTATAATTCCACTTTGACAGCAGCCTAGGCATCTTAGGACTTGCATGGCTTTCTTGCAGAGAATCCAGGAGCAAAACCTTACCCTAAATGGGAAGAGCCAAGGCAATAAACATGGGGCCCAAGTGCTGCTCTTGCGTGGGATGAGTGAGGCCTCTGGACCTTAGGCCAGTGGTTCTCAACCTTCCGAATGCCGCGACCCCTTAATTCCGTTCCTCATGTTGTGGTGACCCCCAATCATGACATTATTTTTGTTGCTACTTCATTACTGTAATTTCGCTACTGTTACAAGTTGTAATGTAGATATCTGATATGCAGGATGTATTTTCATTCACTGGACCAAATTTGGCACTTGGGAGTTGTAGTTGATTTTTGTCATTTGGGAGTTGTAGTTGCTGGGATTTATAGTCCACCTACAATTAAAGAGCATTCTGAACTCCACCAATGATGTAATGGAAACAATTTTAGCACACAGAACTCCCACGACCAACAGAAAATACTAGAAGAGTTTGGTGGGCACTGACTGTGAATTTTAGAGTTGTAGTTCACCTACATCCAGAGAGCACTGTAGACTCAAACAATGATGGATCTGGACCAAACTTGGAAGGATCAGGGGTGGCTCAACCCATTACGCAAAGTAAGCATTTGCAGTATAGTTGATTTTGCCCAGGGGCGCTCTTGAGGCGCTCTTGGGGGAAAATAGACCTTGACATATGCGAGTTGTAGTTACTGGGATGTATAGTTCACCTACAATCAAAGAGCATTCTGAACTCCACCAATGATGGAATTGAACCAAATATGGCACACAGAACTCCCATGACTAACAGAAAATATATATCAGTGATTGGTTGGGGGTGTGTGTGTGCCAAAATACTGTTTGCTTACCGTTGAAAATTACCTAGGGCCGCCTCTGGGAAGGAATACTCAATGTGCCCAATTGTGAACACTGGTGGAGTTTGGGGAAAATAGACGGTGACATTTGGGAGTTGTAGTTACTGGGATTTATAGTTCACCTGCAATCAAAGAGCATTCTGAACCCCACCAAGGATAGAATTGGGCCAAACTTCCCACACTGAACCCCCATGACCAAGAGAACATACTGTGTTTTCTGATAGCCTTTGGCGACCCCTCCACCCCCTGGCGACCCCACCAGGGGTCCCGACCCCCAGGTTGAGAAATGCTGCCTTAGGCCAACAAATCATAGAGGTTCATTAAGCCTAATGAAGCAATATGGAAGATGAGGGTTGGAGTTGGGGAAAGGACCCATCTTGGGGTGATGCCGGATGTATAGGTCCAATTGACAGGCCCCTGGGCTGCAGCTCCATTTTCCTCCCTCTGCCCAGTCTATGGCCCCGTACCTGCTCCAGCTCATAGGCCTTGGCCTTGTCCTCATCGCGGTCGGCATTCTTACGGTAGGCCAGGCCCAGGCCCCAGACAGCCAGGACGCTGTAGACATTGTCCCGCACCCAGGCATCCCGCTGGTCAGCGCTGGCCGGAAGCAGGCCGGTCACTGGGTTCTGGACAAGGAAATGGACAGACAGACAGAAGTGGCATAAGAGCACTGTATTCGGCAAAGGCTTGGCAGCAAAGAGACGTCCACTGCCCTGTTTTGGCCCAGTTCCCACTCACACTGCACACTTATAGCACTATAATTCCACCTTAACTGTCACAGCAACCTCTGACTGAATCCTGGGATTTGCAGTTTAAGGAAGGTTATTGGGGTTCTCGATCAGAGAGCTCTTCAGAAAAATAACAAAGGAAGTCTGTGATGCTTTTAATGTTTTTATGCATGTTTTTAGTTTAAATGTGATGAATATGGTGTGGGAGAGCGATGAGGGAAAGAACGATGGGACTCATTAGGATTGTGTTGTCAAAGGCCAGAATCACTGGGTTGCTGTGAGTTGTCCGGGCTGCACAAATAAAAACACGAGATGCTAGAATCAAGGAAACAAAATAATCCTAATGAGCGGGTTGCTGTGAGTTTTCCGGGCAGTCTGGCTATGTTTCAGAAGCATTCTCTCCTGATATTTCACCCACATCTATGGCAGACATCCTCAGAGGTTGTGAGGTCTGTTGGAAACTAGGAAATTTGGCATTTTCTGTGGAATCTGTGGGAGAAGGAGCTCTTGTCTTTTGGAGGCAAGTGTGAATGTTGCAATTGGCCACCTTGATTAGCCTTGAACGACCTTGCAGCTTCAAAGCGCGGCTACTTCCTGCCTGGGAGAATCCTTTGTTGGGAGGTCTTAGTTGGCCCTAATTGATTCTCATCTGGGATTCTCCTGTTGCTCTTTTTCTCCTGTTGTGATTTTGGAGGTTTGATTAGCATACAATGGGCTGACTGTGCCTGGAGCAAACTTTTGTTGAGAGGTAATTAGATGTCCCTGCCTGCTTCCTCTCTGTTGTTGTGCTGTTGCAATTTTAGAGTTTTTTTAATACTGGTAGCCAGATTTTGTTCATTTTCATGGTTTCCTCCTTTCTGTTGAAATTGTCCACATGCTTGTGGATTTCAATGGCTTCTCTGTGTAGTCTGACATGGTGGTTGTGAAAGTGTTCCAGCATTTCTGTGTTCTGAAATAATATGTCATGTCCAGGTTGGTTCACTGGACGTTCTGCTATGGCTGACTTCTCTGGTTGAAGTAGTCTGCAATCCCTTTCATGTTGCTTAATTCGTATTTGGGCGCTATGCACTTCAAAAGAAGCACTGACTGCATAGGGAAGCTGATAAAGAAACACAACATACAAACTGTCTACAGACCCACTAGGAAAATCCAACAAATGCTATATTCAGCAAAGGGCAAGAGGGATCCTCTCAGTTCTGCAGAAGTCTCCCGTATATTGTGCAGCTGTGGACAAGTCTACACAAGGACCACCAAACGCAGCAGCATTGCCCAGACACAAATCAAGGAACATGAAAGGCACTGCAGACTAATTCAAACTGAGAAGTATTACTTGAGAACACAAAAATGCAGGAGAGAATGCTTCTGGAACATGGTCAGCCTGGAAAACTCACAGCAACCCCGTGATTCTGGCTATGAAAGCCTTTGACAACACAATGATGATGATGATGATGATGATGATGATTATTTTCACCAAATAATATTTTTTTCCAAATAATGATGATGATGATAATTTTGTCATATAATAATAATAATTAGGACAATGATGATAATTTCACCAAATAATGATGATGATTTTTTTTATCGTGTCAGGAGTGACCTGAGAAACTGCAAGTCGCTTCTGGTGTGAGAGAATTGGCCATCTGCAAGGACGTTGCCCAGGGCACGCCCGGATTATTTGATGTTTTATCATCCTTGTGGGAGGCTTCTCTCATGTCCCTGCATGAGGAGCTGGAGCTGATAGAGGGAGCTCATCTGCCTCTCCCCGGTTTCAAACCTGCGACCTGTCGGTCTTCAGTCCTGCCAGCACAGGGGTTTAACCCACTGCGCCACCGGGGGCTCCAATATAGCTGTTAAAAAGTATGGGGGTGGAGGAAGAAAAGAGATCCAATTTACCTGCCTTATTTTTTATTTTTCCCCACTGTATCTTCCAGCCTCTTGCCATAGATGCAGGCGTCAGGAGAAAAATTGCTTCCAGAACATGGCCATATAGCCCGGAAAAACCTACAACAACCCATGGATTCCGGCCATGAAAGCCTTCGACAATACAAATAATATAATATATTGTATGTATATATATCTTGTAAGCTGCTCTGAGTCCCCTTTGACGGCATATATATGCCGTAAATAAATAATATTTTTCCAAATAATAATAATAATAATAATTTTTCTACATCCTAATAATAAAACAGGGTGTCTGTAAAGTCTCTTTACCATTTCAAAAAAAAAAACCGACTGAAAATTAATTAATATTAATTGATATTCAGATATCTTAATCAGATTTGTTCTCTGTACCCAGTGGTTGTCAAAGTTTGCAATCACACTGCATTCGTGTTGAAAATTAATTAATTAATATTAATTGATATTAAGATATGAGATATCTTAATCAGATTTGTTCCCTGTACCCAGTGGTTGTCAAAGTTTGTAAACACACTGCGTTCTTGTAGTATTGCAGATACCCCGTTGATGGAAGATGCAGTCCTGCTAAACGAGGCATGAGCAACCTTCTGCCCTCCAGGTGTTTTGGACTACAACTCCCACAATTCCTAAAAGCCGGGCAGAAGTTTTCCCATGTCTGTGTTAAATGAAACTCACTCCTAAAAACTGATTAAAGCAGCGGTACTGTTAGAGCAGTGGTTCTCAACCTTCTTAATGCTGCAACCCCTTAATACAGTTCCTCATGTTGTGCTGACCCCCAACCATAACATTATTTTCATTGCTACTTCACAACTGTAATTTTGCTATTGTTATGATTCGTAATGTAAATATCTGATATGCAGGATGTATTTTCTTTCACTTGACCGAATTTGGCACAAATACCCCATTCACTCAAATTTGAATTCTGGTGGAGTTGGGGGATTGATTTTGTCATTTGGGAGTTGTAGTTGCTGGGATTTATAGTTAATCTACAATCAAAGAGCATTCTGAATTCCACCAATGATGGAATTGAACTAAACGTGGCACACAGGACTCCCATGACTAACAGAAAACACTAGAAGGGTTTGGTGCACATTGACCTTGAGTTTGGGAGTTGTAGTTCACCTACATCCAGAGAGCACTGTGGACTCAAACAATGATGGATCTGGACCAAACTTGGCACAAATACTCAATATGCCCAATATGGAGTTTGGGGAAAATAGACCTTGACATTTGGGAGTTGTAGTTGCTGGGATTTATAGTTCATCTACAATCAAAGAGCATTCTGAACCCACCAATGATGGAATTGAACCAAACTTGGCACACAGTCCCCATTACCAACAGAAAATACTATATTTTCTGTTGGTTTTTGGTGACCCCTCTGACATCCCCTCATGACCCCCCCAGGGGTCCCGACTCCCAGGTTGAGAAACACTGTTAGAGGAAACGCTCCCCTTAAAAATGTCTCCTCCTCAGTGAATGGTAAACAAAGAGACTTGAGGGGCTCCCTGTGTCTCCACCCCCCTCCCCTCCCCTCCCCTCCCACCTGGTGCCCGAGGATGGTCTGCTGCACCAGCCGCGCGTAGCCGTCCAGGCGGACCCCGGAGTTGCTCCTGCTCCGCATGGCGCTTCCTCCTCCTCCTCCTCCGGCAGCCGCTTCCTTCTTCTCCTTCTCCTTCTCTCCTGAAGCCCCTCCCTCTCTCCTTCCCCTTTCCCTCGTGGACGGGGTCAGCCGAGGACACCCACCGCGTCTCGTCCCCTTCACCAAGGAAGAGGGAACCCCAAACACGTGGGAGGGAAGGAGGAAGGGAGGAAGGGGCCGGGGCTAGGCTCCACTCCCAATCTCTCTCTCTTTCTCTGCCCCACGGCCCCGGGAAGGGCCCAAGGGGTACGTGGAGGGCTCCCCGCCTGTAGTCCGACCTTGAGGGCTCGCCCAAAGAGAGACCCCCCCCCCCCCCCAATCCTCGCCTCTTTCCGAAGTTGGGCGCCTTTCGGGAAACAAGGGAAGAGGCGGGCGCGCCCCCTGGCGGACGGAGCGGGGCCTGCGCTTGGAAGGAAAAAGAAAGAGGGAGGGAGGAGAAAGAGGAAGAAGAAGGAGAAGGAGGAAGGAAAAAAAGGAAGAAAAAGAGGAAGGAAAAGGGAAGGAGGGAGAGAAGGAAGGAAGGAAGAAGGAAGGAAGGAAAAGGGAAAGGAAGGAAGAAGTGAGGTAAAGGAAGTCGCAAGGAAGAAAAGGGGGGGAGAGAAGGAGGCAGAAGAGGGAAGGAAAGAAGGGAGGGAAGGAAGGAGGGAAGGGTGAAGGAAAGGAGGAAGCAAGGAAAATGGAGGGGAAAGGAAGGAAGACAAAAGGAGGAAGGAAGGAAGGAAGGAAGGAAGGAGAGAGAGGAAGAGGTGAAGGAAAGAAAGAAGCAAAGAAGAGGGAAGGAGGGAGGAAGGAAGAGGGAAGGAAGGAGGAAGAAGGAAGGAATAAAGGGAGGGAGGGAGGAAGAGGGAAGGAGGAAGGAGGAGGGAGGGGGAAGGAAAGAAGGAAGCAAGAAAAAAGAGGGGGAAGGAAGGAGAGGAGAAGGACTGCAATGGAAGGTTCCCTACAGGAAAGGAGATTCCACCTGAACATGAGGAAGAACTTCCTAACTCTTCACTGACTGTGAGAGCTGTTCAGCAGTGGAACTCTCTGCCCCGGAGTGTGGTGGAAGCTCCTTCTTTGGAAGCTTTTAAACAGAGGCTGGATGGCCATCTGTCAGGGGTGATTTGAATGCAATATTCCTGCTTCTTGGCAGGGGGTTGGACTGGATGGCCCATGAGGTCTCTACCAACTCTTTGATTCTATGATTCTTTGAGGGAGAAGGAAGGAAAAAAGAAGGGAGGGAGGAAGAGGGAAGGAGGAAGCAAGAAGGGAGGGAAGGATGGATGGAGGGATGAAGGAAAGAAGGAAGCAAGGAAAAGGGAGGGGAAAGGAAGAAAGAGGGAAGGAGGAATGAAGGAAGGAAGACGGAATGAAGGAAGAATGAAGAAGGGAGGTGGGAGGAAGGAAGGAAGGAGAGAGAAAAAGGAAGAGGTGAAGGAAAGAAAGAAGCAAGGAAGAGGGAAGGAAGGGGAAGGAAGTTGGAAGAAGGAAAGAAAGGAGGAAGAGGGAAGGAGGGAGGGAGGAGCAAAATGGGAGGAAAGAAGGGGGAGGAAGGGAAGAGAAAGGAAGGAGGGAGGGAAGGGTGAAGGAAGCAAGGAAGAAGTAAAAAGGGAGGGAGGGAGGAAGATGCGAAGGAGATAAGGAGGAATGGAGGAAGAGGGAAAGAAGGAAGGGAAGGAGGAAAGAAGGGAGGGGGAGGAAGAGGTGAAGGAAGGAGGAGAGAAGCAAGCAAGCAAGCAAGGAGAGTTCCCCCTCACTTTCTCCCAGAATCCTAGAGCTCTCAAGTACCCTGAGGCCACCTCAGGCTCCTTATGGTTGTCTTCAAAGCTTCCTTGACTCCATGGAGGATATCTATGGAAACAGGGCCAACTATAATATTTTTCACAGTAGTCATTGCTCTTTTGCTTTTACCCAGTTTGGGTCCCCAGATGTTATTGAACAAAAGCTCTTGTGTGGAGTAGGGATCACTCGGCAGCCCTTGTGGCACTTTGAAAGGGCATTTCAAAGCTGGACATCATGTCCTCAAGCCATGTATGTAAATGCAGACGCCTCCCTCCTGACTCAACAGGGCAAACTGCAGTTTTCCAGGTGTTAGTTATTGCATCCCAACTCCCATCAGTGCTAGTCCTGATGTCAATGAAGAGGAATACTGGAGCAATCATCTAGCATTGGATGACACGGAGGGCTGGATTTGGCCCATGGGCCTTGAGTGTGGCATTTGGAGGAGATGAAAGTACGCAAAAGGGTTCTAAAGGACTTTATGTCCTGAAGAGAGAAAGATCGGGCCATGAAGGAAAAACTGAGAGCTCAGCAGGAAAGGGGAGAGAGGGGGAAACACAACCTACTGAAAAGGATTGCAAACTGCTGAAAAGACATACTTGTCTCTGCTGATAAGAGAGAACAAAGGGACTGAACTTTGCACATGCTCAAAAAGTTCTGACTATAAAATGGGCCGAGTTGCATCTCAGCCTCGTGGCACATTTGGCACCACACGGCTTTGCTCTATAGATTAAATTCATTGTATTAAAGGCGTCTTCCACACAGCTGAATAAAATCCCACATTTTCTGCTTTGAACTAGAATATATGGCAGTGTGGACTCAGATAACCCGTTTCAAAGCAGATATTGTGGGATTTTTTTGCCTTGATATTCTGGGTTATATGGCTGTGTGGAAGGGCTCTAAATCACTTTGCCTTTATGTCTGATTGGAATACAGATACTAGGGCAGTGTTTCTCAACCTGGGGGGCATCGCAAGGGTTTTCAGTGGAGTCACCAAAGACCATCAGAAAACATATTTGTGATGGTCTTAGAAACCTCTTTGGCAAAGAAGAGCAAGGATATCTCCACCTATCCTCCTCCTTTTTGGAAACAGACGGCAAATCCTCCCACCAAAAGCCCTCCTCCACTGTGATTGGCTGGCCTCTCAGCTGGTCTCTCAGCCAAGTTGGGGGGGGCGCTTCTGAGACTCCAAGCAGGGAGGGGAGAGCAGGTGTGCTTGGCGCATGGCAGCGTGGTGCACATGTGGGTGAGGGAGAGTGTGCGAGGCTGGAGGGAGGCTCGCACCAGCTAGTCTCTTCAAAGCATGGGAGTTCTGTGTGGGAAGTTTGGCCCAATTCTATCATTGGCGAGGTTCAGAGTGCTCTTTGGTTGTAGGTGAACTATACATCCCAGCAACCGAAACTCCCAAATGTCAAGATCTATTTTCTCCAAACTCCACCAGTGTTCACATTTGGACATATTGAGTATTTGTGCCAAGTTTGTTCCAGATCCATCATTGTTCAAGTCCACAGTGCTCTCTGGATGCAGGTGAACTACAACTCCAAAACTCAAGGTCAATGCCTACCAAACCGTTCTAGTATTTTCTGTTAGTCATGGGAGTTCTATGTGCCAAGTTTATTTCAATTCCATTCTTGGTAGAGTTAAGAATGATTGTAGGTGAACTATAGATCCCAGCAACTACAACTCCCAAATGACAAAATCAATCCCCACAACCCCACCAGTATTCAAGTTTGGGCATATCGGGTATTTGTGCCAAATTTGGTCCAGTGAATGAAAATACTGTATATACTCGAGTATAAGCCTAGTTTTTCAGCCCCTTTTTAAGGCTGAAAAAGCTGCTCTCGGCTTATACTCGAGTCAAAGTTATTTATTATTTTACTCTGTTATTGCTATTATTTTTATTACTTTTATTATTTTACTTTATTATTGTTATTACATTTATTATTTTACTCTATTATTGCCATTATTACATTTGCATTATTTTATTCTATTACTATTTTATTATATTTATTTTACTCTATTATTATATTCATTATTTTACTTTAGTGTTGTTGTTATTACACTTATTATTTTACTTTCTTTATTATTATTGGAAGGATACATAAGCACATTTACACTGAAAAAGGTTAGAATAATGGTTTACTCAAAGTTGGTCAGCCTTCTTTTAAATTATAGTTTTATGTAAACATTGAAAAACTTTTAACCTATTGTTTCCTCAATTAATATAATTTTATTGGTATCTATATTTATTTTGTATTACCAGTAGCTGCTACATTTCCCACCCTCGACTTATATTCGAGTCAATAAATTTTCCCATTTTTGCCGGGTAAAATTAGGTGCCTCGGTTTATATTCGAGTATATACGGTACATCGAGTATATCAGATATTTACATTATGATTCATAACAGTAGCAAAATTACAGTTATGAAGTAGCAACAAAAATAATGTTATGGTTGGGGGGGGGTCAGAACAACATGAAGAACTCTATTAAGGGGTCACGGCATTAGGAAGGTTGAGAAACACTGTACTAGGGGTTTTGGGGGGCACCAAGCTTCAACAACACTGTGCTGCCACACACCCCCAAATCAGAGGCCACAGCCCTCTTTAGCAAAAGAAGCCAGGTTTATTTACACAATCTCTTTTCAATACACCAGGTCATGAATAGAAATGTAACCCAGTTTCTTGACAATCGATTCAGAGCAGGAGATAACAGCGCACCAGCCGAGGAGGGGAGAGAATAGATGGATAGATTGGGGCCAAAATGAAAAGTATTCAGAGCAAGGAGGAGAAAGCCTACCTCTGGAGACAACCTATAAAGTGCTCCCTTCGGTGGGAAAGGGTGGTTTTGTGGGAGAAGAGTCCAGTGGCAAAACCCTCAGGCAAGGCAATGCAAAGCTAACCCCCTTGCCCCATAGACATCCATAGACAAGCAGCATACCCATCCAGGGCAACCATATGGGGCCAGAATAAGCGTGGGACACTCCACTTAGCCACCCTCTCCTCCACCCAGTCTACTTCCTCTTAAAATGTCCAGATATTGTATTGTTTATTACAAGAAGCATTAAAAACCATCAAACTTACCGGGTCTCCCAAAATTGCAGGTGCCAATGGCAATGTGCTTTTATTTGCATCGTGAGAAGGATACACAAAGGCAGCAAATGACCACAAGGAAGGCAAACAGAGTGCGGAGAAGCGGACACTGTGCCAGAGAGAGAGAAAAGAGGATCAAGCCCTAGGCCACTTCCCAGCAGAAGCAGCACAAAGACAGAGGAGCCCCACTGCAGACCAGGAGGCCTGGCTTGGACCAAAGCACAAAACACCAACTCACTGTGTGATTGTCCCAGGAAGCCCTCATCAGCTCCTCTGGAGTTCACACCATCCATCTCTCTTCCCAACAGATTCAAGGTATTGGGCTGCCTTTGTGCCAAAGCAGAGGCCTAAGGCCTTCTTATTAAGACCCCACACATGCAAGCAGTGCTTTCCTGTGACCCCCATGCACCCTTCTGCTTTCCAAAATGGGGAGGGTTGACACACTGGTATGAGAAACAGGACTGAGTCTGGTTCTTAGGGAGAGTTTTCAAAGGATTGCAAAGCAAACCCTGCCTCTCCTTGCAGTGACTGAACTTCCTTCATTGTCCTCCTCCTCTTGCACCAAACCCACATCAGGACCTAAAGAAAACTGTCCTAGGAGCCCGTCAGGTGTCCCTTCTTTCTTTTTCCAAGGAGAAAACAAAGTGGACCATATTAGCATTCAATGCATAAAAGTCCCGGGCTAAAACAGTCCGTGTTTGCATGTCCTGTGCGGAGGGAAGGCATCAGGAGTCAGATGAACAGGAGTCCAGTTTCATTAAAATTCAGACCATCTCTTAGTAGGGGACAGAAAGGGGACTCAGGGGAGATGGTCCTCCAAGGTGAGCAGAGCCAGCAAGTGGAGAACATCAAGGCTGGAGGATGAGCCAGGACTCCGACGGACGTCCCATTCTGCCCGCTCCAGGCCCAGCTCAGCGGCAGGTGCAGGACTTGGCGACCATGTTGTCATAGACCTTGTAGAGAATGTCATTGTTGGGCTCAATCATGAGGACACTGATGGGGCCGTACTCGTAGGGCACGCAGGAGGGCCGGGGCACGCTGGAGTCCACCAGCTCATTGATGAAGTTCTGGACAATGGCATGGTTGGGCGCATGGTAGCCCTGGCGCAGGACCCGGGGGCAGCCTCCCTTGCAGAACTGGGGCCAGTACAAGTGTGGGGCAATGATCCAGTGGTCCCAGCCCAACTGGCTGAAGCTGACCCGGAAGGGGCGCAGGGAGCACTCCTCGTTTCTCTTGGGGCCACTGGGACGAGAGTAGCCGGGCAGGTCGAGGGCCAAGCGGCCAGCTTGGCGGGCCCTGCGGACGAGGAAGGGGCTTCCCCGAACAGGCTTCAGTGGGGAAAGGCCCAGGACTGGATTCGGGCCCTCTTCCCCCTCCGCCCGCAGGGCCTGCCGGGTGTCATTGAGGTAGAGCAACAAGAAGGGGTCATCCAGAGACACGGCGGCAGGGTCCAGGGGCCGCCCTGCAGAAGAGGAGGAGGAGGCACAGGCATGGCGCAGGTGCAAGACCCAGCTCTGAGGGGCATCCCAGGACCCCCACAATGGGAAGTGTGCAGAGAGGTCCATTTCCACCCAGCTGTCTTGGGTCGGAGAGGCCACGGTCGCATTCAGGTGGTCCTGTGGGGGGACCCAGTCTAAGCTGAGCGGACTGGGAGAGGAGGCGCGTTGTCCCCGGAGCAACTCGACCACACAGGCAAAAGGGCCGCCATTGGACAACTGAGTCCGAGAATAGATGGCCACAACCCGCACCAACTGTTCCACCTGCGGCTTGACCTCCAAGCGGTAGTCCAGAGTCCAGACCAACCAGGGACCTACACAAAGGCAGACAGAGATTAAATGCATACATTACTGTCACACTTTCTTGCCTCAAAGCCTGGCAAACCTCCTCAAGACAAAAATGCCTATTCCCTTCTTGCCTCTTGGTGTTCCTGGCTGACTTTTTGTGAATCCTCCAGCTCTTTTCCAAGGGAGGATCCACACAACCCTCTGCTAGTAACCTCATCGCACTTTTGCTGTCCTGGCCCCATCCAAAGAAATCATGGGATTTGCAGTTTGGGAGGAGCACATGGACTTCTCTGCATGTTGTTCAAGGGGCCAGGCTTTAGCACAGCAGGTTAATCACCAGCTGCAGCTACAGTAAATCTTGCCAACCAAAAGGCTGACAGTTCGAAGCCTGGGTCAGAGTGAGCCCCCAACCTTAATCCCAGCTCCCCTCTCACCTAGCAGATCAAAAACAGCAATGTGAATAGATAAATAGGAACCACATTAAAGAGGGGAGGTTTTTGAGGCACATTTTGAGGCATTTTGATAAGAAAAAGGAGGACGTTTGCGAACAAAGAAAGCTCTGCAGCAAGGAGATGGAGTGACAGCACCCCACTGTGGCCGGAACCGAGCACAGTCTCCAAAGATGCCGAAAAATGGGAAAGCTTATGTATATCTCTACCTGTTGTCTGTTTTGTCGTTGTATAAGTGCATTGAATGTTTGCTATATATGTGTTCTGTGATCTGCCCGAGTCCCCTTTGGGGTGAGAAGGTTGGAGTATAAATACTGTGTGGGAAGTTTGCCAATTCAATTGTTGGTGGGATTCAGAATGCTCTTTGATTTTAGGTGAACTATAAATCCCAGCAACTAAAACTCCCAAATGTCAAGGGCTATTTTCCCCAAATTCCACCAGTGTTCACATTTGGGCACATTGAGTGTTTGTGTCAAGTTTGGTCTAGATCCATCATTGTTTGAGTCCACAGTGTTCTCTGGATGCAGGTGGACTACAACTCCAAAAGTCAAGGTCAATGTCCACCAAACTCTTCCAGTATTTTCTGTTGGCCATGGGAGTTCTGTGTGCCAAGTTTGGTTCAATTCCATCATTGGTGGAGTTCAGAATGCTCTTTGATTGTAGGTGAACTATAAATCCCAGCAACTACAACCAATCCTCCCCCCCAACCCCACCAGTATTCAAATTTAGGCGTAGCGGGGCTTTGAGCCAATGGTGGTCCAGTGAATGAAAATATATCCTACATATCAGATATTTCCATTACGATTCATAACAGTAGCAAAATTACAATTACGAAGTAGCAATGAAAACAAATTTATGGTTGGGGTCACCACAACATGAGGAACTGTATCAAAAGGTCACGGCATTGGGAAGGTTGAGAATCACTGTGCTAGATGTATTGTCGAAGGCTTTCATGGCTGGAATCACTGGGTTGTTGTAGGTTTTTTCGGGCTACATGGCCATGTTCTAGAGGCATTCTCTCCTCTGAGGATGCTTGCCACAGATGCAGGCGAAACGTCAGGAAAGACTGCCTCTAGAACATGGCCATATAGCCCAAAAAAACCTGCAACAACCCACTGTGCTAGAGTTTGCCGTGCATACCCACTCAGGTGTGCCATGGGGGAGCCCGCACCCCAGAAGAAGGGAGCCCTGGCATCCTCACCTGTCCCTGGCTGGTGGTGCTTGGCAAAGGGCTGGACCAGACGCACAGTGTTGGTGGGCATCCGGCGGTCCCTGCGAGGCCGGCCGTGCCGGTCAGCCACACTCCGGTAGAGGTCCATCATGTAGCGCAGTGGTTGCTGGCCTGCCTGCCTCCTGCGGCGCCCCAGAGGGCGGGCTTTGGGGGGCCCCTGGCTGAGCAGCATCCGGATCAAGGGGAGCGGAGGTGCCCCCACAAGGGCCCCATTGTGCGAGGCAGGGGCCTCCCTCCCTTGCCCCAGGGGGGACTCCAGGAGGAACAGCATTGCAGCCATGAGAAGCAGGACCCCGCAGGGGGAAAGGGGGCTCCAGCCAGCCATTGGGCACCAAGGAGCTACAGGGCTGCCTCCATGCCCCAAGGAAGGGCCTTCACAACCCCATCCTGGGACCCACAGGCAAACCCTGTGAGACGAGACAAGCAGCCAGACCTCTCATAGGCAGGAGCAAGACCCTTCCTTGCTGTTCAGTCCAGGGAAGAACATGAACAAGGCAATGGTACAAAGCTTCAAACAAGGTGAGAGACTGAGTCCTGCAGGCCAGTTGAAGTGGCTCCCTAACTTTGGCCTGCTGGGTAAGGAGCTTGGGAGGCTCTTCCTGCTTTAAAGGATGGCTGGGATTTAAAGGGCCAGGAGGGGATGTGTTTGGCTGCTCAGACCCTGGAAGGGAAGGAAGGAAGGCCAGAGTTTGGGAAAGGTTTGTTTTTGGACCTTACTTAGGCGATCCCTCATTGTCCGAGTAGGATAGTCCTTCAAGATCAGTGTGCTGGTGGGTCCGTAGATGACTGTGGAGCCCAATTTTAGGCTTGGGTAACCACGGAAAAATTTGGTTCTAAACTTGTTTTGTTTTTAGGGGGCCCTTGCGTTTCGTTTTTTTAATAATTCCGAAATTTTCCTTTTAAAAATTTCAAAATATATGAAATTTCATAAAATTACGAATCGATTCGTTAATGGCGGACGCGATTGCGCAATATCCTAAAAAAACCTCCAAATGGGACAGGGGAACTTCTGAAGCTTCCCTCTCCCTCTGTTGTTGACTGTTGGTGTGATAAAACAAACAACAACTATAAAACTTGCACCAGACATGCGGAAATAATTACGAAATAATTACGAAATAAATTGAAAAAATTGTTTCGAATCGAATGTACTCCTCACACTATTCCTGCATGGCTCAATATTGGATCGTAAGCTAATTTAAATACAAATTAATAACGAATAACGAAATTAARGAACGAAACCGCCCAAGCCTACTATTTTTTTATCTGCATCTTCTCCCGCACTGAGAGCATCGGTTTCCAGGTGGAAGGCGGTCTTGGTCYAGGTTGACTTGATACACCTTCCTCTTGGCATGTTTCTCTCTTTCGCCCTCCATTAGTTCCTCTTCAAATTCTACAGCACTGCTGGTCACAGCTGACCTCCAGCTGGAGCACTTAAGGGCCAGGGCTTCCCAGTTCTCAGTGTCTATGCCAGAATTTTTAAGGTTGGCTTTGAACCCATCTTTAAATCTCTTTTCCTGCCCACCAACATTCTGCTTTCCTTTCTTGAGTTTGGAGTAGAGGAACMTCTTTGGGAGACGGTGTTTGGGCATCCAGACAACGTGGCCGGTCCAGCGGAGTTGATGACGAAGGGCCATGGCTTCAATGCTGGTGGTCTTTGCTTCTTCCAGCATGCTGACATTTGTCCGCTTGTCTTCTCAAGAGATTTGCAGGATTTTCCGGAGACAGCGCTGATGGAATCATTCTAGGAGTTGCATGTGACYTCTGTAGACAGTCCACGTCTCGCAGGCATATAACAGGGTTAGGAGGACAATAGCTTTATAAACAAGCACTTTGGTATCCCTGCGGATGTCCCAGTCCTCAAACATTCTCTGCTTCATTCGGAAAAATGCTGCACTTGCAGAGCTCAGGAGGCGTTGTATTTCAGTGTCAGTGTTGACTTTTGTGGAGAGGTGGCTACCAAGGTAGCGGAAATGGTCAACATTTTCTAATGTTACACCATTAAGCTGTATTTCTGGCATTGGAGGGGGATTGGCTAGACCATACCTCCCAGAATCCCACTTTTGTGTTTCAAAAAAGGGGATTTCCCAAGCACAGGCCTTGTTGCAGCCCTCCCTGGAGGACTCAATGGGCTTTATGGGTTATCCTCTCAAGGTTGACATTCAAGGGGACAGTATCAAACAAATGCCCGAAGGAGGAGGAACTCCTTTGCAATGCAAATGCCTCAGCTGCCTTGCATCTAACCATGTGTGTCTTTCTGCTGCTCTCTAGTGGCCACTTGGTGGGATGGACCATTATATTTGCACATGCTGATGCACACATGTGCATGGAGCTGTTGCCCCAATGTGCATTCCTTTTGCCCTGGATCAAATGGATCACCAAAAGTGGAGGGCCTTGGAAGGCAAACCAATTTACAACATTGTGTACCACACGATGTCAGATGCATGAACTACTTCCTTGCTGCAGTCAGTTGCAAAAGAGTAACACACACCTCAACTTGAGTCCTGTCAGGCCAATCCTAGTAGCCTCTTAAGGAAGAAGAACATGGGATCAAGGAAGTGAGGTTAGAGTTGGACTCTTGACACTTTGTATTGTCTAAGGCTTTCGTGGCCGGAATCACTGGGTGGCTGTGAGTTTTCCAGACAGCATTCTCTCCTGACATTTCACCTACATCTATGGCAGGCATCCTCAGAGATTGTGAGATCTGTTGGAAACTAGGCAAATGGGGTTTATATATCTGTGGAATGTCCAGGGTGGGAGAAAGAACTCTTATCTCTTTGAGGCAAATGTGAATGTTGTAATTGGCCACTTGATTAGCATTGAACAGCCTTGCAGGCTTAAAGCCTGGCTGTTTCTTTCCTGGGGGAATCCTTTGTTGGGGTTTTTAGCTGGCCCTGATTGTTTCCTGTCTGGAATTCCTGTTTTTGAGTGTTGTTCTTTATCTACTATCCTGATTCTATGACTTTTTAATACTGGTAGTGAGATTGTGTTCATTTTCATGGTTTCCTCCTTTCTGTTAAAATTGTCCACATGCTTGTGGATTTCAATGAATTTCAAACAGACAAGAGTTCTTTCTCCCACCCTGGACCTTCCACAGATACGTAAACCTAACTTGCCTAGTTTCCAACAGACCTCACAACCTCTGTGGATGCCTCCCATAGATGTGGGTGTAACGTCAGGAGAGAATGCTTCTGGAATATGGCCAGACAGCCCAGAAAACTCACAGTGACGATTGAAGCTTTGTCTGTTTTTGTTTCTATTGCTGCTGCTGCTATCATCACAACCATCATCATCCTGCTGCTACCTGCTGCTACCAGTTATTTCGATTCCATGAATTTAAGAATTACTGTGGCAGTATTGGGATTTGTGTGTGTGTGAGAGTGTGTGTGTCAGGAATGACTTGAGAAACTGCAAGTCGCTTCTGGTATGAGAAAATTGACTGTCTGCAAGGATGTTTCCCAGGGGATGCCTGGATGTTTTACCATCCTTGTAGGAGGCTCCTCTCATTTCCCTGCATAAAGAGCTGGAGCTGACAGAGGGAGCTCATCCGTACTTTCCCTGGATTTGACTCTCCAACCTGTCGGTCTTCAATCCTGCCGGCACAAAAGTTTAACCCATTGCACCACCGGAGGCTCCTAATGTTGGGATAATGTGTGAGCTGAGCAGAGAATTGACCTCTGGTGTCTCAAAGTCCCATTTCAGTGCTCAGATCATTACAATATATGGCTCTAATATGGGCACCTTTCCCCAGAATTTTTCCTGCAGGATTGACTCATTGCTTCCCTCTGTGGGACTTGCCCAAAGCCACCCTGTGGGTTTCTATGGCTGATGAAAGATTCGAGGGGAAAAGCTTGCCTGGAATCACACCCTAAAATGACTAGAATGGGTAGGACCTGCTGCAAAAAAAAAAAAAAACTGGTTTCCAGTCAACAAGGAAAGGGGTGGCAGCTGCATCCAGGAAGACCCGGCAAACGGTCCTCTCTGCCAAAAAGCCTAGTTTGGTGGCAAACGGTCCTCTCTGCCAAAAGCCTAGAGGCCTCCGTTGGCTCAGACTGCCAGGACTTTGCCAAGCAGCAGCAGCAGCTCCCACCTGTCTGCACTTGAAGGCTATAAATAGGGTGCCTGGCACACCTTTGGACAACACAAGGGGAGGTTTGGCTGTTGTGGGACCGAGAAGGAGGAGCAGCAACAGCCACGGGGAGATTTTGCAACAAGGTGGAAGAGATGGGGACGAGGAGGAAGATACTGCAGAAGGAGCCGGGGCCCCACAGAAGGCAATGTGGAGGGCAGGAGGGGCCCTTGGGGCCAAGGAGGGCCAGGATGGTCCAAAGAAGAGTGAGTGGGTCCCTTTGATGACAGTGTAGATGCCAGAAGACAGCATCTGGGCAAGACGAAACCCCAGGAGAGAAAAGACCTGGATCAGGAGCACATCCTAAGGCCCAAAGCAACAAAAGCCAGTATGGTGGTCTCAGTATTAGGCCAGGATTCCAAGCAACTGGGATTGAAAACTCCATTCAGTCATAGAAATTCAACAACTTGTGAGTTGCTGTAAGTTTTTGGGGCTATATGGCCATGTTCCAGAAGCATTCTCTCCTGAATGTTTTGCCTGCATCTATGGCAGGCATCCTCAGAGGTTGTGAGGTCTATTACCATAGCACAATATTAGTATTATATATTACTATATTGCACTATACCATTATACTGTAATTTTATTAGTAATATTACATGTAATATAAAATATATAATTATAATATCATATTAATATTATACTGTTTTACATTATAATATTATCAATATTATATGTATATACAATATATTATATTATATTATTATATTATATTATATTATATTATCAGGCTCAGCAGAGTGCAGGAGACAAAGTGGAACTGTCTTCCTGGCCCCCTCTCTTCACTCTGGTCACTTCCCTATGTGATCAAAATCATGCATGTATGTGTGTGTCTCACAACCTCTGAGGATGCCTGGCATATATACAGGTGAAACTTCAGGAGAGAATGCTACTGGAACATGGTCATACAGCCCGAAAAACTTACAGCACCCTAGTGATTCTGGCCATGAAACCTTTGACAACAACAACTAGTGATCTTGTGCGAGTGACTTTCTCTCACTCTGCTCTGAAGAAATCTTGCCAAGAAACAATCCAGAAGAGGGTTGTCATAAGTCAGAGTGGATAGAAATACAGCCTCATTGGATGTTTTGTGTGGTGTAGGTGTGTGAGTGTTGGAGTGAGACTCCATGAGACTCATGCATTCCTGCAAAACAGATTAAGGCAAACCTCCTTTGAAAAAGTCCTTTGGATTACTGTAAGCCATAGATGTCTGGAAGGCATACAAGAGCAACCACAAGGATGCAAATCTACTATCATTAATGGTGGGTCCTTCCTTGATATAGCTGGGACTTAGTTCCAAGACCCCATCCATCAATGCCAAAATCCATTGCTGTGGAGCTGGGGCTGTGGGATCAGGGCTTAGGGCCACAAAAATCCATCCAATCCCATCCTCAAGCCCAAGTGAACAGCTTCTGGCCCCAA